CCTACTTTATGCTTTCTCACATAGTAAAATAATTTCTAGGTTCACGCATTCTGACTCACCTTTCTGACTCAAATAAATATTTTATTTAGAGTACTTTATTCCTTTTGTATTGGCGTCAAACTGACGCACCTGCCGCCGGTTAAAATTCCATCGACTCCGATTTACGACCGGGCACCTTCGAGTGCTATGCACAATAAGTAAAACAATTGACCGCGTTTAGACGTTTGGTTTCCGAGATTAAGCAGCGTTTTCGACACCGACGGCTATGGGCTCGGCTCTGCGTGTTAAGCTGATAATATAAATATAAGTTAGAATTTAAGAATAAATATATAAGAAATGCCAGCATTGATGAAGTGTAAAGTTTCAGAAAGCACAAATTTAAGTATGGAATAAATGAAAGATAAAATTAAATTAAAACTCGGCGAGTAGATTAAATCAGCGTACGCAGCTGACTATAGATCGTAATTTAAAGTATATTAAAGTAAGCGATTGGTAAAAAATGGAATTACAGAAGAATGATAAATTTTTTTGTTTTACGTGAGTTTGTCCGACGCTTGAATAAATGCGACCAAAACTCCGTATAGCTGAATCTGTCCTATAAGTTCACCTCACGCGCATAGACCGTGAAAGGCATATCAGATGTTTCTAAATGCAATTGCTGATCAAATCGAGGGATTTTCGATCGATTACAATGATGGAAGTAGGTGGCGGTGATGTGGGGTGGGGGGGCTATGAAGCTTTACCGGAATCGAATCAGAAAAAAGGCGAGAAAATTCTTTCGGACGGCACATAGAAAAAAGTTAGAAAGATTTTGGGCCATTGAAAAGGCAAGTTGCTTGTGCTTATCTAACGTGCACTCTAATTTCTGTTCGCCGCAGTTTAAATCACTCTGTTGAGCATTATTTTAAATAAATATAATTTTAAAATTTATAAGTTTCCAGCGTTTTGCTTCGCTTAATTCACGCTAGTTCGCTATTTGCTTATTTAGATTATTTTAGATTAATCTCATCGCTGTGTTTAATTTTTCAGTTCATTTAGTAGTTTCTTTCATCAATACAAACGTACTAGTCATGCTATATCTAGTTTTTTTTTTTTGAGAATATTACAAACATCAGACTGTTTATTCAAACAGTTTTTGCTCGAAAGAAAATGACGTACGATCGTAAACTATTCGCTAACAAAAAAGGCAAATATGCAAAAATAAATGTCACAATATATCAACAGTATTTCGTTATTGTATCGTGACTTTTGTAGCTGCTTCAACGCTGAATTTTACGACCACCTAAACATTACTTTCATCTATCTTGATAATGTGAAAACGATTTTCTTCAAGTAGTTGATAATATTGCAATAACAAATCGACATTTTGTACAGTATTATGCTAACCAGACGTTTCATAATACTTCTATAATTTAACGGAGACTCACGAACATATGACTGACCATTCGTTAACTTTTACCATGATCCAGTTTCCGGCGTATATTTTCTTGATTGGTACTCGATTATTATCATTGACATTTCTTATATATAAATTTTGGATTAATCGAATCTTTCAAATTTCAGCTCAAGTATTCATTTTGATCAAAACTGATCCACTTAAGGGTAAACATGTTTTTCCAGTGGATTATCGACAATTCCCTTTCATTGTGTCAATTAGACAAAAGCATTTTAAAGGAATATCAAACGGTTACCACTTCTGTACCGGTTCACTTATTACGCAGAGTCACGTTATAACAGCTGCACACTGTTTTCAAACAAGAATAAAAAATGAAGTCGAGGCGATCCTTACCGGGCGAAACGGGACAAGGCCCTATTTGATTCACTATGAAATCGATTCATGGTTAACATATGACTCATGGGCTCGAACAAATGGAAAAACTATCGAGTTTCCAATAAATGATGTAGCAATTGTTAAGGTAAAAAGTTTTGGTAGATATAATATAGTGGAATATAAACTTTGATGAATATATTTTCTAGTTATCATTACCGGTAGATCACGATGGTATAACACCTGCTCTCCTCACGAATTTGAATAACGAACAACTCTATGGCACAAAGGCAATAATAGTTGGCTGGGAAGGCGTACATGATAATTCACTTACAATGCACTTACTGCAAGGAAAAGTAACAATATTAAGACCCTCCCAGTCGGAGCATTTGATAAAATTGGTGGCTAATAGAAAAATTAAATTAAAAGAAAATTTTCTGGCTACGTACGCCGAACCATATATACTCGCAAATAGTGTAAGAAAATTAGCAAATTTTATTTATCAGCACAGGCAAATAATGATTTTCAACGAAAACATATGCACTTTAGGGTGATAGCGGTGGACCGCTTTTGGACAAAAACAATTTTCTTTTAGGTATCACACGTAGTATATCTCCCAGAATAAATTGGGGTGACTTCTCTGAGGAATTTTTAAATTATTATAAAATTAATATTCATTCAAGTGTCCATTACTATAAAGAATTCATTGAAAATGTGACGACATAGCTGAAGACGATAAGATACCAATTTTATGCCGTAAATCAATGCCGTAGATCTGTACTTTAAAGAATAGATTGTAAACAATAGGGATTATAATAAAAAGGTATCTGCTTAAAGACGCATTGGATGGCAAATTTTTGAACAAAAGTAACATTAACTATTTATGATCAACTAAATATATTACTTTATTCTTTGTTTATCGCGAATTTCTTCAAGGAGTCGTTAAAATACACCACGATTTGAGAATATTGGTATTTACTACATTCTCTAATAATTTCATACAAAAGCCATACATACTTTTTGGAAATTGTCATGTTTTTAGACGATATATTATATGTAGTATAATGCTATAATTGTTAAATTGCTATAGTATGTGTTTTTTCTAATAAACAGTCTTCATCCATATTAAACGTAAGTATTGTTGTAAATAATTTTTAACATTAGTTAAATGCATATAACTTGTTTTTTTCTTAATATAGTGTGGTTTTACATTGATGAATGATTATTCCACAGGTTCTATAGGTTCAAACTAGAATTGTAGATAATAATTTTATAACTTTTTAGGTAAACATCGGTGGCCATTGTTGGACCGAAACAGAGGTCTTATGGAAATAAATTACGGAAGTGTACGTACAAGTCATAACGTTGGACTGATTTTTCTCTAGAGTTTGTCACTTAATGCGAAATCAAAGTTGATATGAGTATTAATTACACAGATTTTTATTGGAAAACGTAATTTTAATTTGAAATTCGTAAAATGATAACGAAAGCCTGTTTATGACAAAGCTTAAAAACATAAAGTTGATGTATTTTTCTCCTCACGTTTCAGACACAAAATAAAATTCAATAATTTTCCGAGTTATATAAATGCTTTAAATAAAACAAATCGATTCATACTCGTTCCGAGATATAAAACATAATGCTATTGAAAAACAATTATGTTCAGTCTAGAATACAGATTCCCATTCTGAAGCCCGACTAAATCCCAAATCATCCTAAACCAAAGTCAAAATTTATTTTTGTTCACAAGAAAATTCAAACAAGTTCATAAAATAAATGAGAAAAAATTTATCTTAAAAAGATATTATAGGACCTTTGGTTGAGATGTTTGAACTTATCACAAGAAAATCGTATCCTATTGATAGTACTTTAAGATTAAGAGGGGAAGTGGTTACTGATTTGTACTATCAAAAAATCGATTTTCATCAAATGAAGCTGAACACAATGAAATTTTCGCAGAGAATGTAATCTACGGATTTAGAATCAATGACTTGGTGTAAACTAAAAATAAATTTTTTTTTTCATCACGTTTTTATAGTTTTTAAACGCGCTTTTCTCAAAACCACTTTTTCAAAGTGCGGATCCATTGTAATTCAAGAACTACTCGATCGATGCTTTTCAAATTTAGTGTATATATTCTGCATATAAAATATCCGTTTCCAACAGTTAATATGACAATTTTTTTACATTAAAGAGTTTTTCCACTGACAAAATGGTGAAAGTTTTAGTAAAAAATCGCTTTTTTCCTTCAAATAACTATAAAAAATTTTAAATCTAAAAAAAGAAAAGTCAAAGACCATTGGGTGTTACACTGTAGAAGATTTAATTTAAAATTATTTCTTTTTAATTTCAGATAATTTTCGGTTGAGGTATAGTGGATGGCTGAGATACAGCAAATCATCTTTTTCAAAAGGCGTTCTCGAAGAAGCTCCGTCACCGATTTATTTCTTGATATTTCCAATATTGTCTACGTATGGTTTCCATGAATATAAGCTAAACTACCTTTTCTCATGAAAATGAATAAATGATGGTTTCTCACAAAAATGTTGTTGTTGGATGTAAACCACAGTCTTTTGAGGATCATAATAAGTTTATCTTTGAAACATATAACCTACAAAACATTTCCGAGACTCTTTTAAATCAATTGAAATTTATGGTCATGCAAATACTGATAACTAGATAGAAATGATAGAGAAAGTGCTAAACGTCAGATGATGACAAATAGACTGCAGCTGGTCTTAACTCGTAAAATGAATTCAGTTTGTTGATCAATATATTAAAAATCTCCATTTGGAAAAAAATTTCATATGAATATAAACTACACTTTAAAGAAAAGACGAATGTACGAAACTGAATTGCGCAGTAAAAAAAGATAGTTTCCTTATTATTACGTAACTTTTGTTGAAAAACGAACACAGGCTTTACGATCAAATAAACTTTACTTGATCCTGCTTAATAATGTGAAAATAATTTCCCTCATAGAGAGCTTGTAGTATCGCAAAAAGAAATCACATTTCCGACAGTATTATGTTGACATGACGTTTCATAATACTTCTACAAAACTCATTTTATGGGTTTTTGGGGTTGCTGGTAATAAATATTGTCTAAGACTTTAAAAATTATTATTTTCTCGAAAGGAAATGACGTACGATCGTAAACTATTCGCTAACAAAAAAAGCAAATGTGCAAAAATAAATGTCACAATATGTCAACAGTATTTCGTTATTGTATCGTTACTTTTGTAGCTGCTTCAACGCTGAATTTTACGACCACCTATATCTTGATAATGTGAAAACGATTTTCTTCAAGCAGTTGATAATGTTGCATTAACAAATCGACATTTTATACAGTATTATGCTAACCAGACGTTTCATAATACTTCTATAATTTAACGGAGACTCACGAACATATGATTGACCATTCGTTAATTTTTACCATGATTCAGTTTCCGGCGTATATTTTCTTGATTGGTACTCGATTATTATCATCTACATTTCTTATATGTAAATTTTGGATTAATCGAATCTTTCAAATTTCAGCTCAAGTATTCATTTTGATCAAAACTGATCCACTTAAGGGTAAACATGTTTTTCCAGTGGATTATCAACAATTCCCTTTCATTGTGTCAATTAGACAAAAGTATTTTAAAGGAATATCAAACGGTTACCACTTCTGTACCGGTTCACTTATTACGCAGAGTCACGTTATAACAGCTGCACACTGTTTTCAAACAAGAATAAAAAATGAACTCGAGGCGATCGTTACCGGGCAAAATGGGACAAGGCCCTATTTGATTCACTATGAAATCGATTCATGGTTAACATATGACTCATGGGCTCGAGCAAATGGAAAAACTATCGAGTTTCCAATGAATGATGTGGCAATTGTTAAGGTAAAAAGCTTTGATAGATATGATATAGTGGAATATAAACTTTGATGAATATATTTTCTAGTTATCATTACCGATAAATCACGATGGTATAACACCTGCTCTCCTCACGAATTTGAATAACGAACAACTCTATGGCACAAAGGCAATAATAGTTGGCTGGGAAGGCGTACATGATAATTCACTTACAATGCACTTACTGCAAGGAAAAGTAACAATATTAAGACCCTTCAAGTCCGAGCATCTGATAAAATTGGTGGCTAATAGAAAAATTAAAGTAAATGAAAATTATCTGGTTACGTACGCCGAACCATATATACTCTCAAGTTGTGTAAGAAAATTAGCGAATTTTATTTATCAGCACAGGCAAATAATGATTTTCAACGAAAACATATGCACTTTAGGGTGATAGCGGTGGACCGCTTTTGGACAAAAACAATTTTCTTGTAGGTATCACACGAAGTACATGTCCCGATTCAAGTTGGGGTAACTTCTCTGAGGAGTTTATAAATTATTATAAAATTAATCTTCATTCAAGTGTCCATTACTATAAAGAATTCATTGAAAATGTGACGACATTATAGCTGAAGACGATAAGATACCAATTTTATGCCGTAAATCAATGCCGTAGATCTGTACTTTAAAGAATAGATTGTAAACAATAGGGATTATAATAAAAAGGTATCTGCTTAAAGACGCATTGGATGGCAAATTTTTGAACAAAAGTAATATCAACTATTTATGATCAACTAAATATATTACTTTATTCTTTGTTTATCGTGAATTTCTTCAAGGAGTCGTTAAAATACACCACGATTTGAGAATATTGGTATTTACTACATTCTCTAATAATTTCATACAAAAGCCATACATACTTTTTGGAAATTGTCATGTTTTTAGACGATATATTATATGTAGTATAATGCTATAATTGTTAAATTGCTATAGTATGTGTTTTTTCTAATAAACAGTCTTCATCCATATTAAACGTAAGTATTGTTGCAAATAATTTTTGACATTAGTTAAATGCATATAACTTGTTTTTTTCTTAGTATAGTGTGGTTTTACAATGATGCATGGTTGTTCCACAAGTTACATATGTGCAAACTAGGATTTTTGACAGAAATCAAATCGTTGTTGAGAGAAACATCGGTGGCCATTGTTGGATAAAAACAGACGTCTTATAGGAATGAATTACCAAAGTATTCTTACAAATCATGGCGTTGAACTGATTTTCTTGAAGAGTTTGTGGTTTATTACGTATTAAGAATTTATATAAGTATTATTTGCTCAAATTCCTATCGAAAAACGTAATATTAACTTAAAATTCTTAAAAATATAACATAGCCCTATTCATCGTACAACTTAAAAGTATAACGTTGTTATTTTTTCCTCCTCACGTTTTAGAAATAAAATTTATAAATTTTCCTAGTTTTATAAATTCTTTAAGAGTAAGTTCTTTTAATGGTAAAAGTTTTTTCTACTTTTACCATTAAAAGTAGAAAATCAATAAATAAAAATTCGTTCTGAAATGTGAAAAATAATGTTATTTAAAAATGACTCCGTTTAGTTCCGAATTCAGATTCCCATTCCAAAGCCTAATTTAAATCTCAAATCTGAATCTCGAACCAAAACCAAAATTAATTTTTGTTCTCAACTAGTTAGTAAAACAAATGAAAAATATCTCCTATACAAACAATGACATTACGGGACTCTTGATGGAGATGTTTGAGCTTATAACAAGAAAATCTTACGCTATTGAAAGTACTTTAAGATTGAGAAAGGTCAATTATTATATCTATATTAGAAGAAAATTAACATTGTAATGACAACTTAAAAAATCCGCTCTTGTCTATCTATGGTCTTCTTAAATAATAGCAAAGTTACCTTTCCTGATAGAAATGAATATATGATGGTTCTTGAAAAGATAGCTGTCGTTGGATGTAAACCATTCTTCTAAGGGTCATAATAAATTTATTTTTGAATCATGTAACCTACAAAACTTTTTCGAGGATCTTTTAAATCAATTGAAATTAACGGTTATGCAAATAGAGATTACTGCATAGACATGATGGAGAAAGTGGTAAATGTCAGAGGATGACAATTAGCCTGCAACTGCTCTTAACTCGTACAAGAATTTCTGTTTCTTGATTAATATATTCAAAATCTCTGTTTGGAAAAAAATGTCATGTGAACATAAACTATACTCTAAAGAAAAGACGGATGTGCGAAACTGAATTTCGCAGTAAAAAATGATGGTTTCCTTATTATTACGTAACTTTTGTTGAAACATGAACACAGACTTTACGATCAATAAAACTTTACTTGATCCTGCTTATTCATATGAAAACGAGCTTGCTTGTACAGTTTGCAATGTCGAAAAAACAAATCGATATCTTCTACAGTAATATGCTGATTTGATGTCTTATAATACTTCTACAATTTAACGGAGACTGACAAACAGCTGTTTGAATAATTATTAACGTTCGCCATGAGTCGATTTTCGGCGTATATTTTCTTGACTGGTAATTGGCTATTATTTATCAACATTTATTGAATGAAAATTTCAGATTCATTAAATTATTTTAATTTCAGCTCATATTTTAGTTTTTATAAAAACTGATCCACTAGAGGGTGAACAGATTTTTCAAGCGGATCCTCAAGACTTCCCTTTTGTTGTGTCATTTAGACAAAAAGTTTCGGAAACACTGATAGACACTGAACACTTCTGTACTGGATCACTTATTACGCAGATACACGTTATAACAGCTGCACACTGTTTTGAAGAAAAAATAGAAAGTGAAATTAAAGCGATCATTGTGGGGGAATATTGGATAAGGCCCTATGTCGATCATGGAATTGATTATTGGTTAATATATGACTCCTGGGCTCGAGAAAATGGAAAAGCTATCGAGTTGCCACTGAATGATATAGCAATCGCTAAGGTAAAAAGTGTTATAATTATGACGTAATGGAATATAAACATTCAAGAATACATTTCCTAGTTATCATCGCCGGCAAATCACGAACGTATAATACCTGTCTCCCTCACGAATTTGAATAACAAACAGCTCTATGGAACGAAGGCAATGATAATTGGCTGGAAAGCTATAAATGAGGATTCGCTTACAATGGTATTAATGCAAGGAAAAGTGACAATATTAAGACCCTCCCAGTCGGAGCATTTGATAAAATTGGTGGCAAATCGAAGAATCATACTTACCGGAAGTTCTCTGGCTACGTTTGCTGAACCATATATACTCGGAAGTCGTGTAAGTAAAATTATCAAAATTTATTTGACAGCACAAGATAATAATTATTTTCTACAGAAACATCTGCACTTTAGGGTGATAGCGGTGGACCGCTCTTGAACAACAACTATTTTCTTTTAGGTGTCACACGCAGTACATGTCCCATTTCAAGATGGGGTAACTTCTCTGAGAAGTTTATAAATCAATATAAAATTAATCTTCATTCGAATGTTTATTATTATAGAGAATTCATTGAAAATGTGACGACAGTAACCTAAGAACTATAAGATTCCATTCGAGGTTTTTTTATCAATACCGTAAAACTTTACTTTGAAAAATGTATTGTAGACAATTTCGATTGTAATAAAAAGGTGTCTACTTGAAGACGTATTAGATAGAAACTTGTTGAAGTAAAGTAACATTAACTATTCATGATCAACTAAATATTTTACTTTCTTTTTTGTTGATGGTACATTTTCTCAGGGTGAGGTAAAATACACCATATTATCAGCATATCCGTACTTACTGCATTTTTTTAAATTTTGTACAAAGTATCCATTACTATAGTGATTTCATTGAAAATGTAACATCATTGTCTAAAGAACAATAATAACTATGATAACTATTTAAGTTTGTCTTATCAATGCCGTAGGACTTTACTTTAATAAACATATGGTAGATAATCTGGATTGTAATAAAAAGGTTATTCTCATATGATCTTCTTAAATGTAAGCGAAACAATCCTGTCTGATGTAAATAAATACGTGCTTTATTTTTCTCAACATATAGTACTACACCATTTTTTAAATAAAACGACTTTCTCTTAAGAACTACAAAAATTATATATTGAAATATATAACAAAGAAACGTATATATTGAAATGTATAACAAAGGAAGAGCAATGCTTTTATGATGAAGACGAGTAATTTCTCATTAATTTAATAGTACTAATACACGAATCATACCGTGGTAACGTTTACAGCGCGCTCCTGAATGCACCGTACGCGTACCATAAGTTATAGAATCCTACCCATGCTAGATGAGATAGAAGAAAAAGAGACTAGTAGGTATACGTGCACCTCAGGGAGTGTACATACGATCCCTCTTCCTTCCCGTCCGAGTTCTTGTACGCGCACGCCATCTCTATAATTTCGAGTTCATAGATTAAAATGCGTATCTCGCATCGCATTCATTATGAAACTTATCACTGAGCTCCCCCATGATCGCATGTGAGTATATCGACCATCTATAGAGTGAGTTTTAAATTTTCAAAGGCAACAAAACTGGAAAAAATGGAAATATTAAATCATGATGATTTGGATTCTGCCTTAAACTGTAGATCCAGTCACGATGCATTTAAATAGTAGGCAGGTCGGTTGCAGATGTTTCTCATGACTATAAATTACCAAAACTGTATTTTGTACAGATACCTAGTGTACGTCCTGCAGCGTTCAAAACGAACGTAGCTCTTGAAGGAATAATAACAATTAACAACAACAACAACAACTATAATAATTGTAATTAAATACATTAATAATATCAAATTACAATTTTGTGCATGTATGCGATACTTTGTTTGATTGTATAAAGAAGAATTTTTTATCATTTTAATAACTTTTCAGTCAGACTTTATAGCTAATACAATCTTAAGCTAGGATGATCATATAGAATAAGTGTGCTTAGGGAAACACAAACGGCTGTTTACACTTTACAGCAGTCGGTTTCTATCGAAGTATCCGTGCTACTGCAGCAGCCTGTAGAATTTTGTTCGGCATTCTATATTATTCAAGGTGAGTTTTTATCTATTTATGTTACTTATCCGTACATATTATTTTGGATTATTAAACAATTCTAAGCAATGTTCATATTTTTTTCAACGGATTTGTTGATAAGCCGTGTACGAATTCGAGATTTTTGGATGTTAATTATAAGATTGCAATAGTAATACCGAATGTCGTATTTTAAATTAGGCAAAAACATGATGGACATAGAATGTATTGAGGCTCTAGTGAATGATTTAAAAGAAAGGCGCAATAAGTTCGATAAAGGCAAGCTGGAACAATTAATAGAAAGCAACAATCCAAAGGACAAAAAAGCACTGAACTCTATGATTATTGATATCTTAGAGTGCGATGACACTGACGCAATGGAAATTATACTAGCAAATGAAGGGATCGACTTTAATGCCAAAGATTACGAGGACAATACTTGCTTGTCAGTAGCAGTCTCGGCAGGCAGTATATACACTGTGAAACTACTTCTTGACTGCATGACAGAAGGAGATGTTCGCAAATACAACGATCGGGGCCTTTTAAACTTCCGATATCCAAATATTCTGCCAAATTTGTGGTTGGTGGAAGACATCGTAACAATTTCCCACCTTTTGTTGGAGAAAAAAATCAACCTTACACTGGAGCACAAATTGGCGATTTTAGAATTTCTCGTGCACAACACCGACGATTGCGACTGCGCCAGTTTAGACTTGTCGCCTCGCCAACTGAGGAAAAATATAGAAGACCTCGTGAATTATGGCTCGCCAGTACACGTTGGTAAGGTCATAAATAAAATCAAGCGACAGATAGCAGATCAAATAGCTACATTGGGAGACAACGTTTATTTAATCGAGTGTGTCGCAAAACCACTCAGTCCTGGAATAATGTTCAAATTGTACGTTGACGAAGGTATTCGAAAAATAGTAAATGACATGGATCGCGACTGGGAGAATTATTTTATATGCGAAAGCTATCACGATTTTGAGTTGGAGCTGATGAAAAGCCATAAATTACGAAAAAATAATAGACTTTCATTGTACGATGTGCTCACCAAGAATCCTAGTGAAGCTTATCGCCATATCAGTAAATTTGATTGTGATCAATTGAGTAAGAAATACAAGTTTGCCGGTGATTATATAAAGGGACTCAAGGCAAGATCTCTGATTAGACATCAGGTCGAAGAGTTTCTTCCCGATTTTATGAAAGTGTTGTTTCCTCTGTTACCCGATATATGTTTTATCAAAATTTTTTCTTACTTGTGTGAATTAAGTAATGAGGATATACTTGCGAAAATTTGTCATGTTGCTATTGCTAAAGAAAAGATTCCAAGATGTCGTAAAGTAAATAATAATGCTGAATTCTATGATTAATTTTCACACCATTTCAAGTAAAAATAATGTTAATAATTTTATTTTTGTGAATAGAAATGAAAAAAACGTAATCATGACGTTTTATTTTTCAATACTCCAGGTTGAAAAGATAAACTCACAGTGTGGAAACATATATCCCTTACGATTATTAATCATTCAAATTCGTACGCCTACGGCTTTTAAGAATTCTCTTAATTCCAAATGAATTATTCAATCTCGAAAATTCGGTCAAATAATTATACACTTACAACAATTTGCAGGCAAGCTTATATAAGAGAAGTTCGCTTAAAAATTGATATTTTAAAACATAATTTATAAAGTGGATTAAGACCCTTTATGACCAAAATTTATAACATTGAACGAAATTAATTAAAAAAAAATTGACTCGAAAATTTTTGTATACTTACTTTCAATTATGCTTCAATCAAGTTGGTAATCAACCATTCCAGGAATATATAGGTATTGCAGTTTCAATTTCTTCAATTTATTTTTAAAGTCGGCAAAAATTATATCAAAGTTTCAAATCCTTCGTAATTGGAATTGCGGGGGCTGGGAAGAGAGTCGTTTGACCGGTAACTGTGGGGATTCTCAATTCCATATTGGCTCTATACAAGTGTTCATTATTGCGTATTCGATTTCGATTTGTGGCAATGTTCGCCACGCATTTTCATATTTCCTTAGCCTATTGTTGTTTCTTTGCCTTCGTTGTCACTGGTAGCGTCATTTATATCTATAAAAGTAATAGTTACTTTTGAAAAACATTACAGATTCAGACAATGATAATAGAAAAATCTACTTTCTCTTGCATCCTTAATTTTATTACCGTCTGTGTAGGAAGCGAAACAAACTCTAGCAAGAACTGATTTAATTAAAGATAAAAATATCCAATTTAATCTGATAAATAAGTTGGTTATTCTATACTTGAACAGAAAACTGATGACTGACAATCAAGTTACCAACATATATGTAAGGATAATATAATATTATGACGTAACAGTAAATATAGACACTAATATATCTTATAACTCTTCAACTTACATTGCGAAAGTTTTACGTAAAGTCAGCAATGACATTTCTTCAGGCAGTCACAAACTTAATATTGACATCTTTTCATTCTACTAGTCAACCTTATATTAGTCAATCACTCAGCCTTGGATTTATATTTGATATATACATGAAAGAAGGTATTATGAAAAATAATTTTTAAAAAGAAGTCATAAAATAACGATTGTATATTACTTTTAATAAAATAACAGTGTCAAACTATAAATTTTATTCATTAACAAATTTATTAGTATTCTAAGATTTATAAACAACTCAAAAGTAATAAAATTAATTAATGAATAAAAAATCAGCGAAATATCTATTCTTTTCCTTTCCTTTTATTCCTTTTATATTTTCTTTTTATCCTTTTCCTTTTTATAAAAAAGAGCTCGGTCTTTTATAAAAAAAAAGTTCTAAATAAATAAAATTAACCATAAAAAGTATATAATTTCTTGAAAAATTTTCCTGAAATAAAATTTGTAAATGTAAATATAAGTAAAAAATATGATACATGAATAGATAAAAAATAACAGTAATGTTGACTACTAAAAGTGAAAGCTAAAAAATTTAGTTTATGGAAAGCACTACCCTAAATTAGCCGAAACTGACTTCCAATATTCTTTACAAGAAAATAAATCTATTGATATGAGGATATCGTACAAAAACTCTTGAATCGTAGACAAATATGTTAAAAAATAAAGAAAATGTTATTGTGAAACGCGGCTGGCGGTTCAATTTATTTAAAAAATGGAAAAGAAACAAACTTTGTGCGCTTTCCATGGCCTACAGCTAAATTCTTAGAAATTTGCTATGTTATTAGATTTAAAATTATAATTAAATCTACGAATATAATTTTAATTAAGTTCTTCTTTACCAATTAGTACTGATGGATTTTCAAAGCATATAATTGTTTGATGAATATGGTGTATTTTATAATTTATAATTTCGTCTATAAATAATTGCGATTTGATTTAAGCATACGAAACTGAATATTAATACAAATGAAAGATAAGCATGCAAAGCGTACTTGACATTAGTAATAAATAATTGCAGTGGATCAGCTAAATAAATATGCGATTATAAATATTTTGATATAGTACTTACAATAGAATATTTTAATGCTTCTTTTACTGATGTGGTACACCAACTAACCTTTTATTCTTATAAATAAAAATGACGTAAATGAACTAGTGATGTTCCCCCACCATTTGAAGTAGCAGCAACAAAGACAGATGCTAATGTATAAAAGAATTAATCTGATTTTTTTGACTCCATAGAATATAGGTAATGATACAAGTAAGCAATAATAGATTCGAACAAATTGTGGCTAAATTACGACAAACTTTATATGAAATTAACGTTGTTATTCCTGTATTATAATTTTTTTTAATTTTATTTTTGTTATATTTATACACGTATGCCGTATATTTATACACGTAGATCTGAGTATTAAAAAAAATACACCAACATTTTTATTACAAGATTTTTTCTTTTGTAATTCTTGTGGTTCTAGTTTTCTATCAAAATAAATAAATTTTATAATCTTCATTAATAATAAAAAAATCTAAAAAAGAAACAATAAAATAAATTTGATGTAGTATATTTATGTATTTAATTGATTAATTTAGTACTTACAAAATTTAATATGTAGACGAATTATTTTTTATTTTCATCAACCAATAGCCTTTTGCCACGGATACTGCCTAAAGATTTTTCTAAATAAATAAAATAAAAATAAATGCTTTCATTTAGTTATAAAAAATTAACTAATTTTTTATAATAAATAGGCACTAACATCTTCAACGTCATCAGTACGCTTAGCACTAGCTGGATAATAATCGACAAGAAGGGGTCTTGGCCTTTGTCCTATACCAAGTGGTTGATGCAATCCACATGCTTGTTCTTCATTTGTAATAACTGTAATTAATGTTTTGAGGACTTGCTCATCTTGTTGTGACATAATTTTACTTGGATTTGTCATGCGTCTCAAAAATAATGCGTTCCATTTTTGTCTTAAATGTAAAATAAGTTGAGCTGCTTCAGTATCTACTTTAAATGATATCCACTGGTCTAATTTTAATATTGTCGTTCCTTCACGACTTTCTTCAACTTCAGAATCAGACTCGCTCTCTGGTGTAGCTACGCATGAATTATGAATGTCAAGATTCAGAAAATAGAATCCAAAATATTAAATTTTACAAATCAAATGAAACTTACATTCAGCTTCGTAAATTACATCCATTGGCAACCGAGCTGGCCCACTAAATAAGACCACAGTAAGAGGATTAACAAGAGTGACAGTTCGAGCATGAGAAAATCTACCAGATCGGCTCACTTCCTCGTAAAGCATCCAGTCGGTTGGTAAGGAACTCACATTTAACGCATGTACTTGGGATGTTGTTGTTCTTGATGACTTTGAAATGTCTCTTAAAGTAGATGATGGATGGAAAAAAACGTTCACTTCTTTCCTATAGATAATACATACAGATATTAACAAAAATACGATTTACATTGAAATTGATAGGTAACACAATTAAAAACATACTGTGTTCTTAATTGAACATATTCTCTATCTACCCTTATAAGATTTGGATAAAGTCCAGCAGTCAATGCTGCTTTTACAACAGCCCAATTTTCAGAATTTGAATTTAAGTCTCTAATATCGCCCGAACCTCTTGTTTTAACAAAACCAGAAGCACGTAGCTGTCCAAGTAATTGTGTTCTCATACCAACCACCATTTCCATAACAGCTGCTGAAATAAAATTTTTCTCACAAAACGATCGTTCCCAACCGTTTGCCCTTGCGTTTTGCCAAATCTGAAATGCTCTCAATACAGCCATGTGGTCAGAATAAGTATTTGCTGCAAACTCTTTGCGTGCAAGTTTAGCTGATTGCTTTTTTGACGGTTGATAAGGTGTCACAAACGGATCCCTGTAAAGTAAAAATAGTTCGTAAATTCCCTCTCACTTCCGAATTTTATTAAAAAATCACGTGCTAAGAACTTACTTGTATGCCAAACTGCATACTATTGTTAAAATAGGATCAAGGCATTTCAAAACTACAGCATAGAGTAACATTTTACCTAATCTTGGTTCAATAGGCAAATCTAGTAAATGACTTCCTAGTTCTGTTAGATCTTCCCAAGGGTCGAGTGCATCAATTGTCTTCAGTAATTGAACAGCATTACTAATCACAACAGTCGAAGGAGGTTCTATTGCTTTTGCGAGAAATTCCCCTATTGGTGTATTTCCAGGAGCTAAATGCTTTGTATAAAGGCAAAGCTGTTGTAAAGGTAATCTTAATATTTCTGGTGTTCGGTAAAGCTGCAAATTACTGTATCTAATTGAAGAGTAAAGTCTGTAACAAATACCTTTTTGACATCTACCTGCTCTACCTTTTCGTTGTTGAGCACAAGATTGAGATATCCAGTTTGATCTTAGCATAGAAACTTCAGATAAACCAACAAATGACTTTTCTTTTACTTTTCCAGAATCAACAACGTACACTACATCATCAATTGTTATACTTGATTCAGCTATATTTGTTGACAATATGATTTTTCTTGTGCCCTGAGGACTAGGTTTGAAGACTCTCTTTTGATCATTTGTTTGCATGTTAGAGTGCAAAATATATAAGATATAATTGCCTTGATTCATTTTATTTTCACTATTGATTCTTTCTCTCATAGTAACAATATCATCATATCCAGGTAAAAATACCAAAATAGATCCAGCAGGCATATTAAGATGTATATGAACAATTAATGTTAAAATAAGTGTATAATCAACATTGTCATTATTGAACGTACTTTCATAAATATCAAGTGTTAATCTATCACTCTCAGAAATATTTGAGCTTTTGACTTTTACTATCTCATTATCTTTCCATATATAATTACATGTTTTTGCGTAAGCTTCAATAAATTCAGCACATTCATGCTGCTTCATGTTTTTAGCCCACTCATACGCAGTCCACTCATTACATGCTTTAAGATTCAAATTAGCTCCTAAGTCAAGAAGTTGCTCAACGATGTTCAAGTAGCCTCTCCCTGCTGCAACCATCAATGTACTCACAAATGTTTTAGAGTGTTGATAGTCAACAGAGATATTTTCTGAATGTATTAAATGAAGAATTTGTGTTAAACTATCTTCTCCACCCAATAACCAAGCAGTAGCGATAGATTTATCCATTTCCTCTATTAACCAAGGTTCAAGCTCTACTTTTTCCGCAATGGGTTCATTTTGTTGTTTTAAAATTGGTATCGGGATTGGATTCTTTTCCTTCTTTCTAAGACTTTCATATGATTGATATTTACATTGGTTCCACGATTTCAAAACTTTACATTGATCTTTGCGATTTAAGACTTCTTTTTTCTTACATAACATTTCTTTAGTCATATAATTAGTTATTTTCAAAATATCTTCCAAGTAATAAACATCAACGTTATATAGTTTCTCTGGTATGTAAATCACTGGACAATTATCAAAATATCTTATAAATATTGAAGGATCTATCATTGCACTCATTAAGATGACTTTCAAAGATTTATATTTTGTGAGTGCATCTTTCAATACAATTAACAAGAAGTCACAAAATCTATCCCTTTCGTGAACTTCATCTACAATAATATGTGTTATCATAGCTAAAGCTGAATCATCTCCCATTAGAGTTCTCAAAAGAACACCATTAGTACAATAAGTTAACAAGGTTTTTGGAGCAACCCTGCTTTCCAATCTAATTTGATATCCAAAAGTTTGCCCAATTTTTTCATCTCTTTCAAATGCTACTCTTTCAGCTACTGTCACTGCAGATAATCTTCTAGGTTCAGTGCAAATAATTCTACATGGCTTATGCTTTTGTTGACAATCTTCTAAAATAAACTGTGGAACTTGAGTAGTTTTTCCACATCCAGTTTCACCCAATACAATTGCAACTTGATTATTGGCTAGCATTCTCAAAATTTCATCACGTGTTGTCATGATTGTTAATGAGTTGCGGAAGTTTAAAAGTTCATAATTTGTTTTCAGTTGTGGAACTTGAGGTATGCTATTATTTAATCTTCCCATTGCCTTTATATTAGTTGTAACTGTAATAAAAAAAATTTTCATTTCAATACAAAGTTATTATTGAAAAGACAAACTAAATAAAGGAATTATAGAACTTACCTTCTGTATCCAATACTTTTTCTTTTTCAGAAGGTGGTAACAAGTCACGGCGCTCCTTGCTATCCAGAGGAAATTGTTTTATTAAATTGTAAATTGATTGTCTGGATAATTTCTGTAATTTGATTACAGCATCTGCTTGAACTATTGTAGAGCCATCTCGCTTGTAAACAATTACATATCTGTTGGCACCTCGTCTGATAAGAAAGCCAGAATAATCATTAATTAACTTTCTCTTAATATTAAAACATGGATAAATGTATATAACTGGATATTCTTAATACCCTTTGCTTTTTGATTTCAGCCCCAATTGGTGAGCTAAATTATGAATGTAAGCTCTCTCTTCAGCAATGTAACAAGAAGGAAATTCTAACTCATTTTGATCTGCTGATTCTAATAATTTTTTTATCGTTAAATTTACTGCAATCCTTGTATCTTCACCAACATCCAGATGTTGTTGATTTCTCCGCCGAGACATTGATAATTTGTGGTAAATATATTATTAACCAATAATATTATATTTAAAGCCTATGGCCTTGAACACTTTTCTAGTAATAACAAAATAACTGCAAGACTTAGCTTTCTTTTATCTTAAGTGAAATACAAACTCCGTAATTATTTTATAATTTATTAAAAGAACAAGTGGCACTAAAACGGTTTCTCGTAGTATATATACGCACTACTTAAAGACAAGTCATAACATGCACAATGCACTGCGCACTGCCGCTCTGCAATCTGCTGATGTTGATTAGGTACACTACTGTACATAGGGCGGAATATTGCAAAATAGATAAAAATATGTTGCGACACATTAGGAATTCTGAATTTTTCGGCTGTAGTTAGAAATTTGGAATTGGTACGAAACTCTCAAACAAAAAATTGTTCATATTATTTGCGAAACTTTTTCATTAATAATAATGACATTTTAAAAAAATTATAAATTTGAAAAATGAACGTGTTATATTTATGTTGATATAAATGTAATAAAAATAAAATTAATTATAAAGTAATGTATGTTCAACTCTCTCGATCTTGAAAACCTAATAGTTTTTATAAAAAAATCTTAAAGATATGTTCTAAATAAAGGCTCGAATGTGTATAATATAGTACATTACGATACAAGTGAGGGAAAGTAGATTCTTGTCTCGTGTGGCGTTTGCGCCCGAGCGAACCGAGGGTGGAAAGGTACACGAGACGAGAAACTCTTTCCCGAACATGTGCCGTACCGTATTTTTTTATACGTCGTGTGGAAAGTGTGATTTTCAACGCACGTTTTCTGCCGAGCATGCTAGAAAGACGCACTTTGGGCATGAAGTATCGAAAAAATTATAAAGCTCGCTACGGAAAAAATATAGTCTCGATAAGACCGCATCAGAACAGAAGCATCTTAACAACAATATCTGTACATAAATTTTTCTTCATTTGCTATTGTAAAATAGCAAATTGGTTGATTGTCAGCAAAGGTTTTAAAAACAGGGAGGTATTTGAAACTTCCCTATACTAAACGTTTTGTCGGCTTTGTATATATATATATATATATATATATATATATATATATATATATATATATATATATATATATATATGTCTATACATATATATATTTATATATACACCCTATATAGATTGGCGTCTATGGCGGTGCCGGACGCGTTGCGCAGAGGCCCTATATACTACAACTGCGCAGTACCACAGTAAGTTTATTATTTTCTGCCGTATATGCATATAGTATCTGTACTTGGCCAATTTCAACTACAATTTTACAATGCGCGATATTTTTATGGACTCTTTATTTTGGTTATCAATTGATGAATGTGGAAATGGATTTTTTTTACGATTTGAAATCTAACGAAAGGGGTAGAGATGGGAAAGAAATATGAGAGAAAGAGAGAGAGAGAGAGGCGAATACTGCTGCGCAACTGTTTTTCGTTGCCTACAGCTGGCCTACAGGCCCACAGTGATTAGTTGGACTACAATCGGAGACAAAGTGAAAATTTATGATATTGTTATGAACTGGATTCATTTGGTTATTACTATCATTAACGCACAAGACTTACGCATCAATCATCAAATCAATACAAGGTGATATTATTTACAAAAAACATTATTTTTTTAAAGTATTTTTATACAAAATAATTGTTTTAATCTCGTTTGAGACAATGTAATACGGGAAATGAAGATGTATTGGTCAACAAATAAGAGACTATTATATTCTATTATACTATCAAATATTATTCTTAATAGAGTTTTAATTACTATTTCTTAATATATTACACAAGTGATGTAACAACTAAGTGCGCGACCCTCCAATACAGTCTCCATCTTTTTTGTTTTGTTCTGTTTCTGTCTGTCTCTCTGTCAGTCTCTCTCTGTCTGTCTGCTGTCTCTCTCTCTCTCTCTCTCTCTCTCTCTCTCTCTCTTTATCTCTCTCTTTCTCTCTCGCTCTCTCTGTCTCTCAAAAGGCAATGTCATTTCCGACATATCCGGAACGATCTCCGAATTTCCATAAAGTGGGGAGTCGTCATTATCCATGCATTAGAATAGAAATTAGGAGATTTGCAACTAAAAGAACTTAGCGAGAAATTAACTAAAATCAACCGAAAAAAATTATAGAAAAATTGCGCATGGTTAACAAAGATAGCAAAAATTATTTATAACCCTGCGAAATTTTATTTTCATTTATAAAAAAATTATCAAAGTTGATCACTCATAGATTATCGATAACTGTATCTGCGTGGAGTTTTAATAAAGTTTTTAGAGAAATAAATCTGTTCAATCTTTAGCAAAAATCACACGCAGTTTTACTATCCAATCAAAATATTATTATAACTATCTATTAAAGAATAAATATTATTTCTCACTACAGTCATATACATATGCAGCTGAAAGATCAGTCGGTAATAGATCTACACTTTTATTATTGTAAGGCACACTCTCAAATTATAAGAGCTGTATTAATAGGAAAGGGTTATTTTCTGATATAATCGTCAATGTCAACTATTGTTGTGTATTCTAATTAATAGTTAACAGCTCTTATAATTTGAGAGTGTGCCTTACAATAATAAAAGTGTACAGATCTGTTACCGACTGATCTTTCAGCTGCATACGTATATGACTTTAGTGAGAAATAATATTTATTCTTTAACGGATAGTTATAATAATATTTTGATTGGATAGAAAAACTGCGTGTGATTTTTGCTAACGATTGAACAGATTTATTTCTCTAAAAACTTTATTAAAACTCCACGCAGATACAGTTATCAATGATCTGTGAGTGATCAACTTTGATAATTTTTTCAAAATGTTATCTTTGTTAACTACGCGCAATTTTTCTATAATTCTTTTCGGTCGATTTTCGTTGATTTCCCGCTGAGTTCCTTTACTTGAGATTTGCTTACAATATACATTTAGGCTACATCCATTTACTTTCCTAATACTCAAGTCAAGATGCCACAATAAGCTTGAAAATTCTATCATCAGGACTCCTAATCTGTGCTGTCATACTGATTATTTCGTTGACTATACGTGTTGATGACGATAAGACAACACAAATCATCGTATCAATTTATTCCAAATATTGACATTGAAAAACAGTTTCTATAGGCATATATACATACAGCATATTCGCATATGAATTTTTATCTTTTTTCAAAAATGTGCAAGGCGCAGAAGAAAGATTAACTACGTGTGATATCGTCATATCTATTAGTATGATGATTCAATTGCACGTGCAGTGGCAAATATCTGCTTTAATTTTTAATGTTATAGTTTAATTTTCTGATAGAAATTTCTAAGAGTGTAATGATTAAGATTAAGAGAATATTCTGAAGAGTGTAATGTTTTTAAAAAGTAATTAGCATGCTGAGTCAGCGTGTATTGCTTGTTTTAGTAATTAAATTAATTTAGAAAGTTTAATTAATCATATAGTGTCACAAATTAAAGGAAACAAGTTTCAATTCAAAATGAAAAAAAAAAACAAAAAATCGTGATCATAATAATAAAATTCTTCTTGTATAGTCAATAGTGACAAAAAATACAAAAATTCGAAAGCCTTAAAAACCTTGAGAAACAAGGGGCGATTGGTATCACGCTTTACTTATAGAAATTTTCACAATTTTCTTATATAAAAACTATTTCAGATTTTCAAAATATGTAGTTTCATTGATTTGAAGATGATTGAAGGTCAGATAGCCAAGTTTTTGATCAGAAATGAGTAGTTACTGAAATGATATTGAAAAATTCATGATTCTTGATTATCTGCAAATTACAGTTTCTTCTATACTTCATGTTTGTTATGAATGTATTTAAAAATATCTAAGTAACAAATTTTATATATTACGTAAATTTAATTTTCATGTTATGTTGTACTCAATGTTATTTATTATTTTTTTGTTTTGTTATACTTTTATTATTCTTTATTGCACTGTTATTGTCATCACATTTTTTTTCTAATGTTACAAATCTGTGATATATAATTCATAAAAGAGAACTTGATCAAGAAAGTGTAGCATTAGTTATCTATTATTAATTATTTCTCATCTTGATTGCTAATCATTTTTTAATTAGAAATGTAATAATGCATATTTTTCGATTATCGCCAAATATCGCATATTGCCTATCGCCTATCGTTTAAATGGTGGTACTGGTCGTATCCGTGCCGCTAAAGTATCAATCACTGTAGAAGCGACTTTGACTATCAGGGTAGTCCGATGCTTCTCAGTTAAAGTTTACTCAAGTATCGATTCTCAAGGAGGTTTTCGATTATCGCAATAATGCATATTTAACAAAAATGTTTGATCAAAATTATTTTGTTTGTTAGTTCAAATATACAACTAGCTTATAACTAATAATACAAAAATATAATATTCTTTGAAAACTACTACTATTAATTGAAATTACCGTAGATACATATGTGGTGATGGTTTCAATTTCACAATAAAAATCAAGAATAAACATTTTGAAATGAGTATAATTATTAATAATTAGGCATTGTACCTAAAATTAAATTAAACATTTAATTTATTTAAATTGTTAAAAAATATGTGTCTATAATAATTACTCTAATTGAACTTGCATTTTTTTTCTGTTCCTAGCTAGAATTCACAAGAATGGAAGGCGAAGAAAACGAAATTGTGCAAATTGCAGATATAGATTCAAGTAGTGAAGAAAATTATGACGGCGATTCCGACGACGAAGATCTGCGAGAATATTACTTGACTGCAGTTCGACATCACAGCAAACTTTCCAAGAAAGAATTGAAAAGATTATTGAAGAGCAGCCAACCCGAGGATCAAAAAGCATTGAATAAGATTATCACGAATATACTATTACGTGACAACAGCGAAGCTTTGTATTATTTACTCAAAAAAGGCCACAAACTAGATACTTTTGACGAAAGGGGAGAAACGATTTATCATAGCGCATATTATCAAAACTCTCTATCAATTTTGTCCCTGCTGTTAGAATGGCAATGCGACGAATTAACGGATGACGACTACGTCGACGGCAATGGGTTGTCCTGCCTTCACATCGCTTCTTTCGGCGGCACTGAAAATTCTGTCAACAAATATTTAAAATTTAGCGACAACGTTAACGCTCACTACAGATGCAACTTCGACGATTACAGATATAGAAACGAAATTAATCGGGATGGTTTTACGCCACTGCATTTCGCGGCCATAAACTACAAAACACGCAGAATTCTGAGGTTACTGTTGGACAACGGAGCTGACGTCAGCGCTATGGATTCCTCAAATAGAACGGCTTTGCACATAGCTTGTCGTTCTTACGAATCACCGGAGTACGTGAATCATGATTCTATCGATACTTACAGCAGCATCAGTGTCATGAAAGTTCTCGTGGAGTACAAAAGTGACGTCAATGCAAGAGACAATGAAGACAATACACCGCTGTTAAGTATCTTTCCCGATGATTTTGGCGTCTTCGAAACCACGAGAGGACTTGGTTTCATCGAATCCATTCCCTTGCTCGAGATCAAGGAAAAGCTTAAGTTTCTATTGCAGCAAGGAGTCGACGTGACTGCCAGAAACAAGAATGGCGACAACATTCTACATCTGATCGTGAAAAATTTAGACCATTGGCGATGCTCACCGACGTATTCGGAGCTTTCGTTCGACTTCGATAACGATCATCGTGACATGGTCAAACAGGTTCTAGAAGTTGATCAGAGACTTGACGTAAACGTGAGAAATAACAAAGGCGACAGTCCAATACGGTTAGCAGTGTCGTCCATCAGTAGTCAGATCGTCAAAGTTCTTTTAGAATACGGTGCCGATCTGAGCGACATCCGATTCGATTATCAATATGTGAGCTGCTTCAACTACCCGAGGATTTTACCGGATTTGGATGCAGTGCAAAACGTGATCACCGTGGTCAAGTTACTCGCGAATAACGATTGGGAATTGACATTGGAAGGCAATCTCGCAGTAATGAAATTTTTGGTACACGACGTTGACGCTTGTCAATGTCGTAGCCTGTTGGATGTACTGCATTTAGGTTCTCTCAAGCACATCAATCTCATTTTGAACAAGAAAATCGATGCTTTGACCGACAACTCCGGAACTGATAAGCATCAGATTATCGTCGATATAAACCAATTTTTTTTAAAGAAAATGATAATTGGCCCGGACAAAGACATAGACGTTTTGTACAGCCTTATCATCGCGTATCACAAGCTCGCGGTTACAGTGACAGTCGAAGGAGTCGAATCGCTGCAATCAATCATATTCGAAAAAGTAAAAATGCAGCTTACCAAATTACAGGGTAATTTTACTGTTCACAGCGTGCTGATTGAACACCCAGATAACATTTATTTTCTCGTTAGAAACCATAATTTTCAGAGTATTGCAAAGAATTTTCCGATTTACGAGAACTTCATCAAGGGACACGTTGCTAAAGGTTTCATCAGACATTACATCGAGAATTCAGCTTACGCTTATCTGGAAAGGCTGTCTTTTGCTTTCATTCCGTATACTTGTTGCAAGCGTATTTTGTATTATTCGACAAACGAAGACATTTTGAATCTGTGTTTAGCAGCTGTTCTCAGTGATGTTTAAATGTTTAAAAAATTGGAACTTACGAACATGAAGTATTTGCTGTTCTATGATGTTCAACATTCTCGATGTTTATTTTTACTTTTATTTTAGGTTTAAAATACATTGTTGCCGTTGAGTTGTCTTGTTTAACAATAAATAAAAATCGTTTATTTCCAATCCACCATCGGTGGTCTACATTCCATATTAAAGAACGAATTCACGTTGTTTTTGGAAAACTTGATTAAATTTGTATCTATTGTCTATACAATACACTAGTGCCTTTATTAAAATACTACAAATTCGAAAAAATCGATTTTTCCATTCTTTACAGAATACCATTATTTTTAATTGAGTTGAATAACTTTGAGGTTTTTATTTTGTAGAGCTACGCACCAGCGCTAATATGCGTGTGTGGGTGCAACTTTTATAATATAATAACTCTATAATAATTATATGTTTTGCGTGAATATTACTTGATTTAGCGCTACTGTTATAAATTAAAATTATTATTTACAGAACGAAATAGAATTGAACGATATACCCGCGTGTCTACGCTTCAATGATAAATTGAAAGTTCAGCGAGCTATGTGCAGCATTTGATAATACACGCAATGCTACGTCGCGCATATCGTATAAGAAAAAAAAATGCTACTGTGTCGACGAAGTGTTTATTTGTTCTTGAATGATTCAAGATAAAGAACATAAAATGCCAAAACGTTTCCAACGATCGCTATTGAAGAAACGCGTGTCTGCGAACGTGCACGCGCCAACTATAACGAGTGAATCTCGTAACGAGCGTCTTATCGCGTTTCCTCGCGTCGCACTCCACGCGAAGACGTCGATTAATCGGCTCTTGCGCTTCTTTTCCCGCGACGCGCTGCAATTCGCTCGTGACAGTTATCCAAAGTAGTTTGAAGAAGTATCGCGGGCGTATTCGCCGTCTGCTTTCGTTGGCTCGGCAGATCGCGTATCCGACAGAAGCAGAAGCGACTGTCCACGGGAGAGGCAAAGGTAATCCACTAAGATCGATTGGCGTAGTGCACGACCAGCGATTTCGGCTAGCGTGAAACGTCCAGTCGATTCGTCGGCGCGACCACAAAATATCGCACAGCGCCTCATCAGATCCGCGCGGCGTTGCAGATGTGCGTGAGGTCGGTCTACGAACGGCTGCAGGCGTCGACGGCGCTGGAGAAGGAGGGCGCAGCCGCGCTGTCGGAGCCGCGCGGCGACGCAGGCGCACTTGGCCAGCTGTTCCGGCAGGCGCTGGGCGAGGGCGACGCCGTCCACCGGGCGCTCTGCAGCTGCGACCGGACTCGGCGCGAACACCATGGGCCCCGGCTCGGTGGCGCGCTGCACCTGGCCGCCGAGCAGTCGCGCGCGCCGCTGGTCGAGCTGCTGCTGCGCCACGGCGCCGAGGCCAACGTCGCCGACCACCGCGGCCGCACGCCGCTGCACCTGGCCTTCGCCGGGCGGCCCGACCCGCCTGACCGCCACCGGCGCCGGCTGCGCGTGGTCGAGCTGCTGCTGGACGGCGGGGCCGACGTCGACGCTCGGGACCATCGCGGCGACACGCCATTGCACCGGCTGCTACACTCGATGGAAGCCCAGCGACGGCCCGCAGCCCTGGCGAGGCTCTCGCTCGACGATGCCGCCCACGCGGAGAGCGCCAGCGCGCTGCTGGCCGCCGGGGCGGCGACCGACGCGCTCGACGGCCGCAGCCGCTCGCCGCTGCAGCTGGCCGTGCGCCTGCTCAGCCTGGGCATGGTCGAGCTGCTGCTGGAGCACGGCGCGCGCGTCGCGCCGCTCCGCCTCGACGAGGTCGGCTTCTGCTACGCCGAGCACCTGGTGCCGAGCCTCGAGGCAACGAACAACCTGCTGAACATCCTGGACAAGCTGTCGAGCCACGGACTGCCGCTGGATGCACGGGACCACCTGGCCGTGCTCGGGTTCCTAGTCGGGAACCACGTCGGCTGCCGCTACGACCTGTGTGCGGACGGCAATGCCGCGTACAAGCTGAACAACCTGCTGGAGCTGGGTACGCCGAGTCGGTGAAGCGCGCCGCGTGGCTTCGTTTCAGCGAACAGCGCTTGTGTTGCAGGCACGGACGAGAACATCGTCGCGGCCCTCGCCAAGCTGCCCCTGGACATGTACGACGCGAGTTTCGAGGGTCAGTCGATGAAGAAGCGTATGGTGCAGCAGCTCTGCGAGCACGCCGTCATTCTGGACAGAGGCGGCTTTTACGTGAGCAACGAGGTCCGCGAGGGCTTGAACTCCAAGATCGCCAGCTTGGAGAGGTGCATTCTGAAGGTGATCGGGCCATGCCGAAGGCCGAGCGCCCTTGATCTGCTGCAGTTCGAGGCCGAGTTCCGAGCCATGAGGGCTACGGCGCTGAACGCCAGCACCTCCCTGCACGACGTGCTGACGATGAGTCCGCGAAAGCTCTATTACTACATCAAGAACTACGGCTACGAGGTCAGCCAGTCGAGCTCCGCCGAGAGTTATCCGCGCTGCGGCGGAATAATCAGGGGCCACTTCGCCAAAAGCCTGGTCAGAAGGTACGTGACCAAGTCGTCAACCGAGTACTTCAGGCACTTGATCGGCTTGCCTCTGCCGGATCTCTGCTGCGACAGAATTCTCGACTTCTTGGACAACGACAACCTGCTCAATCTGTGCATCGCAGCAGCCGAGCTCAATTTTTAAAAAGCGGAAGAATTGCAATAGCGAACGCGCTTAAATTCCACTTGCCGACGAATTGTCTTTGCCATTTTTTAGCGTTGGTTTGTATGGGCTTGGTGGATTTGACGAATGATCGCGTTCATCTGAAAAGGCTGATTTGTCCTAACTGCTGGAATAACTTCGCTAAAGTAAAACTGATATATTGTATGCAGTAATATGCCGTGATGGGAAATTGACAACGAATCTCTTTAAAAAACGATGACGATGTCGTGACTACGGTAGTGCGGCTGATGAGATATTTTAATAATACGTAATACAAACACGCACACGCACATACACACTTACGCCAGTAAACTTATTATTTCGGCGATTGTTTTCTTTCACCTTTTCACGAATTTAATGCTGTATCAAAAAGAAAATCTGTATGAAATTTTATATAAAAAATATAATTTATGTACTATGTATTGAAAGTATTTGCTGCATGTCGCGCTCACGTTTCCATATATACATCATATTATTATATTCTTTATTTCACCCCTTCCGCCTAATTTTACTCAATCCCTTCTATTCATTATTTTACCACTTAAAATGGCAAAAAACTAATTTGGTCGCTAGGCCAAGAACATTTCCTGTTATTTGAACGTAATTGCGGGACGTAATAGTACACTACGATACAAGTGCGGGAAAGTAGATTCTTATCTCGTGTGGCGTTTATCCCAAGCGAAGCGAAAAACTCTTTCCCGAACATGTGCAGTACCGTATTTTTTTATACAGCGTGTGGAAATTGCGATTTTCAACGCGCGGGAAAAACCCACTTTCCGCACGCTCGGTAAAAAACGCGCGTTGAAAATCACACTTTCCACACGTCGTATCAAAAAATACGGTACGGCACATGTTCGGGAAAGAGTTTCTCGTCTCGTTTACCTTTCCACCCTCGCTTCGCTCGGGCGTAAACGTCACACGAAACAAGAATCTATTTTACCGCACTTGTATCGTAAAGTACTATTTTAAGACGTCAAGTAATATTACTACGAGTAATATTCTTATTTAAGAAAATTAAAGTTTCTACGAAGCGTTTATGTTCCGAATGGAGGTCCCCTTAAAATTTTGACCGTAAAGTTGGCTACATTGGTCAACATTGTTATCACAACCATGTATGTACATACATACACCCAACGTGGATTGAATCGCGACCCCCCTCAGTTAGGCTGGTATGAGAATTCCGTCGTTGCATCGGAACGAAGAAACCGCGGGAAAATTCTATTGTAGATAGTAAATAAATAAATAAATAATAACTTATCTAAATGCCAGCATAACGATAAATCCTTGCTGAAGCAAAAGCAGGTAAAAGCATAAGAAACTCGGAAGAAACATTTAAAATAGACATATACACGTGTAAACAGGCTTTTTCAGGTCTGCTATTCGAGCTTTGATTTTGACTGCTACTTTCAATCCGTAACGGTGGTTTTCAGATCGGTCATAGTATAACGCTCGTTCTTAAATTATATAATTAAAACCTAAAATCAAATAATCATGCATCTAAATTCATTGTTCGGCAAACAATTAATTTTAAACCTAAAAACAAATTAGTAACGTTTTAGCTTTTTATCGTGTCTTAAAACGAATTTTCATTTTTTGAATTTTCCCGCGGTTTTTTCCTTCCGATGCAACGACGGAATTCTTATACCAACCTAACTGGGGGGGTCGCGATTCAATCCACGTTGGGTGTACACATATTTTTAACAAAACAAATATAGTTTATTTTAATCTGACCTGTATATTGAAGTATTTTTATAATATGCTACAATGGATTATTACTTTAAATTGTTAAGAAGAATGGAAGTAAAATTAAGTTCGTTATTAAATAATTCAACAAATATAAAACAGCTATAAGTTTTTGATCAATGATTGTTTTTTTCAATTTTAACTAGTCAATTCAATTTTTTTATTACTTTGTTCAGAATTATGTTATTTTATATAGTTAAAATATTAATTATAAAATGGACATGTCGACAAACTTATAGAAAACCTTAGAAAAAATTATTTATGTATATGTACATAAAATGTGAATGGTTAATTGAGTAGAATTTAAATTACTTATTATTATAATTACGCAATGTAGAACTCATATAGGGATATCGATCTGGTGATTAGCAAACGTTTTACCTGTTTTATCGACTAACTGCCGCATATTACTAATTTTTACATTTTTCTTAATTTTTGATAGAAAATCGACAAAAGGAAAATTGTTTCGTAATCCGGGAATAAGCAGCTATCATCTGCTATCGATATTCGATATTTCTTTTTAATCAGGAGAAAAATGTTTAATGCATTTTGCGCGCTGTACGAACGCCCGTTTTTTTTCGCAATTTTCTTAAAAACGGAAAATCGGGAAATAAAATTTCAAGCGGAGACATAATCCGGAAAAAGGGAGAAAACGAGCTTTAGCTCATGAAAACTCAAAAATATGATTAAAAAATTTTTTTGGGCGTCAGATTCACAAGTCTGAAAAAACTGGGACAAATTTCGTTTTTCTAATGTCGCATGGACGTCGCTGTGACCAACCTTACGGCCGAAATTCTTAAAGGGCCCTACATTCGGAACACAGCCGAAATAACTAAAAATAGAGAATAGGGAACAGAGTATACGACGCCGACGGCTAGCCGTAGTACTAACATTACAGTTCAGTGTTCACACTTCACTGTTTAGTTCAGTTTCAGTTCAGCTCAGCTCAGGGTAGGTTGCAGGGACACAATTACACGAGAGAGAGTGGAAGTGAAACAAAGCGACAATAAAGTTCGCATCCTAATAGAAATTAATACCCACAGGTATAAAGATAATTATAACGAGTGTTAGTGCAGTTGTATTAATTGTTGCCGAAAAACATTACCTCGCATAGACGAGGCACAGAACAAACGGAACTTGTGTAACTCTATAACACAGCGATGCTATAGTAACTTTTTATCCGACCATTTGTTAACGATTTCCCCATTAAATCATTCAGGTAATTAGATAGAAATATTAGTTTCTAATTCATTGTTTATTGGCAATTAGTAAGGAACTAATTGCGTAAAGAGGTGATTTTCACCTTTTGGTCAACGTTTCAAAAAATAACAATTAAGTGGTTAATGGTTACATACAAATTTTGAGCATTCTTTCGATGCCGGTCTATTTTTTAATGGCTAAATAGGGCAAACCATACCACCTAAATCTGAAGAAACTGAAAAATAACACAATTTCATAAGTATTTCTTTTCAGTTTTGCCAAAATAAAAGAACTGAAGACTTGTTTCAGATGTTAGATTACTAGCATAGATCAATTTATTCACTCCTTTACCTTATCAATACCTAGTGCCATGACATTTAGTTTTGAGTGCACAGAACTTAGTGACTGTTGATTACAAGACAAGATAATAGATAAAAAGAAAAAAAGTCGACCGAAATTAATTTTACTATTGCAAACCATGAATGACAGAATTTTATTTACTAAGGTATAAAATTTTAGAATAACCAAAAATTTGACTATTATTTTTTATTTAGTATTCAGTTATATGTTTTATTATATTATTATTACAGAATGCAGAGAATAGAAAGACAAAAATACCATCAAATTCAGATGATGCTTTTCAAAATTTTATAAAAACATGTTTAGAAAGAAGAAGTGATAAGGACACCAAAAAGGTTTTACAGAAATTAAACAAATTGTATGACAACCTTAGTTCATATCACAAAACTGACAATAAGTTCACATTATACATCAATACTTGTTATAAGAAAATTATAAAAAACATTGCCAAAGATATCTTTACTCCTATTTTGGAACTTCGCACTGAGATCAAAAATCGTATTAAAAGTAAATTGAAAAATAAAATAATGCATGACAATGAAGTTATTGTTGAAGCACAGGAAATATCAAAAGAGAATAGGATAAAAATTAAACAACTTGAAGAATCTATAATACAATGTCGAAAGAAAATCAAGGAACTTGAAAAGCAAGAAGTTAATTTTGATGACGATGAAAATTCCTCTTACATTCAACAAGATAAATATAAGAAAAGATTAATTCAATTGTGCCATTGTTTAAGTAAATTGAAAGGAGATAAAGCTATGAAAGAGCAAATATTGAAAAAGAAAATCAGAAGAAAAAATATTCAAGGTGAAATGACAGGTAATTTATTACTTGATCAAGCTATCATAAGTGCTATAAATTCGGAAATTAGAAAAATCAATCGGCTACAATATCTGGAGACTAAAAGTTGTGCTGATTTTATTAAAATGCCTGAATATATAGATATTTTACAATGTATTAAAAAGTGTAATAAAAACAATGACCTTGGCCTAAGTGATGAACAAATCATAAAATCAGGTAAATTATTTAGCTTTAATTTATGTGGAAATTCTATGTATAGTTTCATTTTCAGTTTCATATTTGTTTCTGATTCGAAATCATTTCTGAACTATGTTTCATTGCACAAATATTCTCCAATTACATATCAATAAAAATACATACAACTATTTACTTGCAATATTGATGTTTTTAGTCTGTACTTATTTATTTATTTTATTATTATTTTCAGCTAAAGCATCTTACCAAGTTGTTGGAAAATTTTTAAAACAACAAAGGATCAATGAGTTGAAATTGTACATGCAATTTATAATTCATGGCAGTGAAGATCCTGCTAAGAAAGATAGCGAATTACAAAACACATTACAACAAAATAAAGAAAAGGGGGATCAAAAACTCTATCAAGTTTATCAAAAATATACTGACATACAAGATAACTTGAGACTAGAAAAAACTAAAGACACAGCATTTAAATCTAAAGAGCCATTGAAAGATAATACAGCGACAGAAAAAACACTTACATCTAATGATTCAAAAAATAGTATAAAGAAGAAAAATTTTGAAAAGATTGATGAAATTGTGAAAAATGAAATAATAATTATAGACAGTAGTGACGGTTAGTTGGAAATTAAATTGTATTTAATAGAATTAATTTTATTATGTGAAATTCAAGTAAATTGAATAAGTAGCATAATTTTTATAGCTATTGTCATAAATTCTGTTTCAGATGAATGTGTGGTAATAGAAAATCCAAAATCATCATTCATTAAAGTTTGTGCTTTTGCAAAATCACCGCCTGCTTGGGTAGATGATAGAAATCTACTAAATACTATTGAATCTCCACCGTTGACAGTGGATAAAGATGTAAGTAATAATCTAGATATTGAACTTTATTGATTAATAGTACACCGTATTTGAAATGTAATAATTTTGAATGGCATTGGAGATTTTAACAGTTCATTTATTCAACAAAAGAAATATTTGAAAATTTTTTATTTTTATAAATTAGTTATATTACAACATTAATGTATATCTTGGCTAAATATTTTTGATATTAAATTTGCTATGTTCATTAAGTAAATAATATATGTTGATAGTTATATTTCAAATCCATATACATATAATGTAAAATTACTCTTAGCTTGTAACTTATAATTTTTAAGGTTACTTTTCTCAAATATTGAACATGTTTACATCTACAAGGAAAAATATATAAAAATGAAATTAATTCTTTTTATACAAAAGTTTTTTTGAAATTTGTATTATGAAATATGATATTCTATAATATAATAATTATAATTATCAGTAGTAAAATATATTAGTTAATGATTTTCTAAAGAGGTCAAACTTAAATTTATTAATAGTTATTTATTTATTGAAAATATTGTACAAGGATAAATCACCAAATCATTCATTAAAAATTTAAAAGGACAATGTATCAGATTTCTGTTTGCCTTATCATATATTTGCTGTAAAACGATTAATTTTATATTTCAACTATGCAGATACACCTTTCCATGATATATCTAAAAAATGTTATATATATATATCATATACTAGTACTTAATTTTATATCGAACCATGTTTTATACTACATTGTAATAGTAACACTTATGGACATAGATACAATCAAACATTTAAGCAAATACTGTCTGAATTTAAAAAAAATAATATTTTTTTACAATTTCAATCTAAAGCACTTCAATAAAAATTAAAAAATTAATAATACAATTTCATTTACATATTGACGTTAATATTGATTTATTTTATTAAAAAATTTGTTTTTGATATTTATTACCAGACAGAAATAATATACATTAGAAATCAATAATATACAAGATATATGTAATGATGTTTGTTTAACAAAAATCATACCCATTTACCAATAGAACAACATAAATTAATTTAATAAGTTTTAATAGTTTATACTATGATAATAATAAAAACCATAGTAATTAAAGAAATTTATATTATAGATTTATATGTATTAAAATTACAAAATAATTTTGTATATTGATTGTGGCGGAATATTTTTAATAAAATCTGTATGTAACGTAATTATGTGTGTGTATGTGTGTGTGTATTAAATTTTTTTTTTCATTATTGATTTATTATTTTCAGTATTTATTAGTCAATAAAATCAAATAATTATTGTGCGTATTCTACACATTTCAATTTGTATGTTATCATTTGCATTAAGCTTTATTATTATTGAATTATTATAAATTGAGTTATTATTGTGATATGTGCATAATACTTATGTCTCTCAAAAATGTAACTATTTTAGTTGTACTTGAAAAGACTGAAATCAACAAAGACAAAAATTATTTTTCCTATTCATTTATTAAATCCTGTATGAAAAAGTATTGTGCTTTCAACTACAGTTATTGAATCTTGTACAAGCTATGACTTCAGATGAATTTGAAAATGTTTGTCAGGCAATTTGGTGCAGAATAAATTTTAAAATCTAAAATCTAAATTTTTAGGGATTCCCCTGTATGGCTTAATTTCTCATTAATATATTTCGATTCAATGATAATTTAAAATCACAATCTTGCTATTTTTTATAAGCCTAAAATACATTAATGGAGAGCTGTAAATATATTAAGAATAATAGTAATATTAACGTGATTTTGGTATCTTTGTTAGATTTGAAAGATCCAGTTGTTAGTGGAGTAGGATTAATTCATTTACATGTATTAAAAATAACCATTTTTCTTATAAAGTATAATGAAAAAAATTATTAGAGACATTGGACGTCGGACATTGCATAACTGTTAGATGTTTAGTATATTGAAAAAAGATAGTAAAATATGATATATTATTGTAATAATCATGCTAATACAGTAGATTTATATTTTTTATGTTTGTTCACATCCCGCGCAATTACGAACACATCCACAACAATTTATTTGTTAACTTATGTTATCCGATGTTTGTTTTCCGATGTTCTATGTCTCCTAATGTAGAAAGAAGTCCCTATAGTTTATGTTTTTTATACTGATAGTCGTATGTTAAAAAGCGTTGAATAAAAAAATGATGCATCAGAAGATTCATAAACTTTATTAGTAAATATCTTATTTATTTCATTTAAAATGTTCTTCTTGCTACCTATAATATATGTCATCTATAATCAACTTTTTAATTATTTTCTTCAAATCAGGCAATATAGCACACTTAAAATAAATATGAAAATATTTTGTTAGTGGTAATGGTACAAAAATCTGAAAATATCAGAAAATGAAAACTTAATATTCATTTTTGTATTAGAAGTATAAACATAAATAGAAAGTATTCCTTTCTAAATTTCAAGATTGTATGATCTATAATTAAATCATCTAATTAAATTTTCGAATATGTTTTTATTATTTTTTTTCTTAACTCATTTTATATTGTTGCTTTATGTAAATAAAAATTTGCTCCATTATTTATATTTATCTGTGTTTATTGACGTGTCTTTGACTAACTAAAAGTCGGTATGCCAACACTTATACGTGTGATAATTATTATATGGATAAAGAATTTTCAAAAAGCGATCAGACTATATTTATTTTTATACGTTGCTTCTACAATTAGGAAGGAATGATATAGGAACCCTATATAATACCTAGAGTGTCATTTTGGATAATGGACCTACAACTTAAAATGGAATTCAAGCCGTCAGATCTACAGTATTAATTTTGACACATTCACTTTATGCCATTAGTACCCACCGGAACTCGAATGGACTCGAACCCCGAGGAAAAAACGACGTTTTGTTTGCTAAACCGTGGTTCTTTTACGTAATAATAGTGTCGCACATGCGCAACGTACTTTTGAATTAGATTATTATTAGTTATAACCTAGAACAATTGATTGGTAAACTTATCGATAATCTTTATTGTTACGGATTTTTTTCTATAATATTTATAAATAGTTATAATTTACATAAATAAATACAAATAATAGAATAGAGAATGTAAAATTGTCTATATAAGTTTTATATTACTTCATTGCAAAAAAGTTTTAATCGAATCTTCGAAATGTAAGTATAGATGTAACTTATATCATTTCTTCCAATTAAAAAATAATAAAATTGATGAGTAATAATAATAATACCATCAATGTTTATTGATCGTTCATACATGTAATAAATTTTATATTAACGAACGAATTTTTCGTTAATACCTACATACGTTAGATATGAAGTTTAAATTATATTTTATATTTTTTCCAACAGTCTTCGACCTACGACATAATCCATCTATATGGTGAATAATCATCATGCAGCTGCTAGATGAAAATGAATCAGTATTAAAACTAGCTCAATTCAGAAAAATTCTTGAAAAGCCCCGTATTAACAATAAACAAGTCGAATTAATCATTCAAGGTTTAGACCTAAATTTTCAAGTTCCAAGTACAGCTTTCTTGGAGAAAAATGACAGTAAAGTGATTGGTGGTACAGTTTTACATTTGGTTTATAAAATGAAAAGAATTGATATTTTCAATAATTTGCTAAACAAAGGTGCAGATTTCACTATAAAAGACAGAGATGGCTGTACAGTTCTTCATAAATCTTTTCAAGATTTTTTAGACTATTCCTCACATTTGAAACTAAATAATCAACTTGATTTAAAACCAATAATTGACGTAACACGTTTATTTATTACTTCAGTACTAGTAGCTCATCTTAAATATAAAAATACTTCAAATCCTTCAGATTGTGATGGATTAACACATTTCCACATTGCATTAGCAGAAAATCATATTCAGCTTGTTAAGTTATTCTTATCTAATAATGTATCAATTAATCAAGTAACGAATACGAAACATTTCCCAGGTTACACACCTTTGCACTTTAGTGTTCAGTATATACTTCCCCACATGGTTGCATTACTTTTGAAACATGGAGCAAATGTATATGCAAAGGATAACAAAGACCATACAGCACTCCACATCTGTTTAGAAAGAATCCTTACATGTAATAATACTCCTGTTATGTCTAGCTTTGTGACAAAGATTGAAATAATTAGACTTTTCCTGCTAAAATATTTTGATTTTACAACACTTCCACATATTTATGTTGTTGGCACTACGAGAATTTCATTACGACAGCTCAAAAAATTGATACATCATGGATTTAATGTTAATCAATCTCTAAGTACAGATTCCAAGACATGGCCAGGATACTCATTGCTTCATTTGGCTTCACTTGTTAATATTCATCCAGTAAAGATATTGATAAAGCATGGAGCAAATATACTGGCAGAAAATAAATCTAGAATTACTCCTTTATATTTCATATTTTACAAATTCAAAGCGGAAGCCGTATATGAGATATTATCTTTAGTTCCAAATTCGAAAAATATTATGTTATCAAATAATACGATGAAATTACTTGATTTAATTCTCTTATTCAAAGACTTGAATAAAATCAGTAATTTTCTTCAGCAGTCAGAAGATAACGTCAAATTGCATGTATCTTTTGAGGCACCTATACTACCTGGTTATTCTATGTTGCATTTAGCAATACTATTCGCTCAGAAAATAGTCATTAGACCAGACAATAGAAATATATCAAACCTTGATATAATTAAACAATGTTTAGATCTAGGTGCAGATGTGACTTTCCAAAATGCTAACTGTTGCTCTGCAGTCCATTTGGCCTATACTTCAGACAGTAAAGAAATTTTGAATTTATTATTAATGTATCATCACAAAATGATAAACCCTGTTGATAAAAATAATTTATCTCACCTTCACATTGCTTGTTCAATGAACAACTCTAATCTAGTTGAAAGATTACTGTGGAACAACGTTAATATGAATGAAGTGTACAAAGGAACATCTTGTTGTTATGGTGTGACTCCTGGATCGACACCATTGCATATAGCAGTTTTGAGACGTAACTGTCAGATTGTCAAATTGCTACTTAGATTTGGTGCGGATCCCCTTATACTGGATAGTCGTTCGGATACTGCAATTCACTATTTATTGGATGATAGTCAATCGAATGAAATTAGTCAAATTTTATTTTCGTCGATAAATTTTGCGGATTGCGTAGAGAGATTCATGGGAGTCGATTATCTACATGTCGCTTGTAGCTCCATAAATACCGATGCTGTTAAAAAATTACTTGCTCTCGGAGTAAACGTTAACCAGAAGTTGGCTCTTCGAAAGCTGGAGGAGCACAATAATTATCCGCCAAATTTAACGACTTTTGCAGAGACTGAAAATACACCGATACACACTGTGTTCATGCGATCTGAACCTTCGGAAGAGCAGGCTGAAATCGTGAAATTGCTGATTAACCGAGGTGCTGACATACTCATCAAGAATTCTTTAGGTTTTACCCCGATAAGCTTTATCTTAAATTCACGGTACAAATCATTTCACGAAATTCTCATATCAACATTGGAAAGCAAAAATATATTACGGCGACGCGTTGAGACTGAAACCGGACTGACGTTACTTCATTTGGCCTGTCACAAGCTTGATTTGGAAATGATGCAGCAACAAATATTGCAAACAACCAATGTCAATGTACAAATCCGCGAAGACTCGACGATCTGGCCGGGTTTCACTCCTCTGCATGTGTTGATCTTCGCTATAAACGATTCCACGGAGAACGATGACCATATAGCGCTTATTCAATTACTGTTAAACCATGGTGCTAACGTTACTTTGCAAGACAATAATAAAAGCACACCGCTGCATATAACTTACGAGTACCTCGATAAATGTCCAAGTAAGTTATTCTCTGGTAAGATATTTTTATTGCCGAGTGCGAGCAAAAAAATGTATGTACATTGGCGCGCTTGTGTTTGTATTTTATAACAGGTATTTTGGGAAACATCCGTATGAATATGCTGTTGGACGCTCAGAGCAATTTCGAGATCAACCCAACCGACTTGAACGGTCTATCTCACTTACACATCGCCTGTAGCTTATTGAATGCCGACGTCGTGGAAAAATTGTTAGTGCACAACGTGGGCATCAATGTAAATTCGAAGATCGACGTGTTTATCGGTTCTGATAAAATGGCCGGCTCTACTCCGCTACTATTGGCTCTGCGAAATGACGAGTTACAGCCCCCTGCGGCATACAAGCAATTAAAAATTTTCGATATGCTAATAAAACACGGAGCGGATGTCAAAGCCGCGGACATCTCCGGCAACACCCCGGCGCACTTAGCAGCTTCTAATCAATGTAGTTGTACAAGAGAGCATCTTATACAGAAACTTGCCAAGTAAGTGGTTGTTTCGTTAACATTTTTGGCCGACAGCTTTATTCTGCTGATTTTCAATTATAATCTGACATTTCAGATGCGGCATCGATATGAATGCCAGGAATATACTAGGAGAAACACCGTTACAATCACTCATTTTAACGGAAAGGGTGGGGCACCAGGAAATACGACTCTTTATCTCCTACGGTAGTATTTTTAATGACTTCAATTCGATTACGGGAACTGGATATATAGCACAATTTATGAACGACAATCAATCACGTTACACGGAATACTTTCTTGACAATTTATATAATGATTGTCCGCATGTGGTCAAAAATGATCATTTGAATCGCAGCTCTCTTCACAATATTGTTTCATCTCCGTTATCGGAAGTGGACGCGTCTGAGTATATAACATGCTTTGATGGATTGAAGAAATTTGGCTTAGATATTGAAGACAAAGACAACCTAGGTAAGCCATTGTTTTTAGAAAATTTTGACGGTAATCTATGTTTCGGTCTGTACATTTCTGTAATGATCCTTGTTTATATTATCCTAACAGGCAGAACGGCTCTTCATACAGCAGCTATATTCAGGAGCGACGGTGGTACTCGAGCATTATTATTATACGGTGCTGACATAAATGCAGTGGATAACAATGGTAATACTCCATTGGCATATCTTTTACCACCGTATACACACGATCATTGTCCAATGGACTGTACAGAAAATCACGATAAGGAGGAGGTCGAATACATCGTTGGATTTTTCATAAACCACATTAAAAAAATGCATCTTATGAATCTGGAGGTGAACCAGATAAATGAAAAGTTACTGGAAAAAGCTATTGAATTATGTAGTGATATGATAGAAGATCTAAGTCCCTTTTTATCACAAGTACAAGAAATAACGAAATTGAATATAGACCCTTACTCGCTGACTATTGCAGACTTTATATCAGATTATAGTGCAGTTACAGAGTTTTGCAGAATGCCACAACCTAAACGTCAAGCAATCGCTGATTACTTTCAGAAAAATACACCTCGATTTCGGATTCAATTAAAAGAAGTTGCCGGCTTAATACAACTACAATATAGGAAAGCTTTGAAGCGTTGTCAAATTATCGACGATGCACTAGCGTCTTTGGCAGAAATACTACGTTATAAATTTCCTGATTTTATTTTACATAAAATTTTAGAATGTTTGAAAAATTCGGAATTGAATTACTTGATTGAAGCTGGATTGCGATTTGTCAACAAAGAAATGTTAATGCAAGTAGATTAATCATAATGTGCAATATATGCTATAATACTTAGGTGAAACATGTGATAGCAGTGTCAATTTCGTTGTTAGATGCCTCGATCTCGTTTATGTTTGATTCTAGTTAGTAGTTTAGTTTGGGACAGCATTGTTTGTAATCAAGTTTGAGTTTAATTCTTTACCTAAATCTGGAAAGTAGAATATATTTTTTAGACTATTTACAAATAAATGAAATGATTAATTTTTGCAAACTTTAGTCATGTGAAATTGAAAAACTTTCATATTTGATAAATACATCAATTCCGTCAATCAAAATGTTCACCGTCTAACTCGTCCAATTTTGTTTGTCATATACTATCGCAAAGGTCACAACGCTTATATCGAAAATCGTGCTTTTAATAAATGAATTATATTGATAAAAATTTAAAGTCAATTTTTATTTACAAATTTTTTTAATAAAAATAAAACATTAACTCTTCTTATTTTAGATTTTCGTTGTTGATTATATGTATAAAATGTCACGCATTGTATAGTCGTAAACCCGTTCAACTGATGTAATAATTAAATTAACAAATCTATTCATAGGCATAAATATGTACAGTACTAAATGTATAACAGATAAGACACTCGACTTCAGTCATTATTAACACCTCAATACCGTGTATTGTCACTTGACAAGTCATGGAGTAAATCATCAATTTTACTTGTATAACTTCAGAATGTCAAGTACAGAAACCCAAGTGCCTGTAACTAGTGCACCGAGTGAGAAAAGAACCAGAAAAACGTTTTTCCATACCCTCCAATAGCCAGAACCGAGGTGGCCATCCCAACAGGACACCGTTTCTATGATCGCTGGAAAGCAGATTCCAAGGATCGAGAAAAAAATCGATCCTACTAGTGAGATGAACGGCGCGAGAGTTGGTACGATTATAGCTACGCAGACTGAAATGAATAGCATTCACACATATAAATCAAAATTTTATGACACGATGTTTTTTTTCTAAATTAGTATAACTTTGGCTCGTACCTGTGAACAGCACTAGGATCACCCTCAAAACTGTTTGCCCAACATTTTCCCACCTGTGACCGAACCTGTGCTTCGTAGCTGTCCATATAATTTCCATGGGCACAAAGTACTGTAGTCCGTAAGTTAGCGTGACGGAGAGTGCGACCAACAACTTGGCGATCTGTCCAATGCTAATTGTAATACATAATATGTCAGTAAATTGCGAGCGTAGCTGATTCAACCAGTAAAAGAGTCGTCATATTCACGTCTTATCGATCGGAAGATTGTTGGAGAAGCTGCCATCAGCTGCATCCCCAAAGCTCATGTAACCTAGCAGCCCCGTCAGCGTGTACAGCGTGACGACGACCATCATCGAAATGTTGAGGACGCTGGGGCAGCCGATGAAGTTTTTCGGATTTTTCATGCTGTTTTCGATCGGCATCACCTATGTGGCATGAGTCAAGCGAGATGTATACACGCACGCGTCGAAACATCGAATTCGCTTTTCTCAAAAAATATCCAAGACAAATACTCGGATGCCCGCAAACAAGCAGTGCAACGTGGAACAAGAAAGGTTTACAAATTGGTACTCACAGTACCAATTCCTTCGATGGCAAAGATGACAGTGGCGAAAAATTTGGGCATTTGGTGCCAGTCAGCGATCAAGTGTAGCTTGTCAAGCGGTTGTATGTCACCGAGCACGTAGTACAGCGTGACGGCGAGGCTGATAGTCAGACTGAGGTTGGCGACGATCGAGAAGGGAACGAGAATGTTCAGGTGCCTGATCTGGCCGATGAGCAGGAGGGCCGGAGCCAGACACAGCATGTATATCCGCACGTCGATCACCCGGCCACAGTAATGATCGCCCAACTGCCAATTAGGATTCCGTGAGTTTCGGCACCTTCGTGACTCAATCGCGACGAGGCGGGCGTACGGCCGCGCACGTCGCACTCACCTGCTTGAGGCCCGTGGCTATCAGCACCACGTAGACGCAGATGCCGCCGACGTGGGTGGCGCAGAGCGTCCAGTTGACCAGGCTCCTGGCGCGGGCGGCGTGTCCACGCAGCGGCTCGGGCCCGTGCTCGAAGGCCGCCGCCGCGACCTCGGCGTACGTCATCTGCGGCGCCCTCGCTTTGCGGCAGAGCGCCTGCGACGAGCGCACCAGGATGTGCACGCAGTGCGTGCACAGAACGCCGATCAGCAGCGTGCCCACGCCGCCGAACAGCAGGCCGCCGCTCTTGATCGCGCTTGGCATCGCCAAGATGCCCGAGCCCAGCGACGACTTGATCAAGTGCGTGGCTGCGCCGAGGTTACTGCGGCAAAGCACATCGGCACCCTTCGCGTTAATTGGCAACGTGCGTACGCTGCGCCTCTCTCTCTCTCTCTCTCTCTCTTATTCCTCTCGCGAGTCGCGAACTGTCGGAACCTTTTTGGTTTTGAAATCTACGAATTATAAAAGTACGTACGTGGTGCCATGCTTATTCTTCCTGTACTCGAATGGATTGTAGAGCTCACTCGCTCCTTCAGCGATTGTCACTGCGGAGCTGTGGGCAAAAAAAATCGTCGGTATCCACGATTTTAAGTGGCTACAACGCGGTATATAATTAACTGTGAAAAAATAACGAAAACATAACCTGTTTCACCACTATCCGTCGGATCAATTGATTTGTATTGTTTATGTGGTCGTACCAACCAATGTAGCACGCGTGAATCGAAAATTGGAGCGCGAAATCTCAGCGGAAGCGCCAAGCGAGGTACTTACGCATTTTTTGTCCGCGTCGGGGGCGATTCTTTCTTTTCTTCCTCGACCATTTTGAAATAGATCGATAGGCCGACGTTGACGCGCGACGAATCGCTTCGACGTTCTACCGGCGAATGAGAGCGAAACTCACAAAAGAGATTGCATCATGAAACTTATTGTGTGTACAATTTGATAATGGGACGCCCCGTCCGGAGATAAGAGAGTCAAGCTGCTCTATAACGCCTCGTGCGACTAATTGATTAGGCGTCACATGCAAAGCGTGTTCTCGAGACGCCTCACCGATCATTTCATCCGGCTACAATCTCGACTCGGCGATCGTGAGCTGGACTCGCGAGCAGGAGCTGCGCGGTGCCACGTCACTCGCACTCTTCACAATTACGATATTACGGTATAGCATTTTCATAAATCACTCAGCCGTGCGTGTTAACTGTTTGATAGGCACCGTCCGACTGGCAGTAGTCAGCTTCACCTCAGCCTCCAACCTTAACCAGGATGTTTATTGTTTATGCTTACATCGTATTTCTCAGCGCAGCTGCCTTCGTATATCAATTACAGCCATTCTTCGTAGTTTTGCGTAGACTGACATTATCTTAATTGAATAATTCTTTGTTTGCCGAAGGATATCGACAAGTATCTCACGATACGTTGCTCTGTAAATAAAAGCGCGCTTTAAGATGAGAACTCGAGGATACGCGTAAAAATTTACGCGAACTGACGTGTTTATACGACTGTCGGTGTTTCAAAAAAACTTGAAGTCAAACAAGTACACATTGCGAAGACTAGCTAGAAAATTATTTACCGAGACCGCTCGCACCGTATCAAGTTGATTGGTCGTACAAAGTGTCAATAATATGCTACGGTACGATATAGTAAGTGTATTTTCTATCGGTGAGTCGTAGGAAACAACGCTATATCGCAAAATTCAAATTCTCGGCTGCTGAAAACAAAAACTGCTAAGATGGAATATCGCAATTCCCAAAATATTAAAAATATAAATTAACATATGATAGAAATAGTCTTGCTCGTCGACGGAAGAATCCACGTTCAGAGGAACTTTTTTGCAATTGGCCCTTTACTTGATCATTTGTAGGACGAATGTGCCATTGAAGATGTTGATAATAACGTAAATAAGCACCAAGGCACGAAGGACGTCATTTAAAATAATACAGTCTGCACATGTATATATATATCACCCTGGTTCGTGTTCTAGAAATTTTTGATAAAAGTTGAAACTAATGTCGATCCTTCGAATAGCGACGATAAGTTGCAAACATTTTCTTCGCATAGCCTACACTCTTAAGGTCTACGTCAACTTAATCTATTTATAATGACCCCTGTATGAATACAAATTCGAAGCTCGTACTAAGATCACTCCCATTCGCAGCAAATGATTTTTCGAGTTATTCCGATACGGCCAATATCATGCTGGTTTTTCAATTGTTATTAAAACTTACGACGCGCCATTTGGAATGTGAGTCGTTTTTCTAGACTAAATAAACGGCCGATTACGATAGCACATTTTTGTTCGTGCAACGGATTCAATATTAATTTCTATTATGGAAGAATCAGAGGTAAGAATGCTATAGAGTAGACGTAACAGTAAACATTCATAATAAATGAACCCGACACTTTCGTTTCTGAACGCTTAGGCATGCGTTTTGTAGCACTGCGCGACAGACTTCAGTGACGTAGGTGCATAGTAGTTGAACGACACCGTGCATATTTTACTGTATCACGTTTTCAATTACTAAGTCATGGAAAGACGGGTGCACAAACACGTGACGGCTTTAAACAGCCTAGATTGTGCTCGAGCATTATCTCACTTACGACGCTAGTATCGTTATATACTATTATAATAGTTTGGGATATTTGGAAAAGTTTCTCAGTATCGCCCAATCAACGCAACATTTCGCTCGGCAGTATGGCAATATCATATAATAGTAAAATATTCGCAGCGTGACTCAATAAATAACCAATGAATAATCAAAAATCAAGTAATGAAAGGTAAACGTGCTTGACAATGAACATCAGCTGTAATTTTACAAAAATTATCAGATAAATGAAAACCTTTCACAAAGCTTCAAAAAAATAAATTGTAATTTTGTTTTGAGTGGCGGTGGCTTAGTCACGGAAAAAACACGTCATGGCTTAGAAATTCGGGTGTATGAAAATTTGTCTTATCTTGAACCCGGTGTTGCGGATTTCCCTATTCCGGATGAAATCGTGGAGGGAGGGGATAGCTCAGCGTCGGCGTCGACTTTAACATTGGTACTTAAGGGAATATCCGACAGTAACGCCAACGGGAATTACGGAACTAAATTCTTCGTATTCGACACGAGTTTTCGAGATTTTCGAGCAGATACGGTCACTGCTAATAGATCCACTCGTAATGCCTGCAAAACTTCTCTCTCGCCCCCTCGAAAAATGGTAGGGGAGGTAAGAGCCCGCTTACAAAACTACAGTATACTGTCTAGCGTACCGCTGCAACGTTTAACAAACGTTTAACAAACCCCGTTCTTCAATATGAAATAATAATAGCAACAATGACAATCTCTCGTAATAAATTAAAAAGAACTAGATTATCGTAAAAAGAATTTTTTTCCATCCATAGTTTCATTGTTTTCACTTCGTATTTATCATATTCATCTCTCTTTTCCGTTCTTTCACTTTCGTTGTAATTTCTCCACCCTTCGAGCATTTCCACACAATGATGCTTCATCAACGTAATATTCAATCGAATATGTGACAAGTTCAAATTCTTCTCTTCGTTATACCACCGTGTCCCACGTAGATATGGCGAAACAATATGGCGCCATAAAAAAATGGAATAGACAAACCAAGAAAAAATGGCACGTAACGAAGCAACTTGAAAGTTCTCTAAAACCTTCGAGCTAAACAGGGTTGAAAACTTGGACTAGCGAAAAAATCTGCTAGACAAATAGAACAATAATGGACACCCCCCTACATCCTACATTTTATTTTGTCCCGGAGGTCCGTTGGTAGTTACTTAGCACTCATAACCCCTACCACCCAACCCCCACCACCGACAAGCGTAATTAGCGCATTCCAAGGGCGCGGTCTTAGACCTAAGATGACTATAAGATCGAGAGCTCACGTAAACCTGCAAGCAGTATCTCGTCGACAGTCGTTCGAGAAAGATCACAGAGTGCTATACAGCAGCCAAACACCAAGAAGGTATTTAAGGTCACTACGAGAAGATCGCCATGTCGTCGATGAACTACGCACTGCCTTCCTGTTCGGGGCCTCCTGTTCCCCACATTTGTTGTCCAATTTCGATGCAAGGTTTGAGCCCCACAGGTAGCGAAACGAAATTCAAGATATCGCCAGGGGTCACCTACCATGATGTACCCCCAGAAAAATTGGAGCAGGCCTTAGAAGCAAATTTCGAAGATGAACTTCCGTTTCTGTGTACCTACACTACGTTTCAGCAGGAACTTTACAATTTGGAACGAGCAACGCGGACGACACAACCCAAAGAGCCAGACCAAGAGTGTTAGTATTATTATATGTTGTTAACATTATATGCGTTGTTTGTGTTTCCTTAAAATGATCGTATATAAGTATAGCATTCAGATGAACATGACATATAGAACGACAAGGAGTAACAAAAAAGAATTTGGATTAGTAATGGCGCCTTGTAACGGCCGTTGTCTTGCGGTCAAGACATTAGACTTGCAAATGCAGGGTCGTGAGGTCGAGTCTCGCCTCTGTAACTTTATCATTTAGTTTTTAAGGATTTATGCAGACGTAACGGAGATGTCTTATCAGAATTTTTTTCTAGTTCCAGATGGACCATGCTTGTTGGGTACCAAAGAGTTTTACCTTCCGAAACCTCCGAAAAAGAAGCCGGAATTAACCGATGAGATCGTTTCCAGAACCATCTTCGACGAGATCCCGTTCTTAGGCCAGGAATTTGTAACACCACAAGTTCCTAAACGAAAGCGAAATACAAAACCACGCAAAACCCGGAAATCTAATCAAGTACATTGTAACGTACAAAACTGTTTCTACTCATCTTGAAAATGTCGTTTCCGATTTCGTCGTTTGTTTCCGAGGTGCGGCGGAAACAATGTTTATAAAATTAAGAAAACTATCGTTGATATTACGACCATAGCTTTACGCGATACTATCCTTACTTGTATACATATTAAATACGTTTAGTGTAATTTGTGAATTCAAGATATCTAAACATATCTTTTTTATTATAATACACTTAATGTAAGTAGATATAGCATAATAGGATAGTTGTTTGATTAAGGGACTTTCTCCAGGTGAGCCATCGGACATCAGATGTGAAATGAATACTCAGGTAAATTAACTAATAGATTGTTTGTCCTTGTCTTACCAAAGATTTGTGCGTGGTTTGAAAAGACCATTTGCAGCATTTATTTTAATTTTACGAACTAATGTCAAGTAGTTAACTTCCTATGTCCGATATCTTATGTATCAGGTATAATTTAGAATCAATCATCTTAAGTCAGTATAAAGATGTAAGTTTACTGATAAGATCTTTTGGTAATAAAAATATATTATAATTGACTTAAGTTTAAGAATTATTGGAACACCCCCGCTTAATAAACAATTCTCACTTCAGAAAGCAAACGCTTGTAGTCGCTTTTATGCGATTTCAGGTCATAAGTTGTATTTTCATATTTGAGTTGTGTCGCTCGTGTAACAATAACTAAAAAGACAAACTTGAACTTAGAAAGACTTCAGCACGAACTCAACAAGATAGCTATTTTTGGCCAATGGGAAGCTTCTATTTCTTCAAAAGGGCGGCCATTGATCGCGTGAAGGGCGAACCAATTTGATCCGAAAGTGTTTGAGTTTATTGAAAGAAATTCCAATTTTCTTTTTACATCTTAATAAGCATTATGCTTATATGCGCATGTATAGCAAAGACAATTGTTATATTTATTTGGAGTTCTAAAATATTTCATAGAAATATCACAGATGCAAGACTATGTTAAAAAACGACGCAATTTCCACGTTACTAACTTACGACACCACTGACATGGTGACCATATCTGCGATGGTACTTTACGATGTCGTGACCGAGCCTTCGGCAGATTATACCACGTTGCCAAGTCGAACGCAGTATTCCATCTCTTAAAATTACGAATCCGTTTGATCAGTTTAAGAATGTGTATCGTAATACGTAAGTACGAGTACTTGTTAGTATAAAGTTGATGCGAGCGAGATGAATATGTCACGTCCTAGCCGAAGCTGTAAAGTTCAGACAGTCGCTATCAGTGGTCTGGTCGCCTTTGGTGGCGGCTTTACGCGTCTCCGGCACCTCGACTCATGCTGCCTCTATCGGATGGTTATTGGTGATGCTGCCCTCGGCCGTCTCGCCATAATTCAGGTAGCCGAGAATCTCCATGGCCGCGTACAGCGCGATGATCACCGTCATCGAGACGTTGAGCACGTTGGGACAACAGAGGAACTGCTGTGACCGCGACATGCTGTTTTCGATCGACATCACCTGCGGCACGAAATTGAATACGAGAGTTGGTACGATTACAGCTACGCAGACTGAAATGAATAGCATTCACACATATAAATCTAAATTTTATTACGTTATGTTTTTTTTCTAAATTAGTATAACTTTGGCTGTGAACAGCACTAGGAACACCCTCAAAACTGTTTGCCTAACATTTTCCCATCTGTGACCGAATCTGTGCTTTGTAGCTGTCCATATAATTTCCATGGGCACAAAGTACTGTAGTCCGTAAGTTAGCGTGACGGAGAGTGCGACCAGCAACTTGGCGATCTGTCCAATGATAATTGTAATACATAATATGTCAGTACATTGAGAGCACACCTGATTCAACGAGTAAAGGAATCGTCATATTAACGTCTTATCGATCGGAAGATTGTTGAAGAAGCTGCCATCAGCTGCATGTAACCTAGCAGCCCCGTCAGCGTGTACACCGTGACGACGACCATCATCGAAATGTTGAGGATGCTGGGGTAGCCTAAAAAGTGTAGCTTAGATAAAAGCTGCAAATATTGAAAAATAAGACTGACGGTAATAAGCATCCTTAAAAAGTTATAAAATTACAAAATTTTACATTTCAAGACATGTGAATTCTCAGATAAAATCAGCCGAGGAATAAAGTTTCCATCAACAAGATAAACATATTGCCAACTGCTATTTGATGAGGTACCAAACTGTTACCTGAATACAGTAATAACCACCTCTCACTTTTCCTATACGTACCAATCGCAATTGTAGATAGGTAATATTTAAATATGATGTCTAAATGTATTTGTAAGAACTTTAACTCGAATGCCTTACAGAGCATTTCATAAAAAAATACCAATATACCACCAAATGCCATAAAATGTCTAAACAATTCAATCAGTTTATTGCAATAATGGTATTGCATGACAATTAGATGAATATACATATAACATATCACTGCAACTTTGTAGAATTTTCAGGTTTACGTTACTGACAATAAGTGGAAATATAGCCATAAATATAGTATAATTACAACAAGACTGATCAACCAGTTAACATAATAAGCATCATCAAAGGGAGATTCGAATAAACTTATGACCTGAAATCGAATAAAAACGACTGCAAGCGTTTGCTTTCTGAAGTGAGAATTGTTAATTGAGCGGGGGTGTTTCAATAATTCTTAAACTTAAGTTAATTACAATATATTTTTATTACCAAAAGATCTTATCAATAAAATTACATCTTTATACTGACATAAGATGATTGATTCTAAATTATACCTGATACATAAAAGTCATCGGACATAGGAAATCAAATTACTCGACATTAATTCGTAAAATTAAAATAAATGCTACACATGATTTTTCCAGACCACGCACAAATCTTTGGTAAGACAAGGACAAACAAACTATTGGTGGATTTACTTGAGTATTCGTTCCACATCCAATGTCCGATGGTTCTCCTGTAGAAAGTCCCTTAATAAAACAACTATCCTATTATTCTACATTTACTTAAATTAAGTGTATCACAATAAAAAAAATATGTTTGGATATCATGAAATCACAAATTACATTAACCGCATTTAAGATGTATACAAAGAAGACGAGGGGATAGTATCGCGTAAACCTATGGTCGTCATATCGATAATGGTTTTCTTAAGTCTATAAACAACGTTATTCCCGCCGCACCTCGGAAGCAAAGTATCACATTTTTAAGATGAAAAGAAACACTGTTGTACGTTACAATTTATTTGGCTGGCTTGCGGGGTTGGGTTTTGCGCGGTTTTGTATTTCGCTTTTGTTTAGGAACTCGTGGTTTTACAAATTCCTGGCCTAAGAACGGGATCTCGTCGAAGATGGTTCTGGAAACGATCTCATCGGTTAATTCCGGCTTCTTTGCCGGAGGTTTCGGAAGGTAAAACTCTTTGGTACCCAACAAGCATGGTCCATCTGGAACTACAAAAAAATTCTGATAAGACATCTCCGTTACGTCTACATAAATCCTTAAAAACTAAATGATAAAGTTACAGAGGCGAGACTCGACCTCACGACCCTGCATTTGCAAGTCTAACGTCTTGACCGCAAGACAACGGCCGTTAAAACGCGCCATTACTAATCCAAATTCTTTTGTTACTGATCATCGTTCTATATGTCACGTTCACTTGAATGCTATATGTACTTATATACGATCATTGAAAGAAACACAAACAACGCATATAATTTTAATAACATACAATACTCACACTCTGGCTTTGGCTCGTTGGGTTGTGGCATCCGCGTTGCTAATTCCAAATGGTAAAGTTTCTGCTGAATCGGAGTATAGGTATCCAGAAACGGAAGTTCATCTTCGAAATTTGCTTCTAAGGCCTGCTCCAATTGTTCTGGGGGTATGTCATGGTAGGTGACCCCTGGCGACATCTTGAATACCGTTTCGATAAAACCATCCATCTGCACTGGAGAACAAATGTCCTGAACAGGAGGTCCCGAACATCCCGAACAGGAAGGCAGTGCGTAGTTCATCGACGACATGGCAATCTTCTCGTAGTGACTTCAAATACCTTCTTGGTGTTTGGCTGTTTGGCTGCTATATGGCCCTTTGTGATCTATTTCGAACGAGTATCGATGAGATACTGCTTGTAGAATTACCTGACCTCTCGATCTTATAGCTAACTTAGATTTAAGAACGCCCTTTTAGGCTGCGCTGGGTGTGCTTGCCGGAGGTGGGGATTGGACGGTAGGGGTAGTGAGTGGTAAGTAACCAAAAAGCAAACAACGAACCTCTGGGACGAAATGAATTGCAGAGGTGGGCGACGTCCGGAATCGTTTCATTGGCCTGAAAAATTTTTTCGCTAGTCCAAGTTTTCGACTTTGTTTAGCTCGAAGGTTTCTGTGAATTCTTAAGTTGCTTCGTTACATTAATTGAAACGCGCAATGCTTCATCTTACTGACAAATTCCTAAACATAGTTAGTTTCGCTTATTCATTATTAGAAAATACGTATTTGAGCTAGAATTCGTGGTCATTTCGATAATTATTCCAGATTTAACACTTAATAGTCTTTATTATTAATAAAAATTTAGTATGAAGAGTCAAAAACGCAAAAAATATTTCAAACTGTACTCGATATACGAGAAATTTGCATTTTATAGATGATTTTCATTGATTACTGGTGAAGATACATATTAGGTTGCAAAACGCAAAAAAGTGGTTTAAAAGCTACAGTTATTAATCATCATTTGCTATTTATTAGATTATCGAAAACATCAATTTTTTGATTATTTCTATTACATGATAAAGTTTTAGATGCTTACCTCGGAGGCCATTTGCATAGAAAAGCACGTACCGGTTGTAAATAATATTTTGCTCCCATTCGTTGCTTTGAGAGTCTTTCCACCTCGGCACAGTCGGCTCATGAGTCACACGCGGCAATGCGTCTAAGCCAAAGATTAAGATCCCCTAATTTTACCTGTGCGTCTGCCAATATTTATTTTTATATAGAGCTGCAACCATAGATTTTTGTAATTGACTATCCTACTCCTTCGTATATTCGCAATTTTCATTGAAGATGCTCTATTTCTTTTTTTTCTTAATGGAAAGCAGAGGTTCTCATCGCAGTTTAAACTAAATGCGAACCGCCGCCATATTTATTCACTATATCTACGTGGGACACGTTGTTATAACGAACAGAAGAATTTGAACTTGAATATTACTTTATTATAATAAATAAATATATATTATACGATATTATATAATATTCGATATATTATATTATAAAATATATAATATTTTATAATATTATAATATTATAAAATATATAATATATATATTTTATATAATATATAAAATATATATATTATATTATAAAATATATAATATTCGATTGAATATTACTTTGATGAAGCATCATTGTGTGGAAATGCTCGAAGGGTGGAGAAATTACAACGAAAGTGAAAGAACGGAAAAGAGAGATGAATATGAAAAATACGAAGTGAAAACGATGAAACTACGGAAGGAAAAAAATTCTTTTTACGATAATCGAATTCTTTTTAATTTGATATGATAGATTGTCATTGTTGCTATTATTATTTCATATTGGAGAACGAGGTTTGTTAAACGTTCGTTAAACGCTGCAGAGGCACGCTAGACAGTATACACTGCAGTGTTTTTACCTCCCCTACTATTTTTTCAAGGGGCGAGAGAGGAGAAGATTTGCACGCATTACCAGTGGACCTTTTAACAGTGACCGTACCTGTTCAAAAATCTCGAAAATTCGTGACGAAAATATATGGAAGAATTTAGTTCGGCGATCACGGTCTGCGTTATAGTCGGATATTCCAAGAAGTACCAATGTTAAAGTCAACCCCGGCGCAGCGCTATTACCTTCCTCCACGCTTTCACCCAGAATATATCGTAATCCGTTCCACCGGAATCAAGATAAGACAAATTTTTATACGTCCGATATTCTAACCCATTAGGTGTTTCCTCAGTTGATTGACTAAGTCACTTCGACTAAAAACAAATCATTATTTGTTTTTTCTATGCGTCTGGAAAGACTTTAATTTATATGATTATTATAATAAAAAATATATGATATTACCATACTACCGGGCGATGTATAAAACTTTTTAGACACTCCGTGAGGGAAATTATTCGTCTTACTGTTATTTATAATTTGACTGTCAAATTCTACTGAGAACTGCAGGTCGTAAATGAATAGGCGATGACGTGCTAAATAAGGATCATTACGGATTGCTTGAAACTGGAAAGTTCAGACGATTACGAGCACTGTGCGGCGCCACTAATTTCCCTGTCTATTGGAGGGTTATTGGAAATGTTGCTCTCGGCCATCTCGCCATAATCCAGGTAGCCGGGAAAGTTGCTAATATCTTCTTGGCATCACCTACAGTCTTGAGGTCTACGTCAACATAATTTATATATAATGACCCCTGTGTGAATACAAATTTGGAGCTCAAACTAAGATCACCCCATTTGCAGCAAATGATTTTTCGATTTATTCCGAAACCGCTAATATCATTTTCGTTTTTAAATTGTTACCAAAACTTGCGACGCACAATTTGGAATGTGAATCGTTTTTCTAGACTAAATAAACGATCGATTACGATAGCATATATTTGATCGTGCAACGAATTCAAAATATTAATTTCTATTATGGAAGAATCATAGATAGGAATGCTGTAGAGTAGACGGATTACTTAATTTTTATAATGAGTGAACCCCACACTTTCATTACTGAAAACGACTGAGCTCGAGCACTATCTCACTTACAACGCTAGTATTGATATATACTATTATAATAGTTTGTGATATTAGGAACAGTTTTTCAGTTTTGCCGTAACTTTTCATACATTTCATCATCGCCCACTCAACGCAACATATCGCTTAGCAGTATGACAATATCAGATAATAGACAAGATATTCGCAGGATAACTTAATAACTGAACAATCAATAATCAGGATCAAATCAAGTAACGAGAGACAGTATCAGAAGAAAATCAACTCTTATTTTACAAAAATTATCAGCTAAAAGATAAAATAAAATGTAATTTTTTTTAAGTCGAAATGGCTTAGTCAATCAGCAGAGAAAACACGACATGGGTTTGAATATCGGACGTATGAAAATTTGTCTTATCTTGAGCCCGGTGTTGCAGATTACGATATTCTGGGTGAAAAAGTGGAGGAAGGTCATAGCGCAGCGCCGGAGTCGACATTCACATTGGTACTTAATGGAATATCCGACAGTAACACTAACGAGAACTACGGAACTAAATTCTTCCATACATATTTGACAGGAATTTTCTAGATTTTCGAGCAGGTGAGGTCACTGCTAATAGATCCACTCGTAATGCCTGCAAAACTTATCTTCTTCTGCCCCTTGAAAAATAGTAGGGGAGGTAAGAGCACGCTAACAAAACTACAGTATACTATCTAGCGTACCTCTGCAAAGTTTAACATACGTTTAACAAACCTCGTTCTTCAATATGAAATAAGAATAGCAGCAATGACAATCTCTCATAATAAATTAAAAAGAACTCGATTATCGTAAAAAGAATTTTTTTCCCTCCGTTGTTTCATCGTTTTCACTTCGTATTTCTCATTTTCCATTTCTCTTTTCCTTTTTCCCATTTTCGTTGTAATTTCTCCATCCTTCAAGCATTTCCATACAATGATGCTTCATTAAAGTAATATTCAATCAAAAGGTGTATCGAATATGTGACATGTTCGAATTCTTTTGTTCGTTATACCAACGTGTCCCATGTAGATATGGCGAAATATGATGGCGGCGGTTCGCATTTAGTTTAAACTACGATGAGAACCTCTGCTTTCGTTTAAGAAAAAGGAGAAATAGAACATCTTCAATGAAAATTGCGAATATACGAAGGAGTAGCATAGTCAAGTTCAAAAATCTATGGTTGCAGCTCTATATAAAAATAAATATTGGCAGACGCACAGGTAAAATTAGGGGATCTTAATCTTTGGCTCAGACGCATTGCCGCGTGTGACTCATGAGCCGACTGTGTCGAGGTGGAAGGACTCTCAAAGCAATGAATGGGAGCAAAATATTATTTACAACCGGTACGTGCTTTTCTATGCAAATGGCCTCCGAGGTAAGCATCTAAAACATTATCATGTAATAGAAATAATCAAAAAATTGATGTTTTCGATAATCTAATAAATAGCAAATGATGATTAATAACTGTAGCTTTTAAACCACTTTTCTGCGTTTTGCAACTTAATATGTATCTTCACCAGTAATCAATGAAAATCATCTATAAAATGCAAATTTCTCGTATATCGAGTGCAGTTTGAAATATTTTTTGCGTTTTTGACTCTTCATACTAAATTTTTATTAATAATAAAGACTATTAAGTGTTAAATCTGGAATAATTATCGAAATGACCACGAATTCTAGCTCAAATACGTATTTTCTAATAATGAATAAGCGAAACTAACTATGTTTAGGAATTTGTCAGTAAGATGAAGCATTACGCGTTTCAATTAATGTAACGAAGCAACTTAAGAATTCACAGAAACCTTCGAGCTAAACAAAGTCGAAAACTTGGACTAGCGAAAAAATTTTTCAGGCCAATGAAACGATTCCGGACGTCGCCCACCTCTGCAATTCATTTCGTCCCAGAGGTTCGTTGTTTGCTTTTTGGTTACTTACCACTCACTACCCCTACCGTCCAATCCCCACCTCCGGCAAGCACACCCAGCGCAGCCTAAAAGGGCGTTCTTAAATCTAAGTTAGCTATAAGATCGAGAGGTCAGGTAATTCTACAAGCAGTATCTCATCGATACTCGTTCGAAATAGATCACAAAGGGCCATATAGCAGCCAAACAGCCAAACACCAAGAAGGTATTTGAAGTCACTACGAGAAGATTGCCATGTCGTCGATGAACTACGCACTGCCTTCCTGTTCGGGATGTTCGGGACCTCCTGTTCAGGACATTTGTTCTCCAGTGCAGATGGATGGTTTTATCGAAACGGTATTCAAGATGTCGCCAGGGGTCACCTACCATGACATACCCCCAGAACAATTGGAGCAGGCCTTAGAAGCAAATTTCGAAGATGAGCTTCCGTTTCTGAATACCTATACTCCGATTCAGCAGGAACTTTACCATTTGGAACTAGCAACGCGGATGCCACAACCCAACGAGCCAAAGCCAGAGTGTGAGTATTGTATGTTATTAAAATTATATGCGTTGTTTGTGTTTCTTTCAATGATCGTATATAAATACATATAGCATTCAAGTGAACGTGACATATAGAACGACGATCAGTAACAAAAGAATTTGGATTAGTAATGGCGCGTTTTAACGGCCGTTGTCTTGCGGTCAAGACGTTAGACTTGCAAATGCAGGGTTGTGAGGTCGAGTCTCGCCTCTGTAACTTTATAATTTAGTTTTTAAGGATTTATGTAGACGTAACGGAGATGTCTTATCAGCATTTTTTTCTAGTTCCAGATGGACCATGCTTGTTGGGTACCAAAGAGTTTTACCTTCCGAAACCTCCGGCAAAGAAACCGGAATTAACCGATGAGATCGTTTCCAGAACCATCTTCGACGAGATCCCGTTTTTAGGCCAGGAATTTGTAAAACCACGAGTTCCTAAACAAAAGCGAAATACAAAACCGCGCAAAACCCAATCCCGCAAGCCAGCCAAATAAATTGTAACGTACAACAGTGTTTCTTTTCATCTTAAAAATGTGATACTTTGCTTCCGAGGTGCGGCGGGAATAACGTTGTTTATAGACTTAAGAAAACCATTATCGATATGACGACCATAGGTTTACGCGATACTATCCCCTCGTCTTCTTTGTATACATCTTAAATGCGGTTAATGTAATTTGTGATTTCATGATATCCAAACATATTTTTTTTATTGTGATACACTTAATTTAAGTAAATGTAGAATAATAGGATAGTTGTTTTATTAAGGGACTTTCTACAGGAGAACCATCGGACATTGGATGTGGAACGAATACTCAAGTAAATTCACCAATAGTTTGTTTGTCCTTATCTTACCAAAGATTTGTGCGTGGTCTGGAAAAACCATGTGTAGCATTTATTTTAATTTTACGAATTAATGTCGGGTAATTAATTTCCTATGTCCGATGACTTTTATGTATCAGGTATAATTTAGAATCAATCATCTTATGTCAGTATAAAGATGTAATTTTATTGATAAGATCTTTTGGTAATAAAAATATATTGTAATTAACTTAAGTTTAAGAATTATTGAAACACCCCCGCTCAATTAACAATTCTCACTTCAGAAAGCAAACGCTTACAGTCGTTTTTATTCGATTTCAGGTCATAAATTTATTTGAATCTGACTTTCCCTACTCAGCAAGTTATTTTTGGCCATTGGGGAGCTTCTATTTTTTCGTTCGGACAAGTCGAAAGAAAAAGAATGCCATCGATCGCGTAAAGGGCGAATCAATTTGATCCGAATGAGTTTGCGTTTATTCAAACAAATTCCATTTTTCTTTTTACATCTTACTAAGCATTGTGCTTAAGCGCGCATGTATAGCAAAGACAATAGTTATATTTATCTGGGGTTCTAAAATATTTCATGGAAATATCACAGATGCAAAACTGTATGTTAAAACACGTCGCGATTTCCGTGTTACTGACTTGTGGACACCACATACGTGGTGACCACATCTATGACGGTACATAGCGAGGCCATGACTAAGCTTCCGGCAGATTGTACCACGTCGCCGAGTCGAACACGGCATTTCGTCTCTAAGATTGCGAATCCGTATTGTCAGTTCAAGAACGCGTAATTTGTATCGTAATACGTAAGTACGAGCACTAGTTAGTAAATGGCTGTGCTTGGTCACTTTTTTTGGATAATCGATTCAATAGAACCTTTTCGAACTCGAGTGTACTACGTATACAGTCGAAAAGTCGCACTAACGAACCGTTCAACGACGAGTAAGGAAAATCTTCGTTCTCGAACGAGGTCGATTCAATATGAGTACAGTGAAAGGCTGAACAAAATAACGCTGTACATAAATTAGATCTAACAATAATTCTTATAAACTGATTCTCATTTAACCATATAATACTATATCGCCATTTGTTCTTATAACTTATACGCATATCGATTACGATTATTTGTTTTTCAACGAACTCCACAGATGAGCAAGAATGTTTCATTGCAAGCATGACTTTTTCGGTAAGAACGAAATTTATCAAAGCGATTAAACTGAAACTTCTTTATAGCTTGTACATAAACTAATCTTAGTAGCTCAATATTGATCGGTGTAGCATAACACCTGCCTTCGCAACATCCTTTCCGACTGAAGACGACTCGGCTTAGATAACTAGAAAACAAAATACTATTTTCGTAAAGCAATGGAAAAGAGTACGCCTCGCGCGTTAAGTAGAAGAGTACAGGTAGGCCAGGCTGACGCGCCGGCAGCGGGAAAGCCATTTCGCGCCAAGGCCGGGAAGTTGCAAAGTCGGATCGCCTGAAGGTGTCGCCGGCGCGAAACCACACGGCGCTCACGCAGTCTTTGTGTATTGGTCGATGATATCCAGCACTGAGACCCAGGTACCAGTCGACAGCGCCAGCATCGAGAACAGAACGAGCACGACGTTCTTCCAGATCCGCCAGTAGCCGAAGCCGAGGTGGCCGTCCCAGCAGGACACCGTCTCGACGATCGCGGGGATGCACACGCCGAGGAACGAGAAGAACACCGCCCCGACCAACGAGATGAACGGCTCGAGCGTGGGCACGGCCACGGCGACGATCACTGTCGAGGAGCAATTGCAATTCTGTATAGCGTGGTCGGTCGCGGACGCCGCTGGCGTGCGGCCGCCCACTTACCCGTCAGCATCACCATGCACACCCGCACCCCGGTTTCCCCGAGACACTGGTACTTGTGGCTGAGCTTCTGCTTCACGGCGTTCGATATGATCTCCAGCGGCACGAAGAACTGCAGTCCGTACGTGAAGGCGATGGCGAGCGAGATGAGGATCTTCACGGTCTGGCCAAACCTGTAAAGGTCGAACGGTCGCTATCAGTGGTCGCCTCTGGCGATGGCGGCGCGCGCCTCTGGCGCCTCGACTCACGCTGTCTCTATCGGAAGGTTATTGGAGATGCTGCCCTCGGCCGTCTCGCCGTAATTCAGGTAGCCGAGAATCCCCATGGCCGCGTAGAGCGCGATGACCACCGTCATCGAGACGTTGAGCACGTTGGGACAGCCGAGGAACTGCTGCGGCCGCGACATGCTGTTCTCGATCGACATCACCTGCGGCACGAAATCGAGCGCGAGTTGGCATCGTGCGCGAGCAAACGTATCGCGAAGGCGAAGATGCTCACGGTGCCGATGCCCTCGATGGCGAAGATCACGGTGGCGAAGAACTTGGGTATCTTGTCCCAGTCGGCGATGTAGTGGAGCTCGTCGAGCGGCTTGAACTTCTGGCACAGCTGCCAGAGAATCATCGCGAAGCTGACGCTCATGAAGGCGTTTGCCAGCAGCGAGAACGGCACGAGCATCTTCAAGTGGCGTATCTGACCGAAGAAGACGAGCACCGGAATGATGATCGCTATGTACAGCCTTAGGTCGACGTTCACGTGGAAGTAGTAGTTACCCAGCTGGAAATCGAAGAGACAGCGTCCTGATCTCAGCGAAAAGACGTTGTTGCACTTGGCCGTGCTCGCGACATTGAGCACGGACGAAGATTACATCACTTGCATCGAATCGGCCGATCGAGAAAATAAGCGATCTCCGATGATCGCGCCGATAGCGGCGTTGCCTTCGACTTCTGCGGGCACTCGAGTCCTTATCGCGGCCCGGTGCGCAACAGGGGAAACTCGTGGCTGGCGCGCGTGGACGAGCGCGGCGCGACGCGCGCGCGACGAGCGCAGTTGCCGGGCGTCGATGTCACCAACCTGCTTGATGCCGCCGGCGATGAGGACGACGTAGGTGCAGGTGACGCCGACCTGCGTGGCCACCAGGGCGCAGCTGACCAAACTCCTGACGAAGCCGGAAAAGCGCCGCAGCGGCTTGGGCCCGAACTCGAAGGCCGCGGCCGCAGTCTCGGGGTAGTCCAGATGCGGCGAGCGCGTCTTGCGGCAGAGCACCTGCGACGAGCGCACCAGTATGTGCACGCAGTGCGAGCACACGATGCCGATGACGATGACGCCGATGCCGCCGAACAGCAGGCCGCCGTTCTTCACCGCCGCCGGCATGGCCAGGATGCCCGAGCCCAGCGACGCCTTGATCAGGTGCGCCGCCGCCCCGAAGTTCCTGCAAATTCGCCGAGGCTGTAGCTCGACCCTCGGAGCCAACTTTGTCCGATCGCGCTTTCGAGCCGACGCTCCTAGCCGTAATTGCATCCGCTCAACTTTTCACAAAAGATAGCGTTACCACGCTTTGGCGCATTCTTTTCTTCCGTCTCCTCTCTCTCTCTCTCTCTCTCTCTCTCTCTCTCTCTCTCTCTCTCTCTCTCGTTCTTCTTTCGAGTTGCGTAACGCGAAACCGGCGGTGTCGATTGATTCATCCGCGCGCGGCGAACCAACTCTGTGCCAACGATCTCTCGCTCGGCATATATACTTACGACGTCGCATGCTTGCTGTCCCTGTGTTGGCTCGGTTCATAGTGTCCGGTCTTCTCGCTGATCACGATCGTTGTCCTGCGAACACAGAGAAGCCGAACATTCATCATCGTCCGTCCAAGTCCACTCTCCACGCCGACGCGGACGACGCCAGAGGAAAGAAGCGCGACGCGATGGATCCGCACAGTGCAAAACCGCGCGCAGGAGACTCACGTGCTGTTGAAGTCAACGGTCCCCGGATCCTGTGCCTTGGAGTCCTTGTTGTCCATAGCGGATGAGACTGTCTCGCTCGACACTCGCGTCAGTCGCGTGGCAAAGGGAGTGCGCGTACGGGCTTCGGGCGCGCGAACGACTTTGGCGGAGCTCGTCGCGGCTGGGCGAATCGGTCGTGCGGAGTGCAGGTCGCGCGTTCTCGCGGTCAAGTGCAGTGCAGCGCTCGGTGTCGCAAGCGCGAATGAGCGCCAGTCAGCCAGCCAGCCAGTTCAGCCGACGGCGATGTCCCCCTCCGCCGAGCCCGAAAAAGCCGATCGCTCTCTCGCGCTCCTCTTGACCGCGATTGCACGGGTACCGATAGGCGACTCGTTGGGCCCGAGCGCGATCGCCGCGCGTCTCCCCCGTTCATTGTTCGGCGCTCCCCGGCCGAGCAGCGCGCCCGTGCCACTCGCGCAGCCCTCGCCGAGGTGCATCCGAGTGACTTTCCGCGCGCGAACGCGATTAGAGGCACCGTTTTCCCGCCAGCCGCGCGGCCGCAACGACACGTGGAATGTTTCTCTTTTCTTTCTTCCAGTCGCGCTGCCTTCGCGCGCTAATGAAATCGAAAGTTTCCCGCGGCAGATTAAGGCGCGCGATCCACTTCTCCGCGCATGATTCACGAGCGATATCAAAGAGCTAATTGTCGGCGTGTTTACATTACGCGCCGCTTAGCTGGGAGAGAGAGAGAGAGAGAAAAGAGAAAAAAAGTGGCATGACGGCGTAAACACTCCGCGCGCCTTCGCGGGCGCGCGATCCTCGCCGCCGAACGCTTATCGCTGCTCCGAGAGCAGATGACGACGATCGTTGCCGACCCGATGACATCAATTCCGCCGATCGATAGGAAGGAAAGGCCGGGGCGAGCGGGTCAGGGATCAGCTTCTATCTCGAAATCTTCGAGTGTCCAACCCAGTTAATTCGCGATTTTCATTATCTCCCAAGTACACTCGTACTTTCTTTCCCGCTCTTCTTTATTTATTATTACTTATTCTAATATTATTTTTTTTTTAATTTTCGTATTATCATCGCCGCGAGGTCAGCGCTGCGCGCGATGGTATCGCATCGGCCGATGCGAAAAAAAAAAATAGCAATTACGCGGCGTCGGTATGTGCATCGGCGCGCTTTATCTGTAACAAACGAGTGGAAAATTACTGGCGTTGATCTTTCGGTAAATCGCGACTTAAACGCCGGAGGTGTGCTAACTGACTCTCGCGATCAACGTGCTCGCCTCGCGATGATGAGCAGCGCGCGCGCGCGAGCAAACGACGCGGAAGCCCGAGCGCCGTTCGTCGCCCGACTGTACGCGCCACTCGGTACTTTCATGGTGTGCGATCGCGGCTTCGGCATTGCCTGAGCCGCAGCCGCAATCTTGCGCGACCCTTTGCCGTCCGCGCGCGTTCGCGAGCGGCGTGACTTTTCCTTGTTGCTTTATTTCTCATTTTATTATTTTTTTTTTCTTTTGACTAACAGTGATATGTTTAGCACGCTTCAGGCGTTCATTTTTTTCCGTCTTCTTTTCGCATTATTTTTTATGCACGAATATAGATCAAAACTGTTATTGGCGAAAAGGAAAATTACAATATTCAATGTGAATGAAATATTCCCATGATTTCACATTATTTATTGCCAAACAAATATGCAACTACATAATCGTGATTTAAAAATGTTATCAATGTAAGTTTTCAGTTTTCATCATCATATCAAGTTGTGCGTTGAAAAATCATTAAAAAATTTCAAAAGCACGATAACAAATGTAATGTAAGCTCTAAAAACATTATAGTTTTCCATGATCATATCCTCCACGATGTAGATAACGTATGCTTCGTTAGACGTTCGCAGTTGTGATTAGTGCATTTTCGAAAAAAAAAATGCCTAACATCTTATGTAACTGAATAAAGCCGCGAAATCACTGTGCAATATTTCATCGCGATAATCTATCGATTCACATCTTTTATTGCTACATTGTTTATTGAAAGTTCAATTAATTTCTATATCGAGGTATATCAGTCGGTTTTTATTCGGAGGCTAATATGATTAAATCAATCAATTCACATAAAATCCATGTCAACTATATGCCGATAGACTTTGCGAACGTTTAATCCTCTACGAAAATTTGCAGTAATTTTTCACGAGCGTACACAACACATGTATACTGTCGCACAACAGCCGATCACGTGACACTATCTCTCAACCAATCGGATTACGAATGAACTGGCTTCGCTTCGTTAGGATATCTGTTTGCGAGAGGAGGATCTGCCGAGAAATTCGGAACGAAAGCGCCAGCGGAACGCGCGATACGCGTTTTATTTTATTATTATCTCGAGCTCGAGGGATTACGCGCGGAGACACGCGATCTGCCGCTCGAGCCGCGCATATTTTCGCGCGCTTTATCGGCCAAAACGATTTCGAGATATTTTATGAAACGCTGAGATACTTTCGACGGCAAAACATGCCTGACGTCACTCCACATGCAATAAACTTGCGCGAGCGTATGTATTTCTTTTTTTTCTCTCTTTACGCGAGAATTCAGTGCGCTGCCGATTGTTAAAAAAAGAAAATGAATTCAGCGAACCGACTTCGTTAAAAAAGAAATAAATAAAATATAACGAGGCGCGAGTCGCGTTGAGATCCGGAGCGCAACGACGCATTGTATAACGACCGCTGATTCTTAACTATTCTTTTTTTTTTTTATGATTATTGCCACTTAAGGCCGTCTCGCAACGATTCATAGGTGACACAATCGCGTCAGTCGCTCAAGGCTCCTTTAATTAGGCAGAACTAAACGCAGCCGCGGAATCGTTATCGAGCGGCTTCTAAACTCCGAACGGAAATCCCATTGTAGAAAAAGGAAAAAAAAGAAGAGAAAAAAATCCGTTGATGCGATCCGCGGGCGAGTCGGCCTTGCAGGTGAGAGCCTCGATCGCCCGCGACTAATTAATTGACCGTGCGATCGTGTACTTTTCCCCGCGACAAACTTTCCTAGTCGCTCCTTATAATAACAGAAATTCAAATCCGAGCGGAAAATTTACAGCGCGGAGATAAGATGCGCCGATAAGGCGCGAAGAGGCGTGTGAGCGCTCGCCTCGGCGTCAGTCCATTCTAATGTCAATTAGATAGCCGACGACGTTATCGAAGAAGGTCCGATAATGGGCGAGAGTCGAAATTGCGATAAGGCTGTACCAGAGATAGCGCGAGCCCGGTTACGCAAGGTGTTGCGCGCCAGTGCGTCGATGAATCCCTTCTCGGCGCGCGACCCCCCTGCTGGCCCTTGGCCTCGTCCTCGCCGAGCAGACGCGCGTTCGCCGACTACAGCTAGACGGATTACAGCGGCTTGCGGCTAGCTAAACTGGATTAGCGAGCCGCAGGATCCGCCAGCTCAGTGCCGAGCGATCGGGCGCGATGGCCGGGCTCGACGAGCGCTCGCACGAGGAGGCAACGCGGACCGACGACGACGACGACGACGACGGCGACGACGACGACGACGACGACGACGACGACTTGATTCCGCCGGAGCCGCCGGGCGAGTGCCACGCCAGCCTGCAGCGCGATGTCGCGCTCCTCGGCGACTCGGTGCGCCGCGCCCGCGTGTCCGACCTCGCCGCGTTCATCATGCGCCGGAGGTCGTTCCGCAACCCGTACTACATGGACAGGTTCGTCCGGCATTGCCGCATCAACGAGTACGGCAGCAACTACCCGCGCGACAGGTACGACCCGCGCAAGTGGCCGCGCAGCTCCTACTACGAGTCGCTCGCCAGGCGCCAGGAGGAGGCCTGCTTCCAGGCGAGGTGCCGCGAGTACGCGCGCTCGCGGACGGCCGACGCCGACCCGCCGAGCCGCGCCTGATTTCCCTTTGTTCGTCCTTCCGAGGCGAGCGGAGCGCTCGTTTTTTTCCACGCCGCGCCGCCTTTTCTCGCGCCGTGCGCGCGGACCGAGAGCACGTTTGTTTCTCTTTCCTCGTTCTTTTTTTGTCGCTCGCGCGTTGCTCGCGCGGAGCGCGCGAGACGACCGATCGTTTGCTAACGCATCGTAATATCATACCCGTATGCGCGCGCGCGCGAATATTTCGACAATGACTTGTGCGTACGCACGTACGCGCGATTCAACGTTTATTCCCCTCCTGTCCCGGCTGCGCTATTTCGACTCCGCGCGCGCGACCGCGGAGTGCGAGTTTCGTCGCGACAATTTCATCCTTTTGTTTTGTTTTCTGCCGAGGTTTCGGCGAGTGTGCGTTTGATCGCAGCGGCGATTAAGTGCGCGCGCGTCCTGCGATTGTATTTTCAACTCCCGTGGCTAATGACCGAAATTCCACAGTAATGTAATCATGTACAGAAAAAAAAAAAAAAACTATGCGAAATTCAGCGAAGCCAATCCATTCATCGTTGCAATGGACGATGGCAAAATGCACTACTTTGTAACTGTATTATATATAACCTTATTCGCGATAAGGTTCCGTTAGTTAGTCTATCCTTGGAGATTCGCTTTCACTTTATCTCCAGCTCTCCTTTATGCTCCACACAAGTGCTGTACTGTATTCTGGGATTTCATTGTATAAATAAGCGATATACGTATAGAAGTAAAATGCGCATTAAGAATACACAGTTGTCTTTTATTTTGAATACATGTTGATAACTGAGGCAAGAAATTTACGCTCTTTTCCGATAGTTATAATCGTTTTCTGGCCTGGAAAAATCGACCGCACACGCGCGCATACACACACGCGCGCGCGCACACTCACAATTATAAATATATGTAGCGCTTTTCGATAAGTAAATTTTGACAGTTGAATAGCACGGCAATCCGCTTGTGCGACGACACTGACACATTTATCGTCGGATACTTGATTGCACTTCTCGCGGACGACACGGACAAACACAGCCGATGCGCACTACACTTGTGTTTATGTATATACTTTGCATATACATTGTACTCGTGTAGGTGTGCGCCTCGTTTGATCCACTTATCAGCCGCAAACAATCCAGTTTACTTTACTTTCAGTCTCTCGGGTTTTCTTTTGTTTAAATAGAAAATCGAGTTTTTCTGCTGATAGCCGATCGGAAACCAGCCAAAATTCAAGCAATCAAGCCGGAGAATATTTAAAAGCCGTGCGAGCACGTGTCCACGACCGAACAAAGCAAAACAATACGTTCCCCCACCCCGCCAACCGACCGTTTAACTGTTGATAATGCAGCTGTCTTAATAACGAACTCTCGAAAAAACTCCCGGACGTTCTTTTGGCGCTTTCGTTCATAATAACACGAATTCATTCATATTTTTTAAACATTCTTGAAACGCTATTTACTAGTCAAATCTTTACAAACTAATAATCAAACAGGCTACAACTTACTCTTCATTCGTGACGTCAGTCCGATGCACGATAATAATTACATGTCGACTGAAATATTGGTTCTGTCAACGTGTAATTGTTAATTGTAATAGACTGACGTCGTTATTTTATTCCTCTGTCCTCTTCTGAGAAATCGGAAACCAATTCATTCGCAATCTTATTGGCTAAAAAGATATACACGTGAGCTGCGCTGTTATGTGCGACAGCTATACTATATGTCAGTTGAAAATCTTTGCTGTGTGCGAAAAAAGTTTCCGTTTCAATGAGGAAGGACACGCAACTCGACAGATCGCTTTGATGAATAACTATTGTGAAATAATTTCGAATCGGTTCATCCCGTGCAGTAGATTATTAGAAAACTGTTTTCTAATAAGCTACTACTAGTAAGCTACGAAAGAAAAACAGATATCATCAACAATCCATAAACACGTGAAAAGTATGTGAGAAACTAAATTATGAGGCACACCTGATGTTTTTATTTGGCTAGACTAGAAAATATAAGGAAGACAAAATTTATAACACACGACAAACCATACGTAAGCTTCTATAGCTATAATACTACTAAACCTGAAAATAATACAGGATATATTAAAAATGACTTATTCTAGATAATCAAATTTACTTTTATAGCAAACTATTCAATACCAGTAGATTTGAACGTCTACTATACTAATTTGTCCGTTATTTACATCATGAAGGACGTATAATGTGATCACAGACAACTACCTGAACTGTTTTTATTTAATGTTTTCGAGTTGTATATGTTTATTTACCAAAATAAATTATGTCATCGCGGTATAGCGTATTAACTGATTATTAAAACAAACGAAAGAACGCTACACGTTACTATAGTGCCACGGTAGTACGAGGGTGGTCTCAACAGTTTTCAATCTCAACCTGAAGATGGCAACGTAAATTGGGTATATGTTATTTATTTGCCGGATGCCGATTGCCGCGGTAATTTGCTCACTCACGAGTCAAAAACGCATTCATATGAAACATTTCCAAGGTCTTATTGCGGTTTAAGGAAAACGATAGCATGTTAAATAAAAACCTAACGCAGATCGAGGCGCCGCATATTACGCCTGAAATTCAATTTTGTATTGAATTCGTACAACCGTCCAAGAACGTATAAAGATCAAGGTCACTCTTAACGAATCTTTGACAGAATGATTGGCTTGACGTTTTCTGATGAATTTCAATCGGCAGCATTCCGAGTCGAACGGAAAAGTACACTCCAAACGTTCTGCCTTTTCTTACCACTCAACATATAGTCTTTTAACAAACCGAATTTTAGGTGAATATAATTTTAAGTAATGGAAAGTATGTATACATACAAAATGGAGTTTTTTCAAAAAAGTCGAAAAACAGAAAATTTCGAGTGAGAATCGTAATGTGCAGAGGGTATTAAATGTTTGTATAAACAGTTGCTTGTTTTGGTTTTAATCGAAAACATATTATTTAAGCTTGAAATGAATTTTTTAATAAGCTTATCAACATTGAAACGTGAATGTTATTTGTGTTATTAGCGATATTTTTCAGTGAAAAGAAAAATACGACGTAGATTTTCATTTTTTTGTATTTTTTTCAGAAATATTTACATCTTTTTTTTCAAGGAAATTCATTGTAATTATATTCGGTTTATTTCTCAGCCTCAATACCGAGTAAAAATAATTGATTCTCTGAACTATATAGCCAATTTTCTTTTATTGCATGAAAGTATTATCGTATTTATTTATTTATTCTAACAACAGAACATATTATAATATGTAGCTATATATTGCTTATTTGCATTTTCATAAAATATTTCATAAAATTGTTTTCAGAAATTTAAATTGACGGTATTTTTTCATGCAAAGAAAGAATTATTCAGCATTAATAATCTTATAGTTTCCAAAAATATCTTTTACAAATTGAAAAATCAGCTTTTATCAATTAAGGATTCAAAAGATATATATAATTTAATTTTCATAACATAATATTTGGATGTCATTTAAATAACTATATTATATATTTGTATATGGACAATTTATTATACAATATTAAAATCTAACTCTCTCATTATTTAATCTTATGATTACTGAGACGTTTACAGTATGTATTAATTATTTATAAGCATGTTCCTCGCGAATAAAAAATAAATTATTTTTATGCCGAGTAAAAAATATGTTTCTAATGGAGACTTTTCAATTTATTCATACGTCATACCAAAAATTTAATGTTCCACGCCCCACTCCCACTTTTATAGAACCACAGGTGAATATGTTTTTACGAATTCCGCGGCAATAGTCAATTACGCGCCTTTTTTCCGACATTAGTTTGCTTTCTATCCTTTTCTAACGCTCACGTATTGTGTGGAATCTCTCTCTCTCTCTCTCTCTTTTTATCCCACATCCAATACAATCACAGTAGGTTTCACCTTCCATGCTGTCTAAAGTGCAGACGCTGTTTCCTGGTGATTGTTTTTTTTGTTATGAAGCCTATACCTATTTGCTAGTTTTCTGACACAAACTTAAGCACGAAGTTTACTTAAAAGACGTATTCTATTGTGCTTTTATGACCTTAACTAATTTTTAAAGTGAATAAGGTCTATGATCATTATCCCGTATTATCCAATTGCCTAGTAGTGATAGGTTAGTTCGTCCACTTGTTGCTTTTAACTATTCAAACAAGTGTATGTGATGAGTTTATTATAATTTTGATATTTGTTATTCAACAGGTGTGATAGAGATTACTCAGACTGCACAACTTGATTGTGAAGTTCAGTTCATTATAATGAAGTAAAACTATGGTGTATATGTTATTATTATGAGTTGATTGAATGTACAAAAATTCATCATTGATTGACTTGTGGTTTTCGTATATTTATCAGTACAACTTTACACTTACTTAGGTACTATTTTTTAAATTAATGTTTATTTGTTGTATATTAGTATATTGCTTTATAGCACAAAGTTCATTTATGAAAGTATTGTTTGTATTTTAAGTGTATTGCTTATACACTCTATCAAAATCTAATAATATCAGCTAAATAAAAATAAATAATCTTAATAATAATGACATTATTTATAATTTTAGAAAATATAATGGTGCGCCATAAAACCAAAGGAAAAAAAATTAAAACATCCAAACAAAAATCTGAAACCAAAGTCATGAATAAAACTACAGCAATGGTCAAGAAAAATCACATACTCCAAGAAATTACATCTCTTCAAAAGACGACTCATTTACTCATTCCAAAGCTACCATTTGCTAGACTTCTCAAAGAAATTCTGAATGATTTGTTTCCTCGAAATAATAGTTTTAAATTACAACTCACTGCATTAGAAGCTCTTCAAGAAGCTGCAGAAATGTACCTTGTTCAGTTTTTTGAGGATGCATATCTTTTGTGTTTACATAATAAACGAGTGACGTTAATGCAAAAAGATATGATTTTATTGAGGAGGATACGTGGTCGTAATGATATTATCAATAGATAGTTTAATGTAAATTTTATGATATCTTGTTTGGACGAGTTCTATTTTGAGTTGATAACTATATTTTTCAAACTAGTATAATTGATAATTTTTTAATAAATGTAACTCAAATTAGCCTTTATGATAATTTGGATTAATAACATCTGTTTCTGAACTTATAATTTTTATTGAAATGCTTAAGAACAATATCCATGATGGGCTGTGAAATAGTGTATTTTTATGCAAAATAATATTTTTTGTACTACTTGATATTAAATAAATATGATTACTGTAGACTAAATGTTTCATACATTGTGAATTTATTTAATAAATATAGTACCTATAATTCAAGAACACTTTAAATGAACTAATTTCCGACAGCTTCAGCTCGATCAAGCAATAGATTGATTTTGAAACACAATTTCTGAAAAAATTGTTGGAAATTATTTGCTGTTCTCTCTATCTGATTAATCTATTTTTGCTTGTTGCAATCTACAATCCAATTTCGCTATTACTGTAGTAACACAAATAGCAAAATTGATTTGGATAATTAAAAAAATTTTATATACAAGTTTCTGATAAAAACTTCATTTCTTTTGACAATTGTAATATAATCATGCTTTATCATTTAAATTTATTTTAACATAATTGTTGAATTAAAATTTACGAAACAGTACGGAACTTACGGTGACATTGGAAGGAATAAACTATTCTTGTACTCGACACACCAGGATATAATGCGATAATGTTTACTATAATCTTGTCAAAGTGATCCTGAGTGTAAAAAAATCGACGAATTTCCGTTATCTTTTACATGTAAGTCAATCAGCAATCGAAGCAATATTAACGATCAACCCGCCATTACCACTGCCATCGTGGTCAATCGTCAGACTGACCGACAGAACTGCTTTCTACCGATAATCCTCGTTTCGTCCATTTTTCGCTGTTTCAACGAGAACAATATATCGGTCAATCGTAAACTTACGTTATGACGTCGATCACGCGTCTCGAATTGTTTTCGGCGCGACCAATTTATAGCGTGATTTATCAAAATAAGTCAATGGCCTTGTACTTTTCAAGAGTACCTTGTCGAGATTGGCCACATCAAAGTAGTTACGAGTCGATCGCAATGTCGCCAGTGTATAAAAATCAACCATGTCGCCGTACAGCTTTTGCAACTCGACGTGAAGACTTTCAATTCGAAAACAGGCGACCACCAGTGCGTGAGAATTCCGCTCGATGATTTATAGGAGTGTTTCGATTGATTATTTACTGATGGAGATTCGAAAAACAATGAACCTTGATAATTGTCGCAATGAATTTTTTCACAACGGACAAACCGATTTTACTCGAGGCGCCGGTGACGACAGCGACAAATTCCTTTGATGTCCTATGAATTCTACGCGAATATTCTGTACGAAATGACGAATAAATTTACAGTCGATCACGTAAAACCTTACATATAAAATGAGATAGGAATAGCTCTAGAGAAAAAAGAAGTAAATTTGTCCGGGATTATCTAATTACTATCACAGAGTAGGAGATGACTATCTAGCTTACAGCTCATTCCACTATATCGCATGATTCTGTTCTGTTTACCTTACTGACACCGCTGGGACTAACTAAACTCCGCTTTCTATACGGCCAGCGTTAAATCTTTCCTTTGCTGTGAAACGTCGCCCCGACAAAACTAACTATACATGAGCTTGTACCTCCTGTTGAAAAGACAGTAACACGATTGATTGTTCTGCAATTGAAATAGCTATAAATATATTCATTAATGATGTATTTATTTCAAAATTTGTACTTTCGGAGGGCCTTCATTTATATGAAGTGGGCTAATATTCATATGAAAACGCGAAATGAAATACTTGCTGAGTATGGGAATGCAGATGTAATAAAAGAAGGTCACAATTCATACTCAGGATTCGCTCGAATCTTTTTACGGGATTATACAACATTTCAAATCATATCCATTCTACGAAGTCCAGAATAAAGAATGCATCGTAATTTCTTTGAATTATGTATTCGTTATAAAAAAAATAATAAATCTTTTAAAACATTGAGATTCATGGTTTAATCATGCTTTAACTCCATATTACTTGGCAAATGGATTTTCACGTTGTTTAAAATAGAGAATTATAAATTCATACTTCACTTTCATAATTCACTTTCAATTGATAAGTGACAGCGAACATTAAAAGAAACGAAGTAAAACTACAACACTTATTTAAACGTCCTCGCTAAAGTCTATTACAGATTATTTAACAATAGTTAAACACAAATTAAAAAATATATAATTATCCGGCAACAAATGACAGGTAGAAACATTCATCAAATTTTACTACACTCAAGACATAAAAAAACTATAAACTTTCAATGACACGAGTTCTGATATCGTTGAACACTGTACCTAATATGCGTCGAGTAGTTGCAACTATTGCATTAGTATTTCATCTCAGTAGTCGAGTCTAGTAGAACGAGCATGAGAGCTCATGTAATGTTTCTTCAAATACCAATTGTATTTGGTTTTGAGAGGACACAACTTGCACTTGAACAGAGGCCGATCATTCGCGTGTGTCAATTGAAAGTGTTTGTACATTGCGCTCCATATTGATGCTGCATAGTTACAATGTGTACATTGATACTGATTGATCGGGCAGCATCGAGTTCTCAAGTGATGCACTATACCTCTAAAAGTTGCACACTGCATGTGACACTTTTTGCATTCAAAAAGTAACTGTTTTTTACACTTGCTACATCGACGAACATCACTCGTTGTTATTTTACATTTCGAGCAATAGTGGGCATATTTTTCAAGCCAATTCTCTGTCAAAAAATATTCAAAAATAAATATAGTAACGCACCAGCTATACTCATTCGAAAGCACGAGCATACCATTTTGATGTTTCTTCACGACGAACTGATCCTTGTTCAGAACTAACTTGGAGTTAGTACACGTTTCTGAAATTGAAAACGTTTCGACGTGCCTATAGTGATCTTTTCATATATGCAGCTCTAAAACCATTTTACCTGTGACTTTAATATTTGATTCGTTCCCATCGATAGCAGTTGGCGGCGCTTCATTTCCATTGCAACGATTCCAATGAAACTGTAAATACGCATACCTCTTGTAGTGCTTCGCGTTGCATTTAATGCACAAGTGTGTCATCGGCACCTGACAGTCAGAGCAATCGTTCACTCTCGGATCCTTCAAGCGAGCAAACACAGTTTTCTTACATTTGGCGCAATACCGATGAGTGTATTCTTTGCAATCCGTTTTACCTGGAAGCACAAATTCTCGAGTTGCGATTAACTGTCAATTATGTATTTGAAACTTTACAACCCAGTGCTTACGTGTCATGTCGCTTTCGTCGGCAATATCAACATAGGTGCGAACGTTTACCACTTGATTATCCGGAAATTTGACTAGCGGATCTTCGAGCTTTTCTAAAACTACTTTTGCATTCAGCAGCTGATTCAACAGTTTAGCTACGTCAATAACTTTGTCTGTAAATCAAATTTACTCTCCTGTACTATTATCGTTATCATTTAAATTACTTTTTTTCTATTCTTACCACTATATTTAAAAGGTAAATTTTCAGTCTCGTTTAATGAAATATTACGAGCAGTTGGAGCGTACTTGATGTGTACTTTGGTTAATGTATTGCAACGTTCATTAATCGTCCTGTCAAGCTTTGCTATAACCTTCTTGATGTTCGAAGTATAGTTGTAATTGTGATCTTATTTAGATAAACAATACAAAAACTTGATAAGTCATAAAAATGGATTTTGGTGCAGATTCGGTACCAACCATTACATTTGCCAATTAAATCCAAGTCGGTCGCAGTATCTTGATTGCAAGTCTCTCCTTTTGATTCTGGTGGACTCGCTGAATATAAAAAAGTTACATTCAATGATAGAATCCGCGAACTCTACGAATCTTTGATAAGAGTATCGTTTAGCAATATTTTGTACCAACTACGTTGTAGTCTTTACTGAGATATGTGCCCATCGTGATTACCCTGCGAATGCGCCAACGATAACTAAAAGCGAACGACGCGTATGCTTACAAGCAACAGCTGCTCGTACGTACAAGCAACGAATCATTTTGCACTTACGGCGAATGTAGAAGGAACCGTAGTTATACATTGTCAATCGACTAGGCGTTCAACCAAATCAAAATGGAAATAGTTCGAGTGACCTAGCTTGAAATTCTCGGGTACATTGGTGGTATATTGATCGAGCTCGGGTATATTGGCAATGAGGAATTAAAAAGAAATATCGTAAATAGATAGTGGAACTCGCGGTTCGATATTTATCGGTACATAACTCGTTCATCGGTACGTATATTCTCCTTTTGCGCTCTTCGCAAGTCTTCTGTCTGTAAAGTTAAAGCGACACCAATAAGATAACTGAAAGCGCAGAACGGTCGTCGAATTTGCTACGGCAGATTTCTATGAAATTAATTTTTCATAACAGTTAAGTTGATTGTTTGGGAAATATACGATAATTAGTGATGTGAACGAGCCACGGAGGCAATTGCACCAGCCGTGGATAGTTCGGTGAGCAATACTTTTGTAGTACTGCTATGCACCTATGAAAATGAAACAAAGCTTTCTTCCAAATGTCAGGCTAGCTATGACGGTAAATTGAAAATATTTAATTACTGAACGCAGGACGACAGCAATGAGAATTCGAGCACTCCATCAAAAAACTCATAACTATAAGTGTCACAGTTATGAAAAAAATGTAGAAATACTACGGACATAGAAATTTCGTTTTTTGATGGAGTGCAAGGATTCTCATCGTTGCAGGAATACGTTTTAAAACTGAGTGGCGCGTTATAAGTTTCGAAGAAAAAAAAAAGAACGTAGGCTCTGATTATATTTATGCTTGATATTGTATATTTTTAAAAATTTTTCTTGTACATTAAAAAATATATTCACATTTTATTTTCTATTAGTTGACTATACTGACTACATTATAAAACATATACGCGCGCGCGCGTGTGTGTGTGTGTGTGCGCGTGCGTGCATGTACGTGTATCCATATTACGTCATACATTTAAAAAAATAAATAAACAAATACATAAAACTGACATAAATAAACAATGGTTCTACTGTAGTCTAAACTTATGTCTTTGCTATGTGATCTTTTATTTTATCTCTTGGTTTGCCTTCATAAGAACAATTATTACAGATTTTGGGTAATTTTACATGACAGAGCTTGACATGTCGGTGCATAGCTCTCCAGTTTTTAGAAACAAACATACAATTGTTGAAAGTACATGGATACTTTTCAATAGTTGACTTTCCTTGTTGATTAACTGGTAGAAAAGAAATTTACAAATGTATTTCAATAACGTTTTTACAAAAAAATAGTTATATAATATTCTTACCACTTAGTGAAATATTTCTTGAACAAGGAAACCATAACTTCATTGATATCGGACTCTCTAAATTTACAATATAAGAAGGAAGTCTTTCTAGAATTACCAGTGCCCTCATTTCAAGTTTACTGTTTCTTTTAGCATTCATAAGAATATCTAGAAATTATTAATTAGGTAATAATTTGAAAATATGATTTACTCAAAACACTTCTCTGTACCAATTTTGAATTGCAATGCTTCTTGAAAACTTTTCAAAACAATGAAAATCAGATTTATAAAAAATCAATAAAGTATTACCTTTACATTTGATTCTATATTTTATTTGCTTTTTCTTCAATTTGTATGGTTGAAGGTGACTATACTTCATATGATTATACATCAACCGCCAATTTTTTGCAGAGAACTGGCATTTATTATACGAGCAATGAAACCATTCACTTGAATACTTATTCCTGAGCTGATAATGTACATTAGACTTAGTTTTATAGTTATTATTTATTTTACGATGCTTGATAGAGTAAAAATTGCCTGTAAATATAAAAGATTTTTGTAACATTATTTTGAAAAATTGAAATCTAGATTGGCACTGGTCTAAAGATTTCACTTGACCATTAGAGATCACTTGTTTTTTATAATAAACAGATTCATGGCTTGTTTCATCTAAATGATAAATCATTTTAATCCTCTTGTCAGTTTTAAAACAACAACCAGAACAACGATACATTGCTTTTTCTGAAATAATAAATAAACTATTAAGAATGAAAATTATTGTTTGGTGACAATTGATGGCATACAAACTTACTTCTTTTGATAGTGCTTGATTTCGCATCTGTCACTTTGACTTGACGCTTTGGTTTTGCAAAAGAAATAAAAGGTTTTTTCAAGACTACCCTTGGATTCATTGGATGCTTAATACTATTTTCAAATGTATCTACAAAATGATAAAATTTCAAATTATTGTACCATTGGTATATAATAACAACTAAAAAGTTGCATTTATATTATTTGTATAAAAAAATCTACCAATTAAATTATTCTGAATAAGATATTTAGATTTATGTTGTGCTTCAAAGTTTGTTGGCAATGATTCCCTTGGAACTATCTTCAATTGCATATTTGTATAATTGTTAGAGTTGTTGTCAATTTCTTTTTGTAAGGATAAATCAATAAATAGTCCTATTTTATTATCTAAAATTGGATAGAAATTATACTACACATTATCATTCTTATTAAAAGTAAAGATTTCAAATAAAAAATTATACAAACACTTGTTAAGTTCAATGTAACTTTCAACATCACCATTTTCATAGTAATTAAGCCAGTTTTCAATGAATTTATCATCAAATTCAATCCCATTAACATTAAGATCTATAAGTAGATATAGGATATCAACAGTAATGTAATACTGTGTTCTCAAAATAATTCACTATAATTACCGTTAACATGATCTTCGTTTGAATTTTCATCATTATTAATCAGTGAAATCTGATCTTCCACATCACTTTCGAGATATAGTGTAAAATCATCATCAATTGAATTTGCCATTTCATCAATTTTTGTTTCATAACTGCATAATTGATCCTTTGAACAAAGTAACATTTTTATCTGCAATTAAGTATATTATTTTCAAAGTACATAAATGTAAGTTACTGCAGCGTCAATATAGCCTATAGAACGCTGAATTAGTTATTAATGTCATAATTTGTATATTAAAATACTTTTTCATATTCACCTTTATGTCAAATATTTCTGTAACAAATTTAAAGTAATATTATTTTACTGTTTATACGAACAGCATTTCTTCGTTGAACATTCAATTTTCACAACACCTGATGCGCCCTTTAGTTATAAATTTTAATTCTTTCTTGGTTATTCTTGGTTATATTTATAATATAATAATTGATATAGTAAAACGAAATCGACGTTTTAATCAAAACCGAAACTAGCGTTTATGCTTCATATTCAGCATTGCTACAAAATATATCTCTTTGTGTTAAACTTTGTATTTATATACAAAAAATTAATCCAAGGTCAACCCGATTGATAAAGTAGTTACCTACACTTTATTTAAATCTTTTCGGCAAACTTTTATTTTAATTAAAAATTGTAAAAGGATTTATAAAAAATGAAAGGATTTTTTTCAAAATAATAAATGTTTTTTATTCTGTGTACAGAATACCAAACAACACAAAACAATTTAAACAATATCTTATTAACAAAAAATACATATAAAATAACTTTCCGAATATCTACACAGTCAAATAGTTAACGAATTGATATACGAAAATATGTATAAAATTAAGTATAATTGCATTAAACAATTAAATATTTGTTCTAAATAGAAATGATCAAAAATAACTTTTAAGAAAAATAAATAAAGAACAAAATGTTTACAATTTTGTTATACTGACTTAGAACAAAAAACAAAAGCAATGATTGTAATTTAGAAGGTAGCTCTTCTATATCTTTTCAATGATGATATTGAACTCAGATCTTCCTTTTTCTCGATACATTTACGCTTAAGAACCCTTATTTTAGCAGCTTTATCCATATGTCTTAAATCCTGGTTACTCAAATAATCAAAAATCATATCATAGCAAGGCTCTTCTAAAGTTAGTCCAATAATATTTTCGAATGCATTTTTTGCTAAAGTATACAATTTACTTCTAACAAAATTTCTTTCATAGTAAACTCTTAACAAATTTCCATAGAGAGGATATTTTTCTGCAAATTTGTCTAAAAACAGAAATTCTTGAAGACAATGCTGATATCTGATGTTTAACAAATTCAAATCAGTTGGTGTCATATACAATAAATCAGACAAAACAAAGTTTTCATCAATTGGTATCTCATGAATCTCGGATAATTCTGCTAAAGCTGAGTCAAAAAATTCATTAGTAATAGATACATCAAAATTATCTTGACGGGCCTGCTCATACTCTGCTATGTATTTTTTAGTTAGGCTGGAAAGAAACATATTTGCAGCTTTTAGCTTGATGATATGATAATAAAGCATTGTCCATGCATCTGTAAAATTTGGAATTAACATTAAAGGAATAACATGAAACTTATCCCCAGCATTAATGTCTGCACCATAATTCAACAGTGCATTTACATTTTCATAACTATTGTTCCAACATGCAAAATGAAGTGCAGTTTTTCCATTGTTATCTTTTAATTCTATATCAGCTCCATTCTGTAGTAATACTTTTGTAACTGTACACTGCCTTTGAGAAGCAGAAAGATGTAATGCTGTTCTGCCATCTCTTCTTCTGAGATCCAAATCAACACCAAATTTAATAAGCTCTTCAATGATGTCAGAATGATTGTATTCTGCTGCCACGTGCAGTGGAGTAGATAAATTATCATATGTGGTGCAATCTATTTGTGCACCATACTGCAACAATATTCTAGTTACCACGGTACAACCAGATTGTGCAGAAAGTATCAAAGGAGTTATGCCTTCTTTATTTCTGGTATTGATATTGCAGCCATGACTAACAAACAGTGCGATCAAATCTGCCTCTATATTTGTTGTTGAATCAATATTAACCATACTCAAAAAATGAAGTACTGAATTACTTTTGATATCAACTGCAGTTGGATTGGCACCATGCTGCAGCAGAATTTTAGCAATTTCTAAATGATTATTTTTTGCAGCCAAATGTAATGGTGTTTCTCCATTTATATTTGCAGATGTCACTAACTCTTTTTTTGACAACAATGTGAATACAATTTCAATTAGTTTTTCCTCTTCCTCATTATCTGTATTTACGTAAGCATCCAAGATTAAATGAAGTACTGTATTCCCACTTGGATCGCATATATTTGGATATTTGCAATAGGGAAGTAATTTTTGTAACATTTCCGTATATCTTTTTGATGCAGCATAATGGAAAATCGTGAGTCCGTCATTAGATTTGTTGTCTAAACTCAACCCTTTAGATGCAAGTAGTTCTAAAATTTCAATATCTCTTGCAATATTTTCGGATATATTGATAATGCTGGTCATATATTGTGCTGTCTCAAAACTAGAACAATAAGATATTTGAATAAATATACTTTTTATCAGGTTCTGGAAAATGGTTTCAGCATTACTGATTTCTGCTCCATTTTCTAACAATGCTTTTACCATGTGTTTTTGCCTATTTAAAACAGCTATAGATAGAGGAGTATGATTGCATTGCTGATCTATGAAGTTAATATTTGCACCTTTTTTTATGCATAATTCAGCTATTTCCACCATTTCTAACTCTTGAGTTTCTGAAGCATAATCTAAATTATAACATAAATAATGAAGAATTGACCTGTTGTGCTCTGCATCAAATTTTTGAAAGTTGAAGTTGTCTAACAAAAGTAGCAGTATAATTTTATCTTTTAACATCATTGCGAAATGGATTGGAGTAAGTTTATTGATTTCATCATTAAGAACATCCGACTGAGCTCCCATTAGCATTAATTTATTTACTACCTTAACATCCATATTATCTGGTTTAGTGTTATTGTCAACTAGATGTTTCAAATAGAGATGCAAAATTGTATAATTATTGAATCTACTACTGTGTATATCAATGCTTGATTTTTGTAACATATCGATGACAATTTGTTTGTGGTTATTGAAAATAGCCAGGAGTAATTGAGTTTCTCCTTCATTATTCTGAATGAATTTCAAACATTCCATATCCAAAATGGAAGTGACAACTTTGTAAAACAAATCATTTGTGCAATAGCTGGAACTATTTTTAAGTATAATGTGTAAAACAGTATCACCTTTGTAGTTACGACAATTCACATCCCACTGGCATTGGAGCAAAATTTGTAAAATATTTAAATATTTCTTGTTTGCTGCCAAATGGACAACATTATCTCCTTGGGTGTTTACAATATCAATTTTTGCACCTTTCGCAATAAATAATTGAACAATCTCAGCAATATCTTCTTCATCTAAAAAATCATTTTGCAGTAAATGATGTAAACTTGTGTTTCCTTGATCTGTGCATTGATTAATGTTATTGGTTATTTTAAGTACACTTTGTATTATATCTTTGGAATTTGTTGTAGAGACAAAGTGCAAAACACTCCACTGATGACCTACATCAATAGATGCTCTTTTTGTGAAAAATAATTTGAATATTTCAATATCGTTTTTGTTATCCAACAGAGTGTAAGGAGAAAGACTATCAAAAAACATTTGAAAAACAGTTTTGTTACTTCTAAGAGAGTTGATGTCTGCATTATATCGAAGCAAGAGTTGCAACATATTTAATGATTTCTGCTCTGCAGCTAGATGGATAACAGTGAGACCATTGTCATGGGTTGCCTCAAAATTTGCTCCATTTTCCAAAAGAAGAGTAGCAATTTGTACATTTTTATTTTTTATAGCTAAAGCCAATGGTGTAAAACCACTGTCATTGTTAGTTCCATTAATTCTGCATCCAGCATTAACCAAAAGCTCAACTATATTCCTGTAATTTTGTTCTACAGCTGTTTGCAATATTAAATAATCTGTGGTTATCTTTGCATTTTTTGGCAATCCATAGCATGTTAATGAAGTTTTTATTTGTTTTTCTTTCCCCAACTTGGTAGCTTTAAGCAGAGATGTGATCGAAAGTCTTTTGATATTAGTCTTCATGGTCTGCAAAATAATATCAATATTAGCAAGACCTGTATCAATTGAAAACTCTCTTTTAAAACTTTGAAAATAATAAAGAACTATGATTAAACTTGCAATATGTAATACATGTATAAAATACAAAAAAATAAAAATTTATGTTGCAATATCTTTTATTAAATAAATGCACAATTCCACTAAGACTAGGAATTACTTTCTTACTTCCTTACATTTGACAAAAATGAAACTCTGAACAGAAAATCAATGAACAAGTATTATAACGACAGTATTAATTCCTTTTTTATTTAAATCCTACCTATTAGGAATGTTAACTTAATTTTCAATAATATTCACTGCATGCAACAAATAATAAAATTTTTAATGGCCTTTATTAAGCCTATTTGTGCATATAATTGTACTTACCACGCAACTTTATTACTCTTTTACTTCAATCACATTCATTAATGAAAATCTTCCAGCGTGCAGATTACTGAATTCGAGTCCAACCAGGTCCAAGTGCGACGTCTGACAAGTATAGAATTTCTCCGTATTTCAGGACGTAAATAAAGAAAATCATATTTATATATGTGTATTTGACCTGTAAACAAAATGACCAACAGGCGATGACCGATGTGTGTTTATTGTTGCACACGCTAAATATAGAATATAGAATATTTATTTTTATAGCATAAAATATAAAATTCCATTATATATGTAAATTAGAAATCATATATACATACGAAACAAAAATTTCACTCGAATTAATTACGCTTATAACTATATATTATTAATAAGTTAATTCACACTCGATTTTTTTAACTGATAGTGCGCCGAAGATAACGTAATTTTTTTTGCGATGTTATTAAACTTCAAAGCAATAACAGAAAAAATAATTAGCTTGCGCATTTAGTAAGCAAGTGATAAGCATTCAAAGATTGAAATAAATCTTAATGATAGATCTATTTCCACAGGTAATTTTGAGAAAAAATTAATCGATTGACCCTGGTTTTTACATAAAAATAGTATAACTACTAATGGGTAGACAATATTTATTTTTAAAATATAATCCAACCAACTTATAAATTCTTTAAATAACAAAGAAAATCGTTACCACGGAATCGCTCATTCGATAAATATATACATGTACCTTCCAATATCGTGAAGTCTATTTATTGAATCTTATTTACAAATATCCTACTAAAAATCGATGTTCAAAGCTTATGTATAATACATGAAAAACTTTAAAGTTCACGTATCTACATGAAAAAATATCAAAAGTTATATATAAATTTTTATCATGCCTAAAAGAATCGTCATTATCAAGAGCTTGAAACTTTTATCATAAATACCTTCAAGTATTGCTTGCTCGTCAAACTATTACTAAGGTGATTCAATCATCTTCATGATTTTATCCAGTGACTCTGAGATAACTCGGAAACATTTTCCAAAATCACCATCGTAATTATATATTTGTCTTGAGCTTTCGGCAAATTACGTTTATCGACGTGTGCTTTAAACATAAAACAAACCTTTCAATAGTTTGCTTAAAAAAGTATACTCAGTGTCAAACTTTTATTATTATAGTACTATTGTTAGCTGATAAAACAATATACCTGATGGCACAAGTTCTAAAAGTAATGATTTGTTCTCTTTTTCTATATATATTTTTTAGAAATTGTGATTTCATTGAATCTTATCAGAGATTCTCTGATCTTACCGTCTTCTGACGACGAGAACGAAATTGTATGTATATACCTGTACAAATGTGTGAACAACCTATGTAAATAAATGAATATATATTTTATATGTACCAGATTCGTCAGACAAGCTTAATAGAAACTCTTCATTTCAACTATCAGTATATTAAAAACCGCTTGACTGTGCAAATTCTTAAAGTGTAATATTTTTTGATTAGACAATTATTCTTATTCATCGTATAATACACGTAGACGATAAATATCTCGTGAGAAATTTTTAGGAACTGACGCAGCACTTATTCCATTCTTTTGAGTTACATTGTTTTTTCTTGTAAAATTTCTTAAAATCATCATTTACTATTAAAATTTTGATCGCCTATAATTTATAGTAATCATGTTCACTTCACATACGCACCAGGAAATCACAAACATTAATCGCACAGGTACAGAAAAAATCGGAAAATGAATGACCAAATCAAATCACACGTTTATTGTACGTAAAAATACTTGTGGTGTGTATGTATTTATGTTCCTAATTGAACCTGCTTTTTAAATCTACACTGGCATATAAAGTAGCAATATTTTTTAAACTTCCTACTACTCGTAATTTTACGATTAACGATAGCAATTAAATAATTTTCACGCGAATTTTCGCCATTTTTTCGCACGTGATTAATGTCTATATTTGGTAAATCTCTCTTGGGTATCGTGCCACTACTTTCGACTTCGGTAACTAACATACATCACAGATAATTTATTTATGATTATGAGCATATTGTATGTGTGTGTCTGGGGGTGTGAGTGTATATACACAGACATATAATATTTGATTATTTTTGTTGAATGTTTAGTAGTTCATAGTGATTTGATCAATTAAATGAATTTTATAAAAAGTGAAAAACTGTTTACAACACAATATAATGTTTGAATTATTCTAAATAATTATATAAATTGAAAGTAACAAATACATTATCAAAGTTATAATATTTTTTTGAAAAATATTGAATTGAGAAGTACAATTACAATCGATTTGATTTGACAAATAAATATCAGATATACAATTTTAAATTTTTACAAAACTGTATGTCTCATAATATCATCCAAATCTTATGAACATAATATAGTGTTTATTTCAATATCTGCATAACTTTTTACAGAACAATATCAAATTATAAAATATAAAAAATAATTTAAATTGTTTTTTTTTTCATTGTAGAATTACAAGTGACTAATAATCAGCAGAAATTAGATTCATTGGTGATAAGCAATTTGTATTACAAAAACCATGACTTGATTTTTTATATGGCTCATTATACTTCTTTTATTTAAAATATTCACGCTTCGTTTTAAATACGGACTTTTCTCGTCCATGTTCTAAAATATGTCGCAGTAGCTGACTTTTTTGGATAGTTTCGTAATTACAATAGCCACAGTAATATTTATCATCTTCTACTACAATTTGGCACAAATTGGACTTTGAGTGATACTTCACATGACCACATATTGATAAATACTTTGAAAAACACTTCCGACATACTGCACATTTGTAAATCAAGGGACTTTGGCAGTGGGTACAACACTTCATTACTCCAGATTTTAAGTTCGTGAAATATACATTACAGTTAGAACATAATGCTTCCACGTATTTTTTTGATGCTAAAAATTTAATAAATATAATGACTACATTATCAAAAGATGTAGATATGTTTTTTCATTTATAAATTCTATTGATATTACATAGCAAGTCAACCTTTTTCAAACTTAAACATGAAGTCATATTGAGATTAAAAATAAACATTAGTTACTCACGCTTAATATTGGTCTTATTGATATGAACAATATTGTTTTGTAAATTTGAAAAATCTTCTCCTTCTGTAATAAAAAAATCAGTATTCAAGTTGGTTGACTAATTATATTCATTAATTTTACCTTTGTAATTTTCCTCAAGTAATTCTTTCTTGATTTTACAATCATTTGAAATAGTTTCTTCATCTTGAAACAAAGTCCAAAATAAAGCTTCAAATAAAAATGAAATAATTAATTACGAATTAAGCATTAACTCACGTTTGTTATTTTTTATTATATTTTCAAAATTATTCATTGGAATAAAGTAACTTTCTATATTTGCTAAAACTTGATTTTCTTTATTTAGAACAACATTCATATTTATCTCTAAAAAAATAAATAATTTACTTTTCCTGAATGATTTGAATGAAAAAAAATCAAAATTTAGTTTAAACAAACCTTTATTTTCTTTTCTTCTCTTAATAACAGCATTCATAGCATTTTTCATTCCATAAACAGCCACTTGCTCAGCATGGCAATTAGTCATATGACACTTGATAGTGTGGCTCAACAATGAAGTTTTGGCACAAAACAAACAGTTATAGTGAAAGGTCATTCCACAGGTAAGCTCATGTCGCCTCAAGTAGTGTATGACCTTGAATTTCTTCTGACACTTTTTACAAATATTTTCATCAAAATCAGTTTTAACATCTTGCTTGCATTCCATCTCATTGTACAATATACTTTCTTGCTTCATAATTAAAGCTGCAAGAACAGTTTTCATTTAAGAATCAAATAAAATTGGGAAATTAAATATGCTTTAATAATCTTACGTTTGATGCAAGCATCTGATATGTTTGATTTGTCATACTTTGGTAAATCAGTGTCATCGTTTTTAGTTTCTGGATTCACAATTGCATTAACCGATTGAATTGTCAAATCTTGTTTTTTAGAACTGTGTTCCATGAAAGACAAAGTATTCTGATTAGTAGGCTCCATGTCAGAAGGTTCAAGTCCAAATGTATTTATTATATTATAATTGTCATTTAAAAGGCTATCCTCCATTGAATATTCGCCAGGTGAAAATTGTACATCTGCTGGCATAACATTTAGTGAATTATTCTTATAATTACCTACATCATCACTATTTTGAGTTGACGTAATAATATTGTTCATAGGATTATAAAGATATTTTGGCCCATCTAATTCATTTAAATTATCAATATTACCATTCATCAAGTCATCTTCATTATTGTTAACAAAAATAGGATCTATTTGACTAAAAGAAAATCGATTGTTCATAGGATTCAAAACGATATTAGAATTGAATGGTATCTCAACTAATTGCACTTCAGCATCAGTTATCAGACTGTCATTATTGTAAAACAAACAGGATTCTCTGTCCATAACTTCATCTTTGATTGGTATACTTGAAACAGGGATGTTATTATCACATGATTCTAAAATGCTGCCTGTGAGTGTTATTTCAGTTGACTGTTTTCTTAATACTTCATTATTAACTTCAAAAGATGATTTTTGATAACTGTTCAAATTGAATTTTTCATAGTCCTTCGAATAGCTTTTTTGATAGTCACTTTTTAATTCACCTAACTTTAATATTTCGTTAATTATTCCTTTTGCTTGCAAATACCTGTTAACAATAGTTTGATCTAAAACAACAATAGGCTCGTTATTTAACTGAAATTCCAATAACTGTAAATTTATTTCCTTTGTCTTATTTTTATTCTCCATGCCTGAAATATTATTTTTGTAATTGTAAGTTTTATTAAAGATTGTTATCCTATTGCAGCAATTACGAAAAGAAATCAAAAAGTAATGCGTTCCAGATAGCTTGTCGATATATATGTCTTCTAACACGACTTATAAAACGAAGAACAATGTTTTATTAAAACTCACTTTTAGCCAATGTTTTCTTCCGTCGTCTTTGTGTTGATGTTTCGTACAAGGAACAAACAAAACAATGCATCGTAACTTTCTATTTAGGAATAAAGCTTTCTATTTAGGAAAAAAGACTCCCTGTACATTAAAAATAAACAACGCCAGCTTAGTTAAAAACTGAAAGTTAAAACAGTAACCTCAAAAAATTGAGGCGTCTACGTTGAATCAACACAACAGCTGATTTCTTAGAATTTGGCGCGTTTGACTAAATATAGCTATAGTAACAATAACAGATAACTAATGAGTTAATAGTTAAATCTAATTTTACTTGTTACTATCAACGAAGCATGTACTGCGTGTATCTTCACTGTTACTACACAGGAAAAAAATTAAAATATACAGATATTGGTAAACCTGGCAGATCTAAATTCGAAAAGACATCGTACAATCGTATTTTTTTATTGAATTAAATGTAAATGTGAAATTACAAATAGTTTATAGTTGAGCTATCGTTTTTACCATATCAATAAAGTTCCTTAATATCAAACAACATTTTGCTTTCAATAAATCAGAGCCATTATACTTTTTGATGTAACACAATTAAAATTGATATTTCAATTCCGATACATTGAATACATAATCATATCAATTGTATAAAATAAATTAAACAATACTAAGACAATTTAAAAAAATGTAAGTACGAAGTCGTTGCATACACCCTTTTCTTTTAGTTTGCCAACTTGTAGCCACTTAAAAGATTCAATAAATCGTAAAATTATTTGCAAAATTGTACTCGTGTATTCAAACAATATCTATATTAGTAAATTAGTTCACTTACAAAATTAACAATTAACCATTTCTATATAGCGACGATCATTGACCGACAATAATTGCCATAATGGAATTCTGAAGCGTCGACTATCTCGATTACTTTTTTTTTATAATTGCGAATAGTGGGACATAGAAATTGTACGCGCGAGTGTGAGCGAGGCTTCCAATTGTCGCTTCCAATTGACCCCCTTGCGGTTGATTGGGCGTAGTACGCCCACTTTCAAGCCAGAATAACGAACGGCATAGCTTGATTGTGCGTGTAGCTTTCGTGCAGCCCGATATGTATTCTTCTCCCGATTTTCTGCAGAACAAAGCGAATGAATTTCACCGAAGCGAAATTTTGGCAGCTGCAAAAATTTGAACTTTCGCCTTTTCGCCGCGAGATACCAACGTGGAAAATCGAAGCGCGCTTGGGGCCCTGCTGGCCCGGATTCATCTAGCGCCGTCTGGGGACTCCCGCGCTCCTGTCCTCTGTTCTCTTGTAGACTCTGCGTGTTCTCTGCAACTTTTTCTCTCGTAGAGTTGCTGACAAGTATTGGCGACAATTCGAACCACAGCTGATGATTTGTCGAATATAAGCGAATTAAAACAATTTGAAAAGAAAAACCGAAATATATATCATCTACGTCATATCATCTGATATTTACAAATTTCTTCAATTGCTGATGATCAAGTAAAACAAGTCTGTACTTGCTTACTTCTACGTCGCGCGAGAAATGACAGCAGTTGTATTTAAAAAATCAACAATAAAAGTGTAAATATTTACTTCCATTGTACATTTTCATAAAATACAGAGTGAATAACACCTCAAATCCAAAATATATTATTGTGCATTATATTGTTGCATGTTGACCGAAAAATAATTTTAACTTTGATCTGACGTGCAGATATCATCTTCGCTTTGATATTCACAGTATATTGCATATTTAAATCTTCACCGATGTTCACATAAAATGTATCTTCTAAAATTGATTTTCAGTGCATTAGCTCCGATAATAATTGTATGTATTTTGAATACTTTATAATGAATTCATACGAAACTCAGCCACAAAATTTTAACTTTGTCAAAAATTCGGCTGAAAGTAAGAGATTTAAAAGTTATGCTATTATTATAAGCTATCTGACAGTAATAGAAGGCCATTCCATTTGTTATACCCTAGACGAGAAATGTCAACTGAAATCCTTGATCCTCAGCAGCATCATGATTGGTATGTAGGCATAGACGGATTTGCCGATTTACTATCAGTTCCCGAATTAAAATGAGAACAAGAACTGACAAAAGGTATTTACCAAACTTTTCAAAATCGATCATAAGCGTGAAATAAATGAAGGTAAGTAATAATCTTTGAAAAATAATTATTTCTAACTATTGAAATTAAAGAGAGTAACAAAATTATAGATTACATTTATGAAGACGTGACATACAGAAGTGAGACTTGAAAAAAAAAATTATTTATTTTAAATAATATATTTTTAAATAAATGATTTATTTTAAACAGTAGCAGATTATTTACTTTTCAATACCTGATGCTTGAGTGTCCTTTTTCTTCTGCGCAATAACAATAACTAAATCGCACGATTGTAATGTATCTGAAATTGATTATTTATGATGAACCATTCGATACTTTCTAAGAGTATAGATATACATTGATTGATAGCAATATAATCAGTAAAAAAATGTTATTTAATTGAAACTACATAGAAAATTTTCTACTATATCAACATTAATTCAACGAAAAATGGTCCAATGTTCATTGATACAATACAACCTAACGTAACACGAAAATATAATAAACGAAAAATGTAATGAACGACAGTTTGAGACAACAAGCAGAACTGAAACGCGACCAATAATTATTGTCAGCTAACGAAATTCATTTTTCGCGATGCCTCCGTTCAATGTGTTTCCAAAAATCGTGTCTGTTTTTGGTGGAGTACCGCCTACAGATTGCGCATTGAAGTGTCTTGGCCGAGTCATTATTTTCGGAATGGTTGCGCAAAATGTGCTTATCGAGTCGAGCAGCGACGTTAGTGGTGTACCAGTCGCAGAATTGGCATTGCAAGCTCTGAGCGGCGTTGCGTCTAGCCGAGCTTCGGGCCCGAGTATTGTTGACGCGAGTCGGTGTGTCGCGGTAGTGGCAACTGACGTTGAGACGTTGCTTTGCGAGGTGTCGTCGGATGAACTTCCACCTGGCGGTGACGAAGTCGCAGTCGCGACAGGCGTACGTCTTCGTTAAGCAGTTCGTCTCCAAGTGGTACACGAGGCTTTTGTAGCCTCGACTCGTACGGCCGCACTTGACGCAACGATAAGCCAGGCGAGCATCGCATTTGTCGCAGGTTCGCTCGTCGTCCCCGGCGTCGTCCCCGTCGCTCGCGACGACCTCGCTGCACTTCGCGCAGAAACGTTTGAACGCCTGCGCGCAATCTACAAGATGCACAGGCCCACGTTTTGCACGAACGAGTCGTTTGACAAGTGAGGGTTCATTTGTTGTACCTTCCACGAATCGCTTCGTGTATTTGGCTCGATCCCTCGGCTCCACCGACGAGTCGCCGTCCGCGGCCCTGAACTTGTGCCGTGTTTTTCTCAGGTGCTTGACGATCGAATCAACGTGCAGCGATTTGAAATAACAGTCCTGACAGCCGTACAATACCAAAGACGTTGGCACGCCGGTCGACGCCTTCTTCGATTTGCAAGTTTTACTGTGGGAAAATAACGAAGTGTAGTAGATGTAATATTTTTCCTTGCACTTCGTGCACCGATATATGAGCAAGTTGCCGCAGTCGCGACAACGTTTGGGGACGGATATTTTCGATTCGTCGACGTCGAATTTTTGGCACTTGTGGCAGTAACGCCGAGGCGAAATCTTTCGACCTGGAAAACAACGTTTCACTCTCGATAAGCGCACCCCGCCTGTCGTCTGGACTTGTCGAGCGTACTCACCCTTCAATTCGATTTTCGGAGCAGTGCTCGCTTCAGCGGTATCGTTGGCTTTTGCCACCGGCTCGGGAAGCCTTTCCAAGAGAACTCTGGCTTGAGATCTAATTTTTGGATCGTCGGTCGCGTCTGGAAGACGAAATATTTCGGACGCGATCGTGCTTCTCGTTAAACTTTCGTTACACATACCTGTAGAGAAATCGGCAGCCGCTAAATACTCCGCGAGAATTGCATCCACTTGATATTCGACAGTGGCATCGCCGTCAAGTTCATCATTGCAATCGATTATACCGCCATCGACTGATAACTGACTGTCAATCAATATTACACCTTCATTTTCTAGAACTACGCGCAAACATCACCGAATCATATTCAGATCAGTCGAGAACTTGAGAAAGTGATGAACGGCATATATTTACGCAAATCGACGTAATCGCGATCGTCGAGCTGCAAATAGGCGCCTTCGTCTTTCGCGCTTTCTTGAAAGAAAGCCAAGGACAAAGCTTCGTCCGGACTGCCATCTGCGAAGCGAGGGCAAAAGGATTAGGCAGCGCGATGAAGTGCCGCGACTGCAATTTTCAACGAACTTACCGGAATAGTCTGCGAAGCCGTGAGCCGATTTTGCGTCCGCCTGCTCAGCGTTCAATTCGTTCAGCGTGAACGGCTCGCTGTCGGCGTTCGACAAATTCCGCTCGCCGACGACTTCCAGCGACGCGTAATTTTCTGTAGGCGAGAGCGCCTCCGAGTACAATTTATCTGTGAATCGCTCCACGCACTGAAGTAGCTCTTTCTCCCGGCGAAACAACTTTTCCAGCATTGCGATATCCTGGTTTGCTCGGGACGCGTCGACTGTACGAAAATCGCGTCGTTCAGTCAAGGGGGACAGCCGAAAGAATTGAACGGGATCGTTTACTGACCGCTCGACTCCAGAATCATTAATTCCTCGCTCCAATCGGGATCCAGCTCCATGGTTGTTGGTGCCTCACGCTCCGTGCTCGCGAATAATCAAGCAATCGCTGCACTGGACTGTTTTATAGTCAAAATACAAGCAGAGCACATTTTCTGCCGTTCAGCGCGCGCAAACTGTTACATTCACTTTGGCATTCGAGCGCATCTGCCCTAGGGGTCGGCGATTCTACTCGATTCCAGACGAAGTATTCGATTTTTTTTTTGAGAATCGATTATTTTGTTGATTCTTTTCAGAATCGATTCTGAAACGCTCGATTCTATTTCGACTCAGAATCGAACAGTCGAAAGTTGAATGTGGGAACGCTCTATACTCAGGAGGCTCGTTCGCGCGTTTTCGTTACTCGAGCGCATGTTTATAAAAATCGCAAACTTTTTGTTTTATTCTGCGCTGCAATGGATGATTTAAACAACTCAGGTAAGAATTATTTACTTTTACATAGCCATCCAATTTATCTTTCATTTTGGTTGATGATTTGGTAGCGCAAATAATAAAAACTATATTTTTGTATTTCATTTTTTTTCAGTTTCAAGGCGACATTATTTGTCAAAATGTTGACTTTGCATGGAAAGATTCAAAAGAAGAATATGTCTATAATCATCACGATCAAGTTTTCCTATTCCTATATATACCTATTACATAAATATACCATAAAAATATAAATTCTATTATGCAATGATAGTTTTGATTTATACAAAAAATAAATTTAAAATTAACACAATATTCCCGTATTTTTATTTTTTATATTTGAAATTTTGCGCAATTTATATGGTTATTCTTTTTGTCTTAAGAGCGGGAGATTCAAATTTTAAATTGAAAATAACTTCGATTATTACTCGATTCTTCGATTCTTTTTACTCAGAATCGATTCTTCTTCGGAATCGATTCTGAGTATTCGATCCTTTTCCAGAGAATCGCCGACCCCTAGTCTGCCCTGCTTTGTTTACGCGCTCAAGAATACAGTGACTACGCAGAGAGACTCTTCTTTGAGTTCCGCGAACTCGGCACAAAAAAACAATTTATTCTGGATTTATATGTATTCGTTGAAAAAGCGTGGAATTTTAACGGATTTTCTAGCAGCCAAGATACGATTACTTTTATGATTTTCAATTCTAAACTAAATCATTTATTACACAATTTAAACCACGATTTATACACCCACACACGTACACACATACACACACACATGTTATATGTGTAATGTAGAGTCCAAAACAGTAGATATCGTAAACGATTGAATCATTTCTGTACATTTCGCTTTGAGATGAACAACTCATACCCAAATAGTACATTACGATACAAGTGCGGGAAAATAGATTCTTGTCTCGTGTCGCGTTTACGCCCGAGCGAAGCGAGTTTTTTGCACGTTTTTTGCCGAGCGTGCGGGAAAAACGCACTTTCCGCACGGAGTGTCGAAAATATATTATTATGCATTACAACGTAATATGTTGAGCGAATAATTCAAACTTTGACCTGACATGCAGATGTCATCTTTTCTTTGATATTCACAGTATACTGCATATTCAAATCTTCTATCATCTGTGTGAAATAGATTTCCAGTGTTAATCTAACAGGTGACACCTTTTTTAGATAGAAGGAGAAAAATGCATTTGGCGCATCGTAATCAAATTGGTATAGGTAGGTCGGCGCAGAACTTGGTCGAGATTGAACTTTCACGAGGCTGTGAAACGCTAGATGAAAATATATATGGAATATCATATCACCGTAGGATTTCGTATCCTATTTTAGATATAAAGATTAAAGGGTCGCCGATATCCAACATTGTGATTGGTTGATGCGAAAAAGAGCGCGAAATTTTGAATGTTCGTATACCTTAAAATTACTGTACTATTATATTTCAGCAATGAATTTAATCTATAAATAATTAATATGGATAATAATTTGAAAAATTGGAAATATGCCGTTAATAAGTTATTTTAAGAAAATAAAAGGTTATCTTTTCAAATTACGTTGGAATAATTAGTACGAATCGATTATTTAATTACCGTTTGTGAAACGAATAGTGTCATTTCAAAATATTATTGAAAGGCAGAAAAAGTGAATAGAATGAAAATTAAGAAAATTACATTTTTCTTTTTCTTTTACGTTGTAACGTGAGTAAGTATGCAAGAAACAGAAACTAATCAAAATAATAAATTTGGAGAATGTTCACGGTCGTTTTCAACAATAACAAAAGGCAATAAAGGACAATATAATGTTGTAATATATTATTCATACTAATATAACTGAATTTATAAATATCAACGTAATTGGATTTTTATTTGTGAATTAAAGTTGACAGATATTAGGCACGTTAAAGCATAGAACTATTTTGTATATGCAGTGTATTTTTTAAAAGGTCTGATTTGACTCAAACATGAAATTTAACATTAATACAAACGAGAAATGAGCGTGCAAAGCGCTCTTCACGACTCTAGTACTATTAAAAGCGATAATAGTTTTTCAACAGCGCCATGTACGTAACCACTTTGTAATTCTACTATGAGATCAGACATATTAGTCTTCACACGTCTTTTGAAATCCTATTCAAATTGGTAAATCGCTTCTCCTTAATACAGTTCAGTCCTTTTTTATAAGCGGTAAGTAATCCTTGGTAAAAAAAGTATATCTAAAGAGAATAATGTCCTGAAGGATAAAATGACAATTCGATTCGAGAAATTCTTTTCTAAAATAAATAAATGACTTGAAGTATGTCCGAATATAAGTAACACATATCAAAACACGATATATCAATATAAATCAAGGAAATGGAAGATTAGTTCTTAATGTACTCTCTTAAATAAAATTGAGAGTTATAATACTAATAATTAATTAAAGAAATACAACTACTAATTATCAGATCTTGTATTTAATTAAGATAAGGAATATCAAGTAATCATTAAATTTTGAGTTACAATATTGTATATTTTTCAAAATAATTTTTTACGACTTGGATAATAAAAAAACTCTCACTTGATAAAAAGTTATAATCATTTTTATCAATTTATTGATAAGTTTTGGTCAGTATATAAAATAGAGACAGCGAACAAGATAATAAATATTATCAATACAGAGCTTCAACATTAAAATAATCATTGAATCAAGAGTTGCCAGCACCGTCTGCTGTAACCAATGGATTAAAATTACTAGCATATGAATGATCAGGGGGTGTTTTACTAGCGTAACAATGATCCAGTTGATGAGATGGAATTTTAAGTGACTTTGCACTATGACACATATTTTTACTAAAATGATTGGCTATCGTGGTCCATGATGAATAAATTTTCTCACAAATTTTGCATACCATCATCAATTTACTTTGGCACTTTGAGCATTGTTTTCTACCTGTGGCGCGAGAAAAAAAATCTCTTTTGAAAATCTCGTCACAGTTTCGACAATAAAATCTCACTAATTCGATATTTTCTGCAATACAAATGATAAAAATTTGTTAGCTTATTACGTCTACCTCAATATAAATATATTTACAATTATATAATGAAAACCAAATTTACCTTGAAATCTCCTTCTAATATATTTACCAGTCTGAGTATATCTTTTTGCTGTGAATAAATAAGATTATAGTATGAATTCGATCGATGCGTAGAAATCTAAATGATGAAATGCAAAGCATCCCATTTTCTTACCTGACTTATTATCTATCCTTCTATTTTGCACAATTTTTAGTATAATGTCTTTTAATGAACTACCGTGACCATGAAAATAATGAGAGTGACGTCTGACAACATGCTCTTTCATGTTTACCGGGCTCTTTGATGAGTAAGTGCAGAGATAGCAGTTATAAATGTAATTAATTCGACATTTCGACTTGTGATAACTGAAATCTTCTTTCTTATGAAAATTTCTGTTGCATTTTGAGCAAGTAATACAAGGAATCATTTCACTAGATGATTCTTTATGTACTTGCATTATGTGCATGTTAAGAACTGACTTGCTTGCATTTTTGAAGATACAATGATCGCAGTGAAACAAAGTCGGCATATCTCTTGACACAGATGCCTTATGACTAACAAGATCTAAAAAGCATAATTATGTCAATTTAGGCTACATGTAATCAAATGTAGCTTCTGTTATACCTCTACTCCAGTTTCCAACGACCAAAGCAAATATTTTATTTTTGCAGATTTGAGTTACATGTTTCCAGGCAGTTGCATATTTTGTAAAACATTCGCTACATCGCAAACATTGGAAGATTAAAATTGTACGACATTGAATACAACGCTCATGAAGTTGTGAAACAGTCACGTTACATTTGACACAGAATGGCTTGAGGATACTCGTAATACCTACAATCACATTTCATGAAGTATTATTTTTCTTATTGTACGTGCTTAAATATCACTTCAATAATGTTTGAGTTACCTTTTAGGTAGTAGTTTGGATTATCAGTTGTTTCACCTGCTACCCTTATTTCCGAATACTTTTTTTTGAACTTCATCAGATTGACTTCTAACAAGAATCCGCGATAAACATGCAAAGTAATACAAGAATGAACAAAAATGAAAGAAATAAAAAGCTTTAAAGTTGAGAATTTTTACCTTTCATCGTATTTCTAAAAGTTATTATCTCTTCAATAACATTTTCTATATTTTTCCCGTCGATTTCATCAGCATGTACAGAGGAAAGATGATCTTTCATGTGTTTGTTATTCGAGCAAGTCACAGGGCAAAATCTACACGGAAAACGAATGAAACTACCACAAAATTCTTCGTGTTTTTTGAAGCGCCACTGTCCAATGCGAAATTTGTTGCCGCACTTGGAACACGTAAAACTGCGCTCTTTGCAAGCATTATTGATCATGTGCTTCGATACAATATGTTCATAGAGCTGTAACATTGTTGTCTCTTGATAATCGCACAATTCACAGATGTAAATCTGTTGACTTTCTTCTGCTAATGGGTCTACGATATTTCAAAAAAATAGTATTGCATTTCATTATTGAAGCGTGTAGGAAAAGATTCTTTAGTATTTTCCATTACCTTTATTTGTCATATTCATCAATCGTTCTTCATTTCTGACGATGGATAGGTTTTTTGAAATGTCGCAGTCACTATCTTTACTTCGTAAGTGTTTCGAAATAGCTTGATAATGTGGTCGTGTAATCTTACATTGTACGCATTGATATAATAATTGAGTGTTGCAATAAGGACAGCACTTCTTTCTTTGTACAAAGAATCTTTCATAACTTTTATTACACTTATTACAGTAAAATTTGATAAAATTAGGCCCTATTCCTGCAATGACGATTATTGCGAATTTTTTACAAAGTTAAGAATTTCCAATTTCAAATTAGTAACTTACCGCAATAATACTTTTCGTCTCTAAAAACTTTTGTTACAAAGTGCATAAGTTTTTTTATATTTTTTTCACGTTCCAAGGCCGTTATAACATCTGCAGGTACATAAAATCGAGAACAAGACATAAGTATAAATTAATATTACTACACATAAGCTTATTTGATTAAATAAGTCACTACTTATTCAATTAAATGTTATTAATAATATTATTCTTTACCTTTGACAGAATCATACCAGATTTCATCAACAATTTGTTGCCTACTTTTACCACGAAGCTCATTGGTATGCGTCTTCAGTAAATGTTCTTTCATTGCATGTTTGGATATAACGGAAGCTGAACAAAATTTGCATTTCAAAACGCACTGCGGTATACAATTTTCTTCGTGTTTTTTCAGCCCTTCCATAGTTTGGTATTTCTTTTTACAATACGAACACAGAAACCAATTGCAGAACAGTAGTAGGTGTTTGTTGTGAATGTGCCTAGCGACATTGTTCTTCCAGTTCATTCGGTAACCGCAATAATCGCAATAATAAAATCGCACCACATTGTTTTTCGATCCTGCAAAATATTTCGTAATCGGAAAATCATTGTTCGTATCGGTTGCATGCAATATTTTTGAAAAATAGTTATAATGTAAAGTACAATAAGAAAGTCAACGATCTTTATGTTGAAAAATGTGACCGGGAACACTGATCAAACTTACGCGGATTGGTAATTTCACGTTGACGAGTTTTTGATAACGTTCTGGATTTGCTACCATTTGAATTCTCGTCAAACTTACGAGAACTCGAACGAGTTTCACGTTGATTACCTTTCAACAACGTTTTTGTCTTACTGCCATCATTTGAATTCTCATCACACACTTCGGACATAAATTTTTTCTTAACATTCGAAGGTGTACGAGTTTTTTTCACTAATTCATGATCGCAGTTATCACAATTGTGGTAGATTTTTCTCTTTCGATTGGAACGCCCTTCAATCGTGAAGATTTCGAATTAATTATTTCATTTTTATTTGTACTAGAAAATATTAAATCTCATGCAGTAGAGTAATTTTACTCACTAATCGTTGGCTCTGACGTTTCACCGCTCGCAATACTATTTCTCTGATTGGTGGATTGCACCACCTCATCATTTTTAGAGATAACTTTTGGATGTTTGCATTTTGGATTAATCGCGATTTTTTCACACGGGACGATCGCTTCAAGTACCTTGTTTTTCAATGCTACTTCGACTGCTGGTTTAGTAACAAACACACCATCGTCATGATTAGCATTTTCGATTAAATAATTGCTAAAAATATCAGTATCCGATACTGAGATATAATTTTCTTGCTTGATTGGAACATCAACAAAATCTAAAATTTGTTCTTGCTCGGATTGAATGAATTGGAAATCTTCCGGAATCTCTAGTTTTACCATAACATTATTTCTTTGTGAAAAGACATTATTTATTTTATTATTCGCTCGTGGAGCACGAGAAATTGATTCTTTTTCGAGATGAGCTATCGCTTCATTATTAATCGGAGTTGTTATGGAAATTCCATTAACGGATTTTTTATTTTTCAAGTATTTCTCAACGACTGTTGCGTCTAAGCTAATTTTTACTTCATTCCAGTTGATTGGTGATTGACTTTCTGTAAATTACGGTATAGTATCTGTCATGTAAATTTTTCTTTAAAGTAGGTGAAAAGCAAATGTTTATTTACCGTATTCTAATTTATTAACTTTAATTTTTTTTAGTGGTTTCTCGTTTTTTAAAAAACTGACATCTAAAAATGACATATTTTGTTAATTTACAATTAAAATAAGTTTGACCTGGGATTAATTGGACTATTTAGTTTCGTAACGTACCACGCGAAATATATGTCCTTTTTCTCAAATTTTTCATTATGAAGAAATGCATTTTATCCCCTTCTCATGAGACTATTGAACATTGAGAAATTCGTGATTGATCCTAAAATAAAATGAAATTTTTAGTCCTGTACTTTACAATGTACAAAAAAAAAGCGTTTTATATATTTATTATTGATATAATATTTTCAAACAAAATTACATGATTATAAACTAAATTACTGAAAAAATGATGTTTTCTTTGTTGAAAAAAGAAAATATGAGTCTTTGTACGATGAAGCAATGTACAAAGGACTAAAGATCTTAAAGACGAAGGATATATGAAGTCTGATAATCATTGTAAAATATGAGAATGAGAATTTATCGAGAATTGAAAAATTTACATATTACTCACTATTTTACATAGTATTCACAAAGATAATCTAACACAAAAAATAACAGCTCAGTAGGATAAGTTAATAATTGAATATCTGTTAAAAATGTAGTAAACTAAAGAGTCTCAATAAAAAATATTCTATACTTAAATCATAAAAATATTAATTAAATATAATATTCAATATATCCTAGATTTTTTAGAATATAATCTTACATGGTTGACTATAATCTATTTGATGAGAATGGAAATAGGACTTGAATTATAAACCCATTTCATAAAAATATTCCAGTATATAAATATTTTCAACAAATCTGTAATTCATGGTATCAACAGTTCCAACAGAAGTATTGGCATCACAATTATATTGTTTTGCAAATAGAAGAACTCATACCTATGAATTTGAAAAACACAGTTTTTTTAATTAGTTGTAGTTTATGATAACACTGAATAATATTTTCACTCACTAAGGTTATAATCGTGTTGAAATATATCAAATGTTTAAAACAATATTTTTACTCGGTACATAATCACTAGAATTTGAATACTGAATCTAGTGCTAAAAGAGATATTTTAAATGACATGTTAATTATGTAAACAATAAGTATACTCATTTTCTGGAGAAGTAAAACGTGAATGCCGGTTTGACCACATGATTATTTTGCCCTTTGCCGGTAAATCAGCCATCTGTTAACGTAAATATATCGACATCTGATATTTAAATTTGACAGGTACATTTATTTATAAATGGTTTAAAGTTTATATTAAATACAAATAACGAGATAAAAAATACTTTACACAAAACTTAATTTCTTCCAATTAAATATATTTAAATAAAATTGGTATTATCACAGCTTACAATGATCGTGCACTGAAAGAAGTTTGCAGTATAGTAGTAGCAAATTTTCATTTACAGGTGTTGCTTCAATGTAATAATTAAATTTACAATTGATTATAAAAGAGTTTCGGTAATTTAAAAATGACATTGAAAGATTACTTTGTGTAAAAAATCCATAAGTTCGGTTATATCTATAAAAAGATTATTTATTACTATATTTTAATATAATGAGAGAGTGTAACAATCAGAATATGTTCACTCTCTCATTATTTATAGCTCGTGCACAGTATGATTTGTGAATTGACAAATTGTAATTTTTTATAACTTGTCTTGATAAGAATGATTAATTAGATCATCGAAACGTTGTTAATATCTAAATAATAAATGCTTGAAAGGATCCTTAGGATTTGAATTTTTACATTAATCCTTAAATTTAATATGTTATTAGCAGGAAGCATCTCGAAAGGGCAAAAACTCATTGAACTTGTAAGAATACTTTGTTTGAATAAACTCAGAACAAAAATTTAGTCTAGTCAATATAGTCAACATAATTACTGTTTGCAGTGTGGATAATTCATTACAAAAAACATTCGGCAGAAAAGAGTTCACGTAAAAAATGTTAATAAATACAAAATAATTAAACACTTACTAGATTTTTCCAGAGTTGATCGTGTACTTTATTTTTCAACGATTTACATTTGTAAGAGATGTACAACCAGGCTTTGTCAAAGAAAGCGAATAATCCATCGTACAATTTGCAAGGGTACAGTAATTCCGAATTCCAATCTGAAATGCAAAGTATTATTTTTTCCTCGACTTTCTCAAAAGTTATTCTACACTTGCAATAGCCTATGCCGAGGAATTCATTGATTTCTACGAGGTATATATTTAAAATGTTAAAAAATCGATATGTATGAATAATAAATCACAAGTAAATGTTACATTTTTTCAATTACTATTGAAATTCGCAATTCTTTTACCCACGTCATAGCCAAATTTTTCATTGAAATTTTTCAATTTCTTCACGTCGATTACCATTTTCTTGCCGGCGTCTTCAAACATCTCTACGTGAAAAAATTTCACGACGTTATTTGATCTATTTGAAAATGACTTCGTTACCTTTTGCCGCTTTTCTTTTTAATTCCATTTCCATCAGAATTCCATCCAACTCAAACTATTGGAATAGTTGAGAATGTTCGGCCATAAGGTGTTTTTCACGATAAATAAAACCCCGGCGCTTTGTTAGCAGAATTTGCGTGTGTAATGAATAACTCCACAACACTTATGCTAGTGTTTTACTACCGATTTACCTTTTTTCCTATATTTTCCGCACATAGCCCTATCGATGTTAGTATTGTAGTCATGCTCATGAGCTATATACTCAGCTTTGAGTTCTCACTTGTAACGCTAATAATTGACAACGCCGTTATTTAATGTTATCGGTACAAGTGAATTTGTAATTATCTCACTTTGAACTTTGATACTCTTAGTTAATCGATCGTTTGATGTAAATTTTGCAGTGTTGTTATACAATCGATCATTGAGCTCTTTTTTATGTTACATCTGCTCTTAACTAATGGAATTATTATAGGCAATTTGCTTTTCCAGTTTACAAAGTTGTCCGTATTTTCGTTGTCACTGTCGCTGTCTACAAAGTCGTCCGTATTTTCGTTGTCGTTTTCACTTTTCGTTGTCACTCTAGCTGTCCAAAGTATTGACAGGTGGTGTATCACCACTGGCAGATGTATTTTTACAAAACGAATCGTAATCGGACGCCTTTAACGTTAATTCTTTGATATTTCGATTGATTTCTACAAGTCTACAAGATCTTTTTACGTGATCCGATATCGACTGGAAATGTTTGTAAAATGCTGCACACTTATATAACATTGAAAAAGTACTAATGAATGGCATGTTTGACAACTTTTCGAATATCTTCAAGAAATATCATCTATATTTTCTAAAGTTACCTTACATGTGCTACAGTGTATTTTAAAGAATTTATTTATACCTGTAAAATTGAATCAAGTTTTAGTGTAAAGTCAATGTAAAGAGCTCATTATGAATGTAACATTGACTTATCATAAAATTTACCAGATTTTCCTATTGCAACTGATGGTTTTAGATTAAATTCTGAGTAACCATTATCATCTAATTCAAAATCTTTAGAAAAAAATATTTGATTTGGGTTCTTGTATATATCTATATTTCTTCACAATTTATACTACTATACACCTTCAGAAGCTGATTAATAAGAAATATATTAGTTTCCAAATATTCTAATCTTGCATTTCTGTCAAAGCATCGATTTCATTAGATACGTGGTCTACTACAGGTTATCAAAAATTTTAACACGTATTCATTGTTTATTATTGACTGAAAAAAGCTTTGAAGACGTACTTTCGATCATCTTTAATTTTGTTTTTTTTTTAACTCTGGACACTTGATTAGCTGTAAGATAAATGACTATTTATTTAGACTCTTACATATGATACACGATGACAAATTTAATATTAATCTATGAAAACCATGAAACACTTACCAATTATCAAAGCTCTCTTTCTTTTGCTGTTATTAATCTTCATCTCCATTAAAGCTCCATTTCTAACGTCACAAATTCATCATAAATGATTGCCTTTTCGTCAGCATTCAATACAACGTTTTATCATTTTATTTACAAAATCGTGATTGTTCTAATGTAGACTGTTCTAATAAATGTATAGTGACAGATTTAATAGTATTTTTCGTTTATTTTCATTCATAATGGCGTAACACTATAAATCGCTTTTTTTGTGATAAAGTTGAATATTTACCGCGATAAAATTGACCCTGAACGTACTTACGAACACTGGATATTTATTGCTAAAACATACCAACGTACACTATTATGTGCGTTAATTTTTGAATTCTGTCATTATATTATTTAATAGTCACAGATAGATCGATATTCATAATTCAAGTTCCACAATTCATTGTACTTTCACTGTTAACTAGTTTAATTAAATATTTGCGTTTAAATACCGTTTGTACCCAAATATTAACGTAACTGTGTGGTAAATAAACAATGATGAGACAAAACAGATCACTTCTACCGAGAGAGTATACACGTGCGTTTAGATTAGTTTAGTTTATTAGGTGGGGGATTGGGGATGGCTCTCTAGTTGAGAAGAGCAACCGCCAATACGCAAGACTGATTTTTGTTATATATAGCGTGGGAAGGTGTTCTTAATTCTTGTCCCTTACTGTTATTGAAAGAAGCATAATCACTGGATCGGTGCGTCGTGACCAGGATGCCCGAAGCGCAACTTTAAAAATTACGGCTCACGATACCATTCGAAGGTAAAAAAAAAACGAAAAAATAGAGGCCTTTTTTGTTTTCTTGACGAAATAAATTCGCGGCGGAAGCTATTAAAGACACGCGGAAACGAAAAATTCCTCTGTGATATTGGTGACAAGGAAATTCACGTGGAAAGTTAAGGTGAAAACGAGCTCGAAGCTCGCGTCTAGACATGCGGAATGAGCATTATCGAGATGACGTTCAACGCGGAAAAAAAAAAAATGAAACTTATCACTCGCTAATTCTCGGATGCGTTATCTCCGCTATCTGTTGGATCAAGTGGTGTGTTCTCTCGCGGAAAACATTCGACGCGAGCGACACTCCTCGCGACTCGGGATTCTCAGATTAGCCGGCCGCGGGGCTGGGCTTCCGCTTTTCCACGGGCCCACGACGCCCGGCGCGCGCGGATCTTCGATTGGACGGCCGAAGTGCATAGCGGACGCGCTCCCGAAAAAAAGAACGACGCAGGCTTGGGCGCGCTCGCCGCCTCGACGTCAGAACGCGTGATCCTGCAGCGCCCGACAGCGCGCCGGCTTCAGTCGGCTTTTCGGCGACCGAACGGACGTGTCGCGCTCCTTCGGCCACGGAGACGCGATAGACGCGCCGCGCGCCAATAAGGTAAACTTAAAATGGACGTATTTTCGACGGTCGATGCTGTTGCAAGTGTCGATCGATATCATATTCGTTCGCGTTGGGTGAATGTTTTCCGCTTCAAGGGCGCTCTCTTAAAAATTGCCCTTTGGGTTTCCTTCCAACTTTCAAAGTGACTTGGCTTTTCCTTTCTCGTTGCCTGCGCAGTGGCAAGCGAAGCGAGCATGGGCAACGGTATTCAAAATGGAGACGCTCGTATGAAAAGTGCGCTTTTCCAACCCGCGTACGTTTCGCTCGATCCGCCGTATCGTTTAGAGCGCATTCTTCGGAATCGTTCGATCGAATCGAGCGCCAGGGGACGGGACAATTATTGCCGTTAACGGAGAGCGGCTTCGAGTGGCGAAGAGTGGCGTACGCTATACCGTGCTCTCGCTTCGCGCGCTGAGAACACGTCGGGAGGCCGATCGATCGGCATCATCGATTTGTCGGGACACCGCGAGCTGGACGGCAATCATTCGCGAGGCCTATAATTTTTAGAGGCGAGGCATCGTTGCGAGCAGCTTTGAATCGGCGCGCCCCATCCAGCAGTCGCCGCAGTCGCCGCAGTCGCCGCAGTCGCGATGGACACGGAGCAGGCCCGGCTCGGCTGGGCGGACTACACGGTGATCGCGCTGACGATGGGCGTCAGCGCGGGCGTCGGCGTGTTCTACCGGTTCTCGGGCGGCCGGCAGCGCACCACTCGGGTGAGTACGACGCGCCGCGAGTCTCGCGCGCCGAGAGCTAACCGCGACCCCCCGGCCAGGAGTACTTCTCGGCGGACAACTCGATGGGCGTGCCGACGGTGGCGGTGGCGCTGATGGTCTCCTTCATGTCGGCGATCACGCTGCTGGGCCTGTCGACGGAGAGCTACACCTACGGCGCCCAGTTCGCCGCCATCAACCTGGCCTACGTGATCGGCACGCCCGTGATCAGCTACTGCTACGCGCCGGTGTTCTTCAACCTGGGCGCCGTGAGCGCCTACGAGGTAAGCGAGACGCCGGCCGATCGACCCCCATTGCGGAGCCCACCGTGACGACCGTGGCACCCGCAGTACCTGGAGCGGCGCTTCGGGCGCGCGGCACGCCTGGCCGCCAGCTTCGCCTCCTGGCTGCAGCTGCTGCTCTACTGCGGCGTGGTGCTGTACGCGCCCGCGCTGGCCCTCGAGGCGACCACCGGGCTGCCCGGCGACTGGAGCGTGGTGGCGGTCGGCCTGGTCTGCACCTTCTACTCGTGCGTGGGCGGCATCAAGGCCGTGCTCGTCACCGACCTCTTCCAGGCCCTGCTCATGTTCGCCTCGCTGCTGGTCGTGGTGGCGGGCGCCGCGCAGCGCGTGGGCGGCCTCGGCGCCATCCTGCGCATCGCCGCCGAGAACGGCCGCGTGCAGTTCGACAGGTACGGCCGGCGCGAGCCGAACGACCACCACTCGACGACGACTCGGCTCTGTCTCGCAGCTTCTCGCCGGACCCGACGGTGCGCCACACCTGGTGGGGCCTGCTGCTCGGCGGCCTGTTCATCTACGTGTCGGTGTTCGGGGTGAACCAGGTGCAGGTGCAGCGCATGATGACGCTGCGCGACGCGGCCGCGGCGCGCCGGGCCTTCCTCCTCAACCTGCCCTTCCTCTGCGGCCTCTCGCTGCTCACCTGCTTCAGCGGCCTCGCCATCTACAGCTACTACTACGACTGCGACCCGCTGCTCGCCGGCAGGATCGACACGCCCGACATGCTCATGCCGCGCTACGTGATGGACTCGCTGTCGCACCTGCCCGGCGTGGCGGGCCTCTTCGTCGCCGGTGAGTGCGCGCGCGTCGCGGCCCGACCCGCACCCCGACTCCCGGCCTCGGCCTCTGCCCCGCAGGCATACTCAGCGCCAGCCTCAGCACCATGTCCGCCGGCCTCAACTCGCTCGCGGTGATCACGCTCGAGGACTACGCCAAGCCGGCCTTCCTGAGCTGCGCGGGCAGGCCGCTGTCGGAGACCCGCTCGCTCGCCCTTGGCAAGCTGCTGACGCTCCTCTACGGGCTCGCCTGCCTCGCGCTCGCCTTCGGGGCCAAGCTGCTGGGCGGCGTGCTCCAGGCGAGCCTCACCATCTTCGGCGCCGTCGGCGGTCCTCTGCTCGGCGTCTTCACCCTCGGCATGCTGCTGGAGCGCGCCGACCAGACCGGCGCCGTCGTCGGACTGCTCGCCTCGCTGGCGTTCACGCTCTGGATGGCGTTCGGCCAGCCCAAGCCCCTGCCGCTCAAGCTGCCGCTGTCCGTCGAGGGCTGCGACGCGCAGTTCCTCGCCCCGGAGGTCCTGCGCGCCGCCTCGCGCCACTCTCCGGTGAACGACGAGTGAGTGACGAGCGTCGGCGATCGCGCGGCCGAATCGACGACAACGACCGCTGTTTCAGGGACCAGTCGCAGTACTTCTACCTGTACCGGATATCGTACGTCTGGTACGGCGCGATTGGCTTCGCGGTGACCATCCTCGTCGGCATCGTCGTCAGCCTGCTGAGCAGAGCGACGCGCGGAGACGACGTCGACGAGGAAGAGCTGGATCCGAACTTGTTCTTCCCCATCGTTGCGAGGCGCATCCGACGACGAAGGACCCGCCACCTCAAGACGGCGGAGCTCAACGAGCGAAGTCACTGATCAGCGTTCGTTGCGGTCACTTCTGCCTTTTATTTTGCCGATTCGTATTTACAACAGCTCGACGATGCGAATTCCTCGCGGAAATGATATTGAAGATCGAAACGGATTTTTCCAAAAGTACCTATTGCCTTTGACAATCGTGTTGTTCGTTGATCAGAATGAAAAAAAAAGTTATATATATATATCTACGACACTTGTACTCAGCATATTGCTATAAATACACTTTTTTAAATCTCACGCATGCTATGAGATGCTTTATCGCGAGTTTGATGAAAATATAAATCATTGTATCTCATTGGAAATTGTCCTGCGTTTCAAATTTTTAACGGTATATCTCGTACTCTCAATTTGTAAAATAACAACCGTCTTTCATCTTTTGCTAAACATAGACGCTTCAAGAAAGAAAAAGCATGCCTGCACATTTATTGGCTGTAAACAAACTGCACGAAACAAATAAAAGAAACCGTTTCTTTCACAGCTCACTCGAACTGAATTCGCTCATCTTAGTTCATTTTCTCCTCGACAAAGCAAATCTTAACCGTCACATTACAAACTCCAAATAAAAAAATAAATCAGCGATTGGCAGCACAAGATATCCAAAGTAGAAAATCGCTTTACTCTCGACCGAGCTTTTCAACGTATCAGTGACACCAAACTGTCCGAGCTCTTTCTCGCTCATCAGTAGAAACCGATACATCGAAACTCGGGAGCATAGCACCCTTAATCCTGAGAATCTCGTTGACGCAATCTTGCTGTTTTTTCACCAAGTGCGCGGTCTTGAAGCAATCGGCGCCCTGCTGGCACTCGTCCTTCTGCCTCATCAGTTTCTCGCAGCACGCGTAGTTCTTCGGATTCACCTCCAGCACCAGAGTCTTCAAGCCTTTGACGTGTCAGTACACCAGCATGTAGTCCTCGGTGTTGTCCCTGGCGTTGACGTCGAGTTCGTTGGTTCTCGACCAACAGATGCATGCCGATTAACGTCCACTCTGTTGCCAACTTTCAAGCGATAGCTGGCGATCTCGTGTGCCGTGTCGATCGAGGCCGGTGGCGTTCACGTTGCCACCGCGTTCGACCAGCAATTTGACCAGCCTGACGTAACTGTACCGCACGACGAAATGCAGCGGCGCGTAGCTCCAGAAGTTTACGTCTTGACCTCGGTCTAGGAATCTGCCGACCACTTCGACGTCGTTTCTCGCGATGGCCACGTGAATGTAATTCAATCCGTCACGATTGATCCGCTCGATATAACTTTGTTCTTTGTCGAAGCATAAAACAGCTCCACGATCTCCAGGTTGTCGTTGTACAATGCCAAGTGCAGAGGAGTCGTGTAGTGGGCGTTCTGGCAATTGACGTAGGCACCGTGTTCCAGTAGCAGTCGTGCGCTCTCCTTGCAATTGCTTTCGACAACATAGTGCAGGGGTGTGTATAGAGCGGACAAAACGACGCGTCTTCTCTGATTGGATTGTTCACTGCCGCTCCGTAACCAAGGAAAATGTTTACTATCAATGGATTATTCTGCATGTAGGCAATATGGAATTGAAACACGGTACTCTGAGGTTGGATTTGGGCACAGCTGAATAATATGTAAACCATCACTGACATGTCTGAGGTATTTTTTTCGCCAGTTCCAGTGAGCTTTGATTTTTATTGCTTTAAAGCCATTCTGTCGTGTTCTGAAAGGATCTTAAGGATTTGTAGAGATCTGAATTCTATGGCAAATTGCATAACTGTATAGCCAACAAAATATGGTAAATCTTTGTTGACTATATCAAAGAGTTTGGATGTTGTTGAGGACTAAATTTGTATTTTTTCTAGCCTGTCAATGTCAAAGTGACTGAGACCATGGTCGTTCTTTGGGTTTGCAAAAGTTGTAGTTTGCACTATGAAATTTAATATTATGTCTGCAATCTTTTCATATTTGAGTAAGGAGGCAAGGTGCAAAAAATTGTTGCCTTTAGAATTCATAACTGAAAGGAATATTTTAGGATTAATCTAATATCTTGAAGAAAGAAAATATTGGACAAATGTCAAAAATTTTTTCATAATGTTATCTATTTTCCATTAATTCTCATAATTAAAAATCATTTTTTTTAATCTGTGAAAATATAATTTACTTATTATGATTGCAATTATTTTTATTGTAGTTAAATATTGGGCATTGAGAATAAATAGTGGTTATTTAAAATATATGTCTTATTTATTCATTACATAATTACTTTTCCAAAAATTAAATTACCTTTATGAATAATATTTAAAAAATGTAAAATACATTTTTTATATCAATAGATAGTAAATATATAACTTTGATCTATAGTAAAGTGTATTTTGTAAAAGTGCTCTCAAAATCTACTTATATTATATAGGCTATATAAAAACTATATAATATTTAAAAAATGTATACAGAAAAATTGTATTGATACAGAAGATTAATCCGTAATGCGTGTAAGCTTTGTAGATACAAAAATCTTTTTTAATCACATATTTTTAAAGCGTAATTTCTTCATTAGCACCAGATATTTGTTAGCGCTTATTTAATTTGTTTGTATAACTTACTCAAAAGAAACGTAGAAAAGCTACTTTAATATGAATACTTTAATTATAAACGTAATAAATACTATATTAAAGGAACTGCGCCTTGCATGGCCCAAAGTTCTCTCTGCTTGGCTTTTTCAATTTCAAAATCTCCACTGCATCGACTGTCGTGCCAACGTAGTCTATACAATCCCGCCCAAGTGATTCCGCATTTTTCACATTGCGGTCTTTTTCCCGTATACAAATGCGTATGAACAGTCTTTAAATGTCTCCTTAATCTTTTTTTCGTAAAGCACAAAAACCAACAATGTCCGCATTGTAGCTTTTGGTGGAAAACTGGACAATATTTTGCTTGATGCCTTTTCCACGCTTTTATATTTTTCAAACTCGCACCACATAAATCACATTTACAGAGAAATATGTCTGAATGCTTCTTCATCATGTGATCTTTCACTTTAGAACGTTCATCTTCATATCCACACAAATGGCAAATGCGCGTGAGGCTGGTTTGTTTATTAAATTTTTTCACCCAACCCTTGTTGGCATGATATCGCAAGTGCAGTTGTAGAGAAGATAGTTTTGTAAAAGGACGCGATGAACAGCCAGAGCGAAGATTGCTGCAGTAATATACCAGTTCAGTTGAACAAGTATAGCAGTGAGTTGAACTTTGTTGAATTGGATAAATCAAAGGTATTTGTTTCTTGCAAGTGGTACAGTGGCCACTGTGCTGTGTCAGTAAACCTGCGAAACCAATTTAGTTGTCAAGGCAGTGAACATTTGAAAATTGTAAAGAAAAACAATTGTACATACTAATTACAGCGTCGGCTTCGTGAACAATTTCATCGAGTATATTTTCTAATTCATTCATTTTGAATAAGTGTCTGTGAGCGTTAATCATATGTTCTCTCATTTCTCGTTTAAGCCTCGTTTTTCGTATACAGAATCTACAGAAAAGATTTGCCAGTACGCTACAAGTCGACTCATGCTCTTTTAAATTTTCTCCATTTTCAACGTGCGAGCCACATTTACTGCAAACGGAGTCACAGGCCGTGTTGTTTTTCATCGGACCGTTACTCGATGTTACTTTGTCGTAGTGAAACTTGAAAATATGGATGTACATGTCGGTAAGGCTTTTAATTTTTAAACAAAATATGCAGCAATATGTAGTAACTAGATTTTTGCATAAATGACATTTTTTATTTGAAAGAGTATCGGTCACTAACTCCGTGACTTTTTTGCAATTCTCGCAGAGTTTTCTAATGTAAGGTATAAATAGTTCTGAAAATTGAATGTAATAATTAGTGAGTGATTTATGACTAATAACAAGGCACAAAAAATTGAACAAATTTACTAACTGATGTCAGTTTCTAGGGGATTGAAGTCTTCTTTGGTTTCCATATTATCTAAAAAATTTTATTTCAAATTAGAGAATTCAAGTTACTCTATTTTATACAAAATTTTTCTGGTTAAACTAAGTATGGATTACTTTTGTTTTAGTACTTACAAGTAGTTTGTAAAGGATCCACAGATTCAGACTCTTCCTCACTTATTGAGTATGTTATTGATATTGCATCATTACTGTTTTCGAAATTAAAATACTCTAAAAAATGAAATATTATATTGTTAAAATTTAAAATTAACAAGACTTAATATATGCATATAACAAAATTACCTGCTTTTGATACATTTTCTATTTGTAAATCACTGTAGTTATTGTCATTGTTGAGAACATTCTCACTGACTATTGCTTGTTCGTTGTCTAAGAAACAAAGTAACATTTAACTTTAAAAATTATAAATGAGTTATCGACAGGATAAAATATGAAGTACTAACCAGAAAAATTACTCATGTCTATAAAATCAACTTCTTTCTGAATATTGGATGGTACAGTCTTGAGTGGTAATTGTGTGATAAGAGAGTTGCTTGATTGTGGTTTATGTCTTTGTTTTATGTGTGTAAATTTCAACTTTTTCTTATGTTTTCTTTTTTTACTCTGTTTTTCCATGTATTGGGAAACTAAAAAAAAAACAGTATTGAAAACAAATAAAGTAATGTATATAAACAGCTAACATGTTATATTTATACTCACCAATCTGTGTCGGACAATCTTGAGCTACGAAAATTGGTTTTTCATCCACCTCAATTTGATCTTGAAGCAAATCTAAAAAAATAAATGGAATAACTTAATGCTATTGATAATATAAAATAGTAATAAGCTTTGAATAAAACGCTAATCAATATATTATTAAATGAAAATTGTTAGTTATTCTAACCTTCACCTAGTACAGTGAACACAATTGGTTTCACATCTTCCATAATTATAAACTTAATTTCCTCATCCAAGTACTGTAATAATTCACATGCTTATATATAACGAAAACTTTCACCAACAATATACTGTATGTAAATGAAGGACTATACTGTCAACAATCGGCTCATGTCCAGAAACTAGGTCTAATATAATCTATAGGCATGTCAGGTTATAGTGGGTATTATACTATTCGATCGTATAGAATAATATCGTGTGACGCGCATAGTCACCTGTGCGTAGCGCTGGTGTAGTGTGCGGGATAATTGAAATTTGAAAGATCACACAGCTTTATACAGTGCCTTCAAATATATTTTTATTCTCGCGTTTATTTAATCTTACAATGAGTACACGTTCAGATCATTGTTAAGGCACAAATTTACAATAGCTATGAGAATATTCTGGTTTGTTTAATGATAATTCCTATTTATAAGCTTCTATGTACACCCAACGTGGATTGAATCGCGACCCCCCCCAGTTAGGTTGGTATGAGAATTCCGTCGTTGCATTGAACGAAAAAACCGCGGGAAAATTCAAAAATGAAAATTCGTTTTAAGATACGATAAAAAGCTAAAACGTTACTAATTTGTTTTTAGGTTTAAAATTAATTGTTCGCCGAACAATGAATTTAGATGCATGATTATTTGATTTTAGGTTTTAATTATATAATTTAAGAACGAGCGTTATACTATGGCCGATTTGAAAACCACCGTTACGGACTGAAAGTAGCACTCATAGTCTCATATCAACCTAACTGGGGGGGGTCGCGATTCAATCCACGTTGGGTGTACATCAGATATAAAATTAGCATGAATACATATATATTATAATCAATTCTTAGAACAAAAGCTGTTATATATTTATAAAAAAATTAAACAAAATCTCCATTTTTTCGGACTACTACTTAGTCTTCAATTTGATATTACCACTGCACCCGACCTCGAAATGTCGAGTCATAGCTTTCTCTGTCTTGTATCCCATACCACAATCCTGACAGACAAATAACGGCCTATTAGTATTGTGAAGGTTTTCCAAATGACCTTTGAGATTATGACGGTATTTTGTCTTGAACGTACACAAATGGCAATTGAAACGTGGTTCTTTACCACATGATTTCTTATGATCGTTGTAATCACCTAGGAACGAGAAGGGCTTTTTACAAATGCTACACACGTGTTCTACTTTGCCATGCATACGGCGCGAGTGGCGTTGAAGCAGCGAAATCATTCGGAAACGCATCGGACAGTACAAGCATTGGAATGCCAAATCCTTTTTACAATTATTGCACTTGATTTGTCCTTTTTTTATTAGCTGCGTATGGTTGCAGTCTCTGCAGGTCACGTTACTTAATTGCTTTAGAGCTATCGACAATTATTGGATAAGTTAAAGACTGTAATGAGACTTTCAAAAAAAGAATAAATAATAAGTTTTGTCTTACTGAAATCATCTGTCTTCTTTATGGTTTCATCGATGGCGCTTGCTGCAAACGAAAAAAATTTTAGATAACATGATAAATTGTAATAACTTTTCAAGCTTTTCTTTTATTAAATTCAGAAATACAAATTCCAAAAGATATTTGTGTATACTAATATACATGTTTGAAACGATGTATAATAAATTACCTCTAAGTGTGAGAATAACTCACATAAAAATTTTCTCGTGAGAAGTTAACAGAAATATTATATTGCACAAATACACTTCACTTAACTTCTCTACGAATATGGTAATAATATTAGAACAAGAAACTAATGTAATAAAATTTTGTATTATATAATTATTTCGGGCTAATAAATTTCCGCATATTGAAAAATATAATATTGTATAATAACGTACTAACTGTGCAATCGACAAATATGTTAATAATTTGTACCTTATACCAAAATAAATATTTTTAATAATGCACTATAAACTAACTTCTATGCTATTAAAAATAGTCCATTTTTAATATTTTACGTTTTGTCCGTTAGTCAAACATTTATCGGTAAAATACATATTTTATATGTTTATGTTACAATCCAAAGTCAAAATTTAAAGAGTACTACTATATGTTAAATTCAAATCTTATGAATACTTGACTGCCAACTTCTCACCGAAATTCCCAGGTACTGTATTGGTTTTTTATAGAGTTAGTTTTTTTATTTCATGCATTAGTAAAACAAAATTTACTAGATTTCAATAAAAATACTGGGCATGAAATAAATTCAAATAGATTACAGAAGCATTGAAATAAAACTTAATTTCGCAAAATTTCAAATAAAATACATATATTAATAAATGTTGTTTCATATTTCGTGAGATATCAATCTGAAATAAGTAAATTGAATAAGTATTGAAGAATAAGTAGAAAATACATTTAATTGCACATCAAAAATTTAAATTCAAAATCATTCAGCTTTTTTATGCCATAGAAAATAAAATAAGCTTTAGAAAAAATTTAAATATGCGTCCTTAAATCATTATGATTGTTTTCCATCCAAATTTGACTTTAATATTTGAAAAAGAAAAATACTTTAGTGCAGAAGCACTGAGATATACTTCAAACTAAATCCATACAAATAATGTAACAAACCTTTTATATAACTCTGTGGACATATGCTAGACTCCACCATCATCTCAATTTCATCTTTGGATATATTGTGAATCATCGTCAAGTGTCTTTTAAGACTGACCTTCAGTCTTGGCCGATATGGACAAATTTTACAGTAATAATAAGGCAATCGACAAACGTTTTTATGTTGCTTAAGAGAGAGATGATTAGCAAAACCCCTGCCACACTTATCACAGCTTGTATTCAACAAATATAAATTTTGATGACAACTACTTAAGTGAAGTACCAGTTGTCGTTGGCTCGAGCTCTTAAACTGACAATCATTGCAATAATATATTCGACTTTTTGATTGGCACTGATCCTTTGTGTGTCTATAGATAACAGGATGAGAGGAATGCTCTTTACCACAGACTGAACACTCATAAGCCATAATGCTTTTACATTTATGGCAGCTTTTAGGTCTACTTAATTTAAATATTTTATACTTAACTTTGCACTTTGTGCATTTGTGCACAAATTGTTTTATTGGTGCTGCAACAGAGATTTTTGTGTAATCTTAACTGGATATATTTTGATATCAATCAAAGGCGAATACTTACAAGTATATTTTTTACACTGTATTTGTTTATGTCTATACAGAGCAATAAGTGACTCATATTTCAGATTACATTGATTACAGAGAAAAGTCATATTTACTTTACATTCCTTACATTCAGTTGTTAATGTTGTGGAAAAAACAGTTTTAGTTTTGTTGCATTTTGGACAGTTCAGAGTTATGGAGCTTAAGGAATCTGAAATATCTTTTATGGATGAAAATAATAGCTTCTCATGGAACTTATGAATAAAAATATACACATACCTTCTTTATTCCTCCTCATAGAATAGCTAGACTTTGACGAATTTTTAGATGATGAATCATATTCTATATCTGAAATTAGAAGAAAAAAAAATCATATTATTGATTTCTTAATTGAATATAATAATAAGAATAAATGTGGTATACCAGAAGTATCTGAAATTACTATTTCCTCTTTAATATTGAAATTTAATTGCTTCTTAGCTATATGTTTGACTGAAAACATTCCATTTAAATTACAAATTGACTTTATAAATATTATTGGTAAGTAAGATTGGTTATAGCATACCATTATTTTTTGAAATCATCCTTTGGAATTTATTGGGCACATGCCTTTTGAAAATGTTCACTCGATTTGAATCTATATTGCAATGTACTTCTATAATATCAGGATCTAAAAAATTCACAATAAACCTGGTTTGACTTAAAATTACTCTAATATTATTACTTATACTAATGCTGTATACTAACCTGAATCGTCTGCTTGTATGTCTACAATTTCTTCTTTGGGAACTGGCATTTGATCTTGTACATCAGTTCGGTTAGCTGTTAAATAAGAAAAATGTTATAGAAATGCAAGGTCTAAATGAACAATCACATTATTACATAATAAAATGCATTATATTAACAAACTTTTAATTCTAAGTAATTCAATTACTCTATATTATAATTCTATATTATACTAAAATTTAACTAGTATACTCACTTTCAACCAATTGTGAACCTAAGCTAGTATCCATGCTATCCATTTTACAAAGTTAACAGCATCAATTGACAATTTTCTTTTTTCTTAATATCTGCAGCTAACCTCTCATTCGAGAGTGAATCAAAATCATAATCTTCTTGCGAGATGCTCACGTTTGATGAAAAAGGATTTCCAAATGAACAACTACCTTGTTCATAGTTGATTGTTATAACACCTAGCCATAATTGCCATTATTTTCATGTTTACACTCGTAACAATGTATATATGTACATACATACATACGAGACTTGACACGGCGTTTATTATATTGTTTACACTGGTACGGCCATATTGCGCAGACGGACGTCCGGTGCAATTTACCAGTCCGTAAAGATTACAAGTGTTTGTTAGTCAACGTGCGTGAGAACATCTAAGTTCTTTTCCTTTTATAAATATTTGCATACTCTGAATTCAAAATTTACGCATCTGGTTTTTAGCTTGAGTGTAATAATTTTTTTCGACAATTAATTGCACATCTTATTAATTGTCTGTAGTAACTATATAGAGATAAATGCATCGCCGATTCAACAAACTTTTTACAACCGCAACATATACTGCTTTAATAATTTGCGAAGTATTCGTGAACAATTTTTAAAACCAATCAAAAACAAGTAAATTTTTATGGTATCGTACTGTATTTATTTATTTGGCATTTATTTGGAAAAATGACATTTTACATTTTTTACATTTATTTAACTTTGCACAGTAGCTTAAACTTGATCCACTTCACTTTTCAAGTAAGGTATTATAAAATCGTCTCATACGATATATGTAATCACAAAACAGATTAATTCGGTATGAGATTTATAATACCAAGAATACAAAATGAGTGAAAAAGCGGCTTAAAATTTTTTGTTGCAATTATTCACAGTTTTGCTTCAATCGAGTTGGTAATGAAAAAGCAGGACTCCTGCTTATTCGCAACTTTCCTTAAAATATTATTATTAACGCAACAGAATTCAGGTGATCTCTTTTTTACATCTAAACGAGCAGTGCCCACAAGCGATTGGTACAGTCAGTCAATGGTTAGACTTGGACGGATTTGCTATCGGGCAAACGATTTATCGCTACTCAGGCACTTAACAGTCGAGTTAGCAGTAAGGAAACGTTGACTATTTTGTTTGCAATGAATTTGCACCTGAATTTGGAAAAAAAGAGACAAGGCAGACCAATTATGAAATTCGAAAAATCCGTAGGTGACTGGCGGCATTGCGAGAAAATATTCCAAAAGTGTCGCGAGCCCTCCGTGCACGTTCTGGTTTTTTTTACCCAGCTCACACTTGAGTCTAGATTCAATACGCACATCCTTCACGATCTTCTGATCGATACCTGCAAATATACACTTACAATTGTTGCCGATGTAAAATTGGTTTGCGCGGTAAGAAATGAGCGAAGCAACGTTGTTCGATTCTGGCTTGCTCGTATTTATAATTGGCGTATTTATCTATCACAGCACTTAATATTCTCTGAAGATGTCGCTACACGCGATATATACGTTGAACTCACCGTACAATTGTAAAATAGTCCAGCCGAAATCTATGTCCATACTTTCCTACGCAGACCTGTTTCGTTCCAACGCGCGTTCTTTTCATTCATTTTTGTATTTCTATCCAAGTCATCGTTTTCGCCTACATCTACGAGAAGCTCGACATCGGGCAATGTAATGGCAACGATATGAATTTGCGAAGTTTGAATGGACAAGTATATAAAACAGAGACCGGCTGATCGTTCGTAGCAGACAGCGCGCGTCCACTGCTTTTGTGACGATCGAGCAATGCCGATGGTTTATTTTCACGGATACTACTTTTTGAAGAGTAGAAGAATACGATTATTGGACAATTATTGCACGAACCGAAAATAAATAACCCGCGGGAACAACACTCAAAAGCTTTTTGATCACTAATAAATTGAAATATTCCTTTGCCATTTACTTCACTAAATCACACTCCTACTATTCCCACCCTCTTTTTTTATGTCTTCTCAAAAACACGTGTTCGAGAAGACGGAGACTTTCTTCGAAAATGCCTCGTAAATATGTTCCTTTTACTACATCACCAAACGACAAATTATTCAAGAATACACATGCTATTGCATATTTAAAATTAAATTTTCATACTTTTATATTATTGTTATTGAATACATTTGGTTTCAATATTTCAATTTTCCTAATAATTTACAGAGAACTTGTAAAGTTATTTTTATGATTGTTTACAAAAAAATATTCGGTTTACAAATTACTTTCTATTTCATTTCATATACTTGAAAGTATACTTGATTTATAATACAAAAATTAATTCCTATAATCGATAAGACAGCTTGTGTTTCTTTCGATTTTCAAGTTAATCTTTTTTCAGTTCGGCATTGTAGAACACTTACAATTTCAAATCAGAGTGTACCATTTGCCAAAGCGACGAGGTGTATCATATTTCTCTTACCGACAGCCTTGCCGAGGACACTTAACTTTCGCGTGTTTATTCAAAGTCGAGTATAACAAACACTTGTATTTACACTTGTCGCAACTGAATAGCAAGCGCGTTTGACAGTTAGAGCAAATCTGGTATTGTATAGTCCAATAGCCGGTCACAACTGTCTTGCACTTGGGACAGTAGCGCTTGATAACATTTTCGTAGAAATCTGCGGATACGAGTAATTATTATCAAATACGCAAGAAAGTCAGTAGCCCGTAATAATTAGATATGAACTTACCAACGTCTTCTTTGACGACTGGAAATGGGCGATAATTACCTAAATTAAATAAATTGAAACATCAGTTTGCGTTTGTGAAGTGCGACAATCGTAACGCACCTTCTTCCCCCAGACGCGGAGCTTGGATCACCTTCTCGCCTTTGAATTCTTTGTGACGCAAGGCATTTGTGTGTCTGATTAACATACCCTTGTGCGAGGTCGCGAAAGAGCAGTTGGCGCAGAAGTACAAAGTGATCGAGTCCAATACATTCTTCTTCAATCGTTTATCGTTATTGCCCTCGCAACTGCGTACGTGCCTTATCAATTGTCCGTATTGCACGAAGTATTCCACGTTGCATTTGGTGCACACGTAGACCAGTAGAGTATCGCATCTGCGGCAAATCTTGATCATGCAGCGTTGTATGGGATCCGTCTCCAAGATCTTACATTTGTAGCAGTAACGCTGGACCATGTACTTGGAGCGCCTCCTTATGATTTCTTGTGTTGACATAGTCTTTATCGAGGGAATTCCGCGGTTTAACACCACCCGGGCATTCAGTAACTGATTGAGAAGTCGTGGAAGGTTGATCATTATGGGCGCGGGCTCGCCGTCCTCTGAAAATCAGACTCTTTAATCGCGATAGCCGTTGAATCGCGGTAGAGATTTCGTGTCGGTCTCATTTACCGGCTTTTGGTTTGCGCGCCAAAGTTTCTTTCGGGGACGTGAAATATTCAGAGATAACGGTTTGCCTTGACCGCGATCTCTGATTATTGCTATTCGAGGGCACATTTTCAAAATTGGCTTCCGAGACGTCTGCCTTGATACCTGTCAATATTAGAAACCAAGTTAATTCGGCCCAGGAAAGGTGAGCTTTACTCGTTGTGCGAACAAGACGCCGGAGTGTGGCAATTCTAACCTATAGTCGGAGCGCTATTGGAAGCAACAGGTTGTTGGGTTTTCCTCTTCTTTCTGGTCACGTATCTCTCACTTTTCATATTGACATACGGATGTCGCGCGGTAATATTCGTTAACGAAACTTTCTACTCACTAGCGCTCCTTTGAAAGTCTTGTAACCGGCACTTGGTGTTTTTGAACTCGTTGTTGTCGCGAACTTTTCGGTGTATCATTTGGCGTCAAGGTAGTCATGTAAAGGCAACGTGTTTTCACTCACTTTAAAGTCACGCAACTCCGGCTTGCCGACTAGCGACTGTGGGTATAAACTAACTTTTATCTGCTTTTATTATTAGCGACGGTAGCGGTTGGATGTCTCCGATGTAGCGGCAGACGACACACTTGCTTACAATGACTCCGTAGTGTCCAGTGCCGTAGTCAGTAATCGTCAACCACCGAGCATCAGTCACTTAGTACTGAAGTTCATTTTTTTTTCGTGTAATTTTTATTATCGAGATTGGATTTTGTGACAAGGACATTTTTTCAGGATAAAGAATCTGTGATAATATTCGACAAATTGCAATATCGTAAAATATATTATAAAGACAGACGGTCTTCGAAAGAGATGGACGGTAAGTTTATATACAAGAATACATTGAAGTATCGTAAGATTGAAGTAGCTTGTGACCCATTATATTATTTTGCGATTGACATTTTAGCGGTGCTAATTGGAATTGCCGTTCACGACAATATCTTAAGCATCATGTCGCATTACAGTTGAATTTTTTCTCGAAATGATTATCAATGTAATTTCGCTAAATGTCGAAAATCACAATTTTGACTTACGATCACAGTGCCTACAAACACATTTCGTCGCACACAAAGATTTCAAAGTTTAAATTAAATTTTCATCCAGAATGGACCAAAGTACAAGAGAAATAGCACACATTTTGTACTCGAACATGTTGCACTCTAGTGAAAAAATAACAAAACCACGTCAAATTACAGAAGCACAAAAAAATTATTCTGCCACCATTCCCAGCCATTTAGGGAGCTCGAGGCCAAGCGTCGCCGCGCAAGTATAAAAAGTTGAGCGTAGCGATGGAATACTGTTCGTCCTTCTAAAAGAGCGGAGCCTCACCGCCGTCGGTAGCGTGGCGGCCTGCTGGCGCATGCTGGCGCTGGTCCTGCCGGGCGTTCGCGCGGCGCGCGACGAAGAGCTCGCGAGCCGAGGCGAAACACGCGCCCAGGGCGATGCCGCAGGAGGGGCAGCGGTGTATCGCGTCGCGCGTCGCTTTCGCGCAGTAGGGCAGCGCGCAGCAGCTGGAAACGTGCAGGTGCGAATTAGAACGCGACGTGGATCGGCTGCGTTTCGCGCGATCTTCGTTGCGGCAGTGGCGACTCGCGTTGAGTGCAACGACTCGTTCGCGCGCGACATTGCGTGGCAACGCGCGAGCGAAGCTATTAGCGTCGAGCCGAACAACGATGAATTGCGCGTAGACGTCGAGCGACGCGAGCAGCGTATTGTCTCGCGCTAGGCTCGCTCGAGAGGAAAAACTCACCAAACGGGGAGCAGCAGCAGAGCGCTCAGGTGAGTCGAGTCGGTGCAGCGTCTCTCGACCATCGTCTCCACGCCTCGCAGGCAATTCGGGCAGGTGATCATCGCAGGCTCTCGCCTCAAGTGCGTGTGCTCTGCGCGAAAAGAAAAGAAGGGGAGGGGAGGGGGAGGGGAGGAGAAAAAAACAATGAAAAACAAACCAACGCTCTGATCCTATCGAACTTTTGAGAGTCGTCCGGTCGAGTCTCACCGCGCGCGAAGAGAGCCGAGCGTCTCGGGCACCTCGACGCCGCGCCGACCGGCGACGTCGTCAGCACCGCCAAATCCCTGAGTTTCTTGATCGCCATCCTGGAGCGATAACCTTATTCGCGGACGAGAGACGATCGACGGGACGGGTCAGCAAGTTCAGCGAGTCGTTAGTAGGCGGTGTGATCCTCGCGCGGCCCTATGGACGCGATCGGTAGGTACGGAGTGCCGCGACTGCCGGCGATTCTCATGCTATACGTGCTCTCGTTGGTTCGCAAGCGACGGGAGCGCCAGCGGCGGAGGGGGCGACGGCCTTAGCTGCAGCGCCGTCTTCCAGATCCTCGACCGAGATACCGAGGTGATCGCTGCCTTCGCTATATATATTCGGATATGCGCTGAATGCCTGCGTGGGGGGCGCAATATCGCAATATAATAGCAACAAGGGATACGAAATGTCGAGGCGTTGACTTTCTTCATTTATTTATTTTATATATATGTATATGTTTTGAGGTTGAGTTTCGATTGTTTTCTCTCAAGTTGGCGAGAACGAATCTACGAACGATGTTGTTCCGATCGAAGTCGAGTGCAATTCGATCGAGAATCATCCTGGGTTGGGTTTTTGAGAGACTGACGTTTTCTCGCGGGCCGCCGCCTCCTGCGCGATGGAACGCCCGCGCAAGGTGGTGGCGTGAAGCGAAAGTCGAGCAATGTAGTTGTCAAAGAATGTATTTAATTCACAAACTCTACGTACACGCCCAGAGGTAGAACAAGAGAGCAGCGAGGCCGCGTTTCCGAAAAATAAGCACGCGCGTTAGTCGCGAGACGCGCGACGACATCATTGCATTCGTATCTACAGGTCCAAGGTGTTTGCAAGAGCGAAAGCGAGAAAGCGAGAAAGAGAGAAAGAGAGAAAGAGAGAAAGAGAGAGGCACTTGGAATGCGTCGCCCGCGTCGTCAGTCCGAGCGTTGGCCCGATGTCAGTTGTTCGACGATCCGACGGTAGCGCTGCAGCATCGGCTTGTAGATCTGCGAACCACAGGAGGGAGCGTCGGTTAGCGGGCTTGGCTCGCCGGGATCTCGCGCGATACTTACGCTCTCGGCGTCGGGGTACGGCTGACAAACGAGCGTGGGCTCGGGCAGGCAGCTGAGCAGCTCCTCGAAGCTGCGCCCGTCCTCGAGCAGCGCGTGCTTGGCCCTGTAGGCGGCGCCCAGCACCGCCGAGTTGGCCGCTTCCTGCGAAACGACGGGTCGTCGTCAGTGGGCGTCGTCCGCGGGCGGCGAGGCCCACTGACGCGCGCGCGGCTACCGAGACGTGGACGGGCGAGTCGAAGACGTCGGCGAGCACCTGCAGCATGGCCCTGTTGCCGGAGGCGCCGCCCGTGGCCACGATTCTGCAGCCGGGACCTGCAACGAGAGAGGCGGCCGTGAGCGCTCCTCAACGACGACGACGACGACGACGACGACGACCGCGAGCGCGGACGCACCGACGACGAAGCCAAAGTCCTCGGCGTGCGCCCTCCTGGCCACGAATTGTCCCTCGACGAGCGCGCGCACCTCCACCTCCACCGAGCTGTACCTGGCCACGCGGTCGCCGGCCCGGTTGAAGCGGTGGTCGCCGTCGAGGCCGCGCGGCAGGATCTCCGGCGCGTCGTAGTACAGCCCCAAGTTGCCGAAGTTGCCGCGCGGCGTGTTGTCCAGCAGCTCGTCGAACAGCCGCCAGTCCGAGCCGGCCGCCGCGTCGCGCACGCGCTCGCGCGTCAGCGAGCCGTTCTTGAAGCTGATTCGGCGACAGAGAGCAGAGCGTCCGTGTAGTTGGGGCGCGAGCGCGAGCGCGACCCAACCGTACCATATGAGCGCCATGTACGCGTCGTCCCGCACCGGGTTGCAGAACACGCTGCCGTCGGTCGAGGTTCGCGGGTGGCTCAGGTACAGGAAGAGGGCGTCGCTGGTGCCCAGGCTGCAGGCCAGCTCGCCCTCCTTCAGCCGCAGGCCTGCGACAGCGACACGGGGCGAGGTGAGAGCGCCGAGCGCGCGCCACGCGGGCCACTCACCGGCAAGCGAGCAGGGGTTGTCGCCGGTGAACGCCACCACCCGGCAGCCCTCGCGGAAGCCGAAGCGCTCCACGAAGTAGCCGGACAGCGGCCCCAGGTCCGTGCTCGAGGACACCGGCTGGCCGAGCCTCTCGCGCAGCCCTGGTGCGCACGCCTGCGGACAGAGCGCGTCGCCGAGAGCTCGGGAGCGACGCCGCGGCGCTGCTCCCGAGCGGCCCGTCCTACCTCGAGCAGCTCGTCGCGCCAGTCCTTCGCGCGGATGTCCAGCAGGTTCATGCCCGAGCCGTCCGCCCAGTCGATCGGGGCGTAGTCGCCGAGGAACAGCGAGGCCGCGAAGCTGCTCACCAGCGATATCCGCTGCAACAGACAGCGCGCGCGCGCTCAGACGCCGAGTGCCGGCGGGCGGGGGGCCGGGGAGGAGGGAGGGCGCCGCTCGGGCGTGCATCGAACCTCGGTGTTCTCGTAGGCCTCGGGCCGCCTCCTCGCGAGCTTGGCGATCTGCGGTCCCGCGAAGCGCTCCGTCGCCCTCGAGCCCGTGATCTCCGCCAGCCTCTGAAAGAACGTCACGCGCGGCAGGCTCGCCTCGGGTCGCGCGGCTCGGGTACGTACCTTCGCCCCACCGGCGACCTCCTCCAGGCGCCTGCATTCGGCGCCGGTGCTCGAGTCCATCCAGATCGGCGCGGGCGACACCGAGAACGCCGCGACCAGCTGCTCGTGCAGGAAGCGGTCCGGGTCGAGGCGATTGAGCGCGCGCCGCGCGCCCCGCGCCCAGTAGACCGTGCCGTGTTGCTGCAAGCGATCCGCCGTGGGTGAGAGTGGTCGCGGTCGCGGTTCGGGGCGCGACGCCCGCTCACCTGCGCGCAGCCGGACACGCCGGCCACGCGGCCGAAGTCCACCCCGCAGACTCGCAGCCGGTCCAGGATCATGTCCAGCGCCTTCACCCACATCAGCGTCGGCGCCGCCGCCGAGCCCGGCTCGTCCTTCGGGTGCAGCGCGCCGCCGTACGTCCTGCAAACGCGTCGCTCGAGGAGTGCGCGCGACCTTGCCGACGCGCGCTTCCGACCGGCATTCGTCTCTCTCTCTCGCTCGCCGACTCCGCGATCTCATTTCGCGTCGAACGACCGAGAACGTCGAGGTCGAGTCGATAAGCGCAACGGTCTGTGCGCTATCGGCTCGCTGCTTACGTTCTTCCCGCGACGATGCACGCACCACCGTGTTCGCATTCGAATCTTCGTCGAATCTTCCCAGACGCGCATACCTAAACTCCGGCAGGTCATTGTCGTACTGCACGCAGGTCTCGTGGAGGACGTTGAGGTCGTCGTCGAGCACCGCTGCCTTCAACTGCAACAGACGTCAGTCGCGCCGTTATCCACTGGTTATCGCGCGACCCCGCGAACCGCGTCGCTCGCTTGCGCAACATCGCTTTCGAAATTGGCGGCGCGCACGCGCCAGCGCGGTAGCCGCTCGGAACGCGGCGAACGAGCGAACCGCGCGCGCCGAGCCTCGAGAGCAGCTCGACGCGTCCGGCGACGGCGCGTGCCGGCCGCGACGAGCGCCGGTCGCAGGCCGAGAGCTCGGGCCGGACGACCGAGGGCGCGTACCTGCTGGGTGCTGAAGTCGAGGCCGAGGTAGGTGCGCTCGCGCGGCTCGCTCATCCTCCTCCTCGTCCTCCAGCGCCGCTGGAACAACCACCGCCGCCGGACGCGGAACGCCGAACCGCGTTAACCTTGCGTCCCCCTCCTCCTCCTCCTCCTCCTCCCCTCGACTGCCTCCTAGGCCGTGCGCAGCTCGCTTTCGAATCGAACGTCCTGCCCCGTGCCGACCGTGTGAACGCGAGGCGTTGGCGTCCGCTGCCGAATTCGGCCACGCTATCGAACAATCGCCTTTCGGGGAAACGGATAAAGACTCGTCGGCAACTCTGCAGCGATGAGCGAGCTCGGCGCGAGGCGCGCGATACGAATCTCCGCGCGGGACTGTTCCGCGCGGCCGATCACGGCCCGCGGCTTCTCTTGCTCGGCTCGCCTCGCCTCCTTCCTCTCCTCCTCTGCACGTCAGTGCTCCCGCGCGACGCAGTCCGGCCGTAAAGATACCCCGACGAGTCGCCGAGAGCCGCTCGCACGACCCGACCGACCGTCGCCACCGCGTAGGCTCACGAGCGCGCGCCGTCGTTTCAGCGGTGCGAGTTCGCTCGACCGGTCGTCGCTCTGGACCCCGAACGAGACGCTCACCCTGACCACCGACTACGACTGCATCTCGCGTCTGGACCAGCCATCTCCGGCGATCGTTCTCGAGCGCGCCACCGGTCGACCTACCAGGCGCGGACTCCTGCGCAGGTGGATGCCGCCGTGCTGCCGGCGCTCGGCGCGCGTGTCGGCGATCGATGAGGTGACCTACGGCGATCGCACCCAGAGTCCACGCCGCGCCGTCGAGCAGCTCGAACGCTGTTGACCCGACAACGCTCGGCCCGCAGGCCTACCGGCTGGCTCCGCCGACGTACTCGGCGGTCGGCTTCCTCGAGCAGCCGAACGCCCCGCAGCGCCCGCCCAGCAGCCACCTGGCAGTCCTGCTGCGCAACGACGAGCCGACGAGCTCGTTCGTCGCGCGCACCCCGCCGCCCAGCTACGCCCAAGCTCAGGGCATCGCTTACTCCCTCGAGCGGCTCATCTCCAGTCCCGGTTGAGACACTTGCGCACTCGCGCTCGCCGCGTCGCGACCGCGCACGACCACTGATTAACTCTCTGTCGGCCACTCGGTGCAGCGAGCAACACCAGGATGTGGAGCGCGAGCCCGACGAGCGCCGTGTGCCCGAGGTGCGCGAGCCTGGTCTACACCGTCGTCGAGGCGAGGAGGGACGCCGTCGCTCACGCCACCGCGCTCGCCCTCTGTCTGATCGGGTGAGACCGTCTGCGCCAGCTCGCTTTCAACGTTTCGTCCGTTTGATCTCTCGTGTGCTCGAGCAGATGCTGGCCGTGCTGCGTGCTACCCTACTGCATGGATTCCTGCCAGAAATCTCACCACTACTGCCCGTTCTGTCGCACCTACCTCGGCACTTACACGCCATGGTGAAGCTGGAATTCGAACGGGGAAGAGCTTGTAGCGAAGGAGGTTTCACTCTGTACGCGATAGACTTGTCGGGTTCAGTCGAAATCGGCGAGGTACCCTCTGCCACAGCAACGCTCCCAGCAGAGGTTTACAGAAATGAATTTCACCGATGATTTTTCCTTTCCTTTGTTCCATTTTCATTTCGCATTCAACTTCAAATAATGAATAAGCAAGTCGAAGCAAGGGCTGGGAATCCGATGCGGGCACAGGTATTTAAAGGGCAAGGCTTAAGAGAGAGACTCCGTTTTCATTTTTCAAAGTGTAGCAAATGTTCGCAACAAATAACCATTACGATATTCTGATTATATATTATTTTTATTATTATCTCGTATATATGAGAATAACATTATTATAATACGAACTATTTATAAAAGTATATATACTATATTTATAGAAAATTTAGATACAAAAATTATTAGTAAATTCGATGCAAAATAAAATTAAAAGAAATAAGATGTTCGAAACCTCATCCAGGAGCGCTATTGTGGTAGCGATAGTGTACAACCGTAAATGTACTTGGGCTGCGGGTGCCGTGTATGGAAAAATTTTTGTACCGCGCGCGCTCCTCGTTCCTAACCTCAAAACTTTTGTTTTCATTACGCGACCACTCTCGATCCTGTAACTCGCGCCTGCAGTGCCTCGTGGGGGCTTCGGTTTATATTCCCAAGGAACATATTATCCGTTTGCGTTTGTCTTGTTGCGACGTCAAAAATACTCTCCAGCTCTTTCTTCTGGGGTGATGGTTTTAGAGAGCGCAAAAATGGGCAAGAAAAAAGTCAAACAGCACGAGCAGCAGCAATTTTCGCGTCCGACAAGGTCGACCAGCAGAAAAAAACGTGAGCGAACAGATTCTGAGACATCCAATGACACTGTTGATAAGGATCCTGCATCGACAATGCCTCGGGAAACATCGTCCAGGAGAAAGAAGAAAGCTAATTACGATCCTGAGGAGGAGGCCAGGTGAGTTCAAACACGCGCATAAACAGTGAACACTTTGATCGAACAATATTTTACTTAGGCTAGAGAGGTTGGTGTTTGGAGATCCAAGTGATATATTAAAGAATTTGAAAGATGATTCAAATGCTGAGCAAGAAACGAAATCAGTGCAAGAAGAAGACGATAAAGACACGCATGTTCAGTCGGACGATGAGTCTGTGATCACTGTGGATACTAAAGTATCCACTAAGACACCTGTTTGGAAGGATGAGGACGATGAACAGTTGACCGTTGTGGATGCCTTAAAGGAACAGCATAGAAGGCTACCAGGTCAGAGGCCAGAAACTAAGTACAAAGAGCTTCTACAGAATAAGCTTGCTCACATAATGGGTACACCGAAATGGGCAAGACTTGATAAGCAAGATCAGGATGAGTCTGACGAGTCAGATCATGAAATTCTAAAAGTAAGCGTTCTTGTGTAGGAAATATTTAGTTGACGATAATAATTTGAATTGATAGCTTATGTATTTTATAGCACAGCAGCCATGTAGTACCGAAGAAAAGCAAAGTTTTATCAAAGGGAACTATCGACTTGAAGGTGATGGCAGACATAAATAAACAGACACATATCGAGGGACCTTTTATCAATGTAGTGCAATTTCATGAGACATCTACAGTTGCAATGGTTGCTGGATCTTCTGGAATTCTATCTTTGTTTGAGGTATGAAGATTGATTTTTAGAAACTCTTATTCAAGAATGCTTTTATTTGAGATGTTGAATGTTTCAGGTCGATGGACGTGAGAATAATAAATTACACACAATACAGTTTGAAAGATTTCCAATACATTCTGCTAGATTTTTGAGAGAAGGTAATGAAATTGTTGTTGGCTCGATGAGCTATGCACACTGTCACTCTTATGATTTGATTACTGGCAAAACATTACGTGTACCTTTACCAGATGGAATTACGAATATGAAGGTTGCAATTATTTTAATATGTCCATGATATGTTTCATATTATATTATTGGCGTGTTCAAGATGTTATTTAATTATTTTGTAGAAATGTGAAGTATCTCCTGATGGTAAAGTAATAGCCATTTGTGGTAGACTTGGAGAAGTACATCTACTGTATAGTAGAACAAAAGAACTTATAGGTACTTTGAAAATGAATAAAAAGTGCAGGTCTCTTGCTTTTACACCTGACAGTACAAAATTAATCACGCATGGAGGTAATTTTATTTAAAAATGTTTTAGCTTAATAAAATTTAGACTGATGTTTTGATGATTGTAAAAGATTCTTTATATTATTATAATAATCAAACTTTCAATCAAGTAAAGCAACTGTCTAATTACAGAAAGCAGCGAGGTGTACGTATGGGACGTACAATCCCGTCAATGTGTAAACCGAGCATTTGATGACGGTTGTCTATCAGCATGTGCCGTAGCCATATCACCAAATGGACAGTTCATTGCGACCGGCAGTAAACAAGGTGCAGTCAACATATACGAGTCGAAATCAATTTTTAACGAACAGACACCTCAACCAGTCAAGACAGTGCTGAATCTCGTCACAGCGATTACAAGGTTGAAGTTCAATCCCACCACGGAAATTCTGGCGATGGCATCGGATAGGAAAGCAAATGCGTTCAGGATCGTTCATTTACCGTCGTTCAACGTTTTCGCTAACTTTCCCACATTCAAAACTAAAATGTTTAATCCTCTCGACATTGACTTTTCACCTGCTAGTGGTTATATGAGTGTGTCGAATAATAAAGGGTCCGCGTATTTGTACAGGTTGAAACATTATGGAAATTATTAGGTTCTTTTTTATTATTTTTTTTTACTTGTTCGGAAAAATTTTTTAGTTTTATTTTTACTTCCATCAATGAAATTTCTTTCTCTTATCCATGAAATGTAAATACATAGTTATTTATGTAAAGATTTATCATTATTTGAATAGTTAAGTGATAATAAAAAAAAAGTGAGATAGATAGACGTATACACATTAACATTGCTTTCTTTATTGAACTACAAACGAGTTTCGAGACAATGTACACATCGAAACATTTCTTATACGATAGAGAAGATAGAAAACAGTTCAACGAATTAATACTTTATAGCGCCGTTTCCTTGGCGATGAATTGTCTGATTTGATCAGTGAAAACAACTCAATTCACGGCTCTCCTCCGAGTCTTCAACAAAACATGCGACGATTCTACGAATCGATCAGTATACACATGCAGGACAAGTATCTTTCTTTTATTTTTTGGCGCGAGGTTTCATGGTCTGGTAGAAAAGCGCAAAAGATATGTTTATAAACCTCGTTTGCGAATTTTGCGCTCTCTTACGTATTAATAAACTAATCACGTTACCAGTCGTTTTAGAATTGCTTAGGTAGATATACATACGATATAGACTACTCATTTTATATCGACTAACAATAATTAACCGACTTATAATTTATTGTTCGCGGAGGAAAAAAGCGATAGCATTATACCAAAGTACGCAATAATACTTGGTTCACTGGAATTTGAATGTTTCTCTTGGCATTTGCTCGTCGCTTTTTATTCATCACCTTCGTTTCAAGTCTTATTTGACATCAGTACTGAACTCTTGTGCTTTACAATCTTGTCGCTAAAAAACGTTAGTAGAACAAAAAAATGGTTATTCCTCAAAAACATAAGCAACGCTTTCAGTTGTGCGCCATAAGCAATAATCATGGACGTTTCCAGTATTACGTGACTAGAATCATACGTCATGTTTTGTTTCGTTTGCCTATCGTAAAAATAAAAATGTACGGAAGTGCATTTTGCAAGCGTTCAGAAAGTAACGTGAAGAAGAAATTCCAACGCACGCGCGTGCACAATTCGTAAAAACCATGTTTCTTTTTTTTTTATTGAAGCTTCAATTTGGCAACCGGCATTCTCGATTCGTCTACTGGTTTCATGTGACCTTCTTCTTGGTTGGCTTCTTGCTGCGCGGCAGTGTGGCATAATTCGTGATCTGAAACGAAATGAGCGCCATTGTCTTAAAATTCCATCGGAAATGTAGCTTGTGAAATTAAACACAAAAAAATTAAAGCTTAAGTGAGAAAATAACGTTTGTTTTAAGGAGACACTCGTTAGTAAACCGTCATAACTAAATGAAAAAAAAATATTAAACAACTTCCTATGATATAGATAAGGTATTAATATAGAATTCGTCAACTGCAACTGGGAAATTGGCGTTAGTCAACACACTTTTTGTTTTTTCAACAAACGCTCATACATGGTGGTCGTCGCTTGCCTCGGGTGTTGTTTTTTTCGATCGGGGAGAGGAAATTGGACGAAGGGAATGGGTTCTAAACATCCGTCTCTGCCTCTGCTTTGCCCTTCATTGCACCGACATCTCCGTCTATGCTGTCGGATCTAAGACTGACGTAGGAAGAGTCAGTGTTAGCGAGGACTTCAGTGACGTCCATGTTTTCGCGACTCGATGAGCTGCTCTCATCGTCCTTGTCTTTGTGAAAGGCGTTGTGGAAGATGGTCTTTGGTATGGTGAGGAGTTTGGAGAAGCTCTCTCTAGCCGCCGTTTTAGCGCTGGACCTCTTGCGGCGTTTGATCACCGCGTCCACGGCTGCGTTGCTGCTTAGAGTTTTCACGCTGCCAGTTTTTATGACCAACGTGGCTTTCAGCGCCCTTCCTTCGGTCTCATCCTGCGACGATTCTTCTTTCTCCGGCGCTTTGGGCGCTGGCTTCTTGTGATACTTGCCAGCTCGTTCGATGCTACAATCGGAGTTGCTCCTCGAAATGCTTGGACTGGTCTTAATCTCCAATGTATTGCAAGTTTTTTGAACAATCGATATCCCGGCGTCAGTCAAATTTTCTTGAGACCCAACCATCGTCGCCACGGCTTTATTAGCACTGTCGAGTAATTCCTTCAGCCTGTTAAGCTTATCTGAGCAAATCTCGTCTGCATCGATTTTCAATTCTTGTTGTTTCGGCTCAGCAACTTCCTCCTCCTCGACTTTAACGTCTATTACCGATCCTTTCGCGTCATCAACTTTTATAGTCGGGGTATCGGCTTTGAGGGTAGAACTGTCGTCGTCGGAATCACTCAAGTTTTGCTGATGATGAAGCATTCCTAAATATTCTTTATTTCGCGAGAGGAACGACAGGAGTTCGAGGGTCTGTTGGGTATTTAGCAGGGCGAAAGGATTTGGGAGTGTCTCGCTGATCTCCGGTCCCTCCGTTTCGTCGACCTTTTTGGTGAGTTTGTAAATAAAAAAACATCATGACTACAACGCACTGCGTACGTGCGAATGATAGGTTTTCGTTCGAAAAATGAAAAATAAAAAAATAATGCAGGAGCTAGCTTGAAAAAGTGGCGTTACCTCCGCAGCTTTCTTCGCGGTAGGTCGTGGCTTACTGGCGCGGTTCCTCGCACCCACACTGGCTGTCCGTACCAGATGGTCGCCGTTAATGGAATTTTTCTGCGACTGCAGTGCCTCGCCGCTGCTATAGCCACTCGATATGTCGTCCGAAGATTTGATATTTCTGTTGGCAAGAGAAGAAACTGTTCTGCCTATTTTTTAGAGAAATAGATGGATCGATCGCGCGTGGGTGATTTGCGTACGTACGTCAAACTGCCAACGGGGTCCCTCGACCTCGACTTCCTCATGTCAACGTCAACTTCGGCAAAATACAGTCCGACGTGATCGCTGGTCGACTGGGTTCGTCGTGGACTGTAGTTTCTCCGGCAGTTTCTTTCTCTTCGACGTGGCTCTGCAAAGATGAAAGATTCAATGTAGTTACGGGCATTTCTCAGCTCGACAGGCTTCTTCACCTTCGAGATCAACTTCGTCAATCACGTCGACGTTACGGTTTTCGTCCTCTTTCTCGCCGACGAGATCACTCAGACTGTAGCTCTTGCGGAGCTGCTGCACCAGACCACCGCCTCCCTGCGAAACAGTTTCGCCTACCGTCAACAACGTGCCTTTGCGCAATCGTGTTCCAATTTATTTTTTCTTTTTCCTTTTTTTCATAGATTGTCAACGTTACGACACTTATAAGATGCATGCAGAAAAAAAGTGCTTGATATACGAAAAGGGGATAAATAAACGATGATAAAGGGAAGAAAAAGAAATAAAAAAGCTTACCAACAAAAAAATGGTTAATTAGGTTATCGGGCCTTCACCAGTGTGCGCCGAGAACGTTTGTCAGTCCATCGCATCTCGCATTAATTACAACTTGCAGCCTTCTTGCGGTAGTCAGCGAAAATTGTTGTTTTTTTGTTTTTGTTTTTTAACTTCGTAAGCGTGGCTAATCAGCACAAATTAATAAGAAAATACGCCGATTAATTAGTCGAAGCCCTAATAAAGTACGTTTCCGTTCGAGCAATTTCAACGATAATTACTTGCTGATAGGCGACGAAATTTTGCAATTATTAATTCTCTTGACGATACAGCCTTTTTATTAGTCTTGCTGAATTGTCTCATTAAATGTTACACAGGTTTTGGATCGAGAAGGGGATACGGGACGAAGCGTTGCAGTGAATTAGGCGTAAAAATTAATAAAATTGCATATTTATTATCAATCACTTTGAAAATTGTTATTATAATTATGTGAGAAAAAAAGTTGCGTCGCTTGATGATTCCAAGAAAGCGAGAAAACAAAAATCTTTGGGGTTTGTCCTTGAAGTAGAAACTTACGCAATAAAAAAAAGAGAGAAGATAGTTCTTAATCGTATTGCTTAAAAAAACGTCGAAGAACAACTAATACTAAGATCTAGATAGTCTGATAGGGCTCTCTAATCAAAAAATCGCACGCCTTTGTTTATATATTTATACTAATAAACGTTATCTAAATAAGTTTGTCTTCTTTAAACATTAGTTTACAGGCAATGTCCAGAACGAGCAAACTTATTTCTCGACGTTTCACGATATCACAACTCTTCATTATTGTAGTCAAATAGAAGGCACAATCGTGTGGCACTACGTATTTTTATTTTTTGTATTTTCTTTTTTAGCCTTAAATCTCTTACAGCTATAGTCGCTAAAGAAGTCTTCGGTTCTCAGATATGAGTCATGAATAAAAACGCAAAAAACCTTCGTTATCGACGTTAAAGATGTACAAACTAAAAAATGTGATATCTTTTAATCTTTAGATCGACTAGTTTTGTATTCATGATATTAAAGAAAAAACAGGCTACTAAGAAAGAACGACAGTGAGAAAATCATTTGATGCTTTTGCGTACATTAACATATTTCTCCTTTTTTTTTTTTCATTGACTTTGTCCGTTGATTTTCTCTTTACAAATTCAGTCTTCCGCGTACGTATCGTACGCATTTCGAATGGAAAATTTCCAGAGATCTAGCGTGATATTTACCATTATTATTCTAACAAATGAACAATGGATGTACATGTAGTTAAACTAGATTAAATTCGCTGAAAAACCGTTGTCCTGCAAAGTTTTCCCTCATTTGTCAAAAATGCACCGGAGGACAACGATTCCCTCGCGATTACTATTCTCTTGTTCGATTTTTAGCAGCCTTGCGATCAGCACGTCACCCGCGATCGACAAAAATAAACCTGCATTTGTGCAATTTGAAAAAGGAAAGTATTTTATTTTGATTGCACGCGTGTCGCTTTCGGCGCAGCACCGCGCGCAAAACAAAGATCACACGTGCAAGCAAAGGAGAAATGACGGCGAGTCGCGGGTGTTGTCCTAGTCGCTAAAATCGGATTCGAGTCCGGAGGCCCGAGCGGCCCGAGCGGCCCGACCGCGAGTCCTCGGTGGTTTCCTGCGCGTGACCGAGTTGTCCCTGTCGGCGTTAGCCTTCCTGGTGGTCTTTCCGATGGCCTGCGGTATCTTAAAATCATCCGTCACGTCCTGGTCGATGTTGTCGTCGGCGGTCGTGTCGTCGGTCGACAGTACGAAGCTCATTTCGAGATCCTCCTCCTCGAGCGACAAGCCTTCGTCGCTCTCATCGACGACGTAGGTGGTAACGTGACGTACCTCGCCGCACAGGGCCTCGACGCTCTTAGTGCGTCGACGCTGCCTTCGCGATGTCTTCGACGGGACGCCCCCGTCCGTGCTCGTCTTCTCCGTCGTCGCTGAGCGCTGATTGCTGGCTGAGCTGGAAAGCGCCGACTCTGATTGGCTGGTGCTCAACGGTACCACGCTCGGCAGGTTCTTTGTTTTGGCGTTTTTTTTTTTTGTTTTCGTTGTTGAGTTTTGTACGCGATGGTTTTCATTTTGGTTTTTGTTTAATCGGTTAGATGCACACAGGTGGGCGATGGATGGCGATGATCGTGGACGGTGACGATACAAGAAGAAAAACAAACACATGGTGGTGCGGCGTGATTAGCGAATTATTGTTACCAAGCAAGAATTAAGTGTTGTTTTTGCTTATTTATTCGGCGAGCTTTGCGCATGCTGTAGAATTGTTGCCGAGGCAACGGAAGACTTTCATTTTACTTTGCGTACAATGAATTCGGTCGTCGGAAGATGCGCGCTCCGCTCAAAGGTATCGATCAAATAAAGAGAGATTTGCGATTGAAAAGTTGGAAGAAAAAAACCATGCTCAAAGGAGGCACTGTGAATCGAGCATTTTACTGGAAGGACACTGTCGTCGTCCGTAGGTGGCGAGCTTCCTTCGGCAGCGCAAAACGGTCGATCCACAGTCGGATGAAGGGCAGAGGGTGACAAAGGCGAGCGAACGCGACTGAGCGCAATACCTTGATGGCCGTCTGCATGAGCATGGTGGTCGCGTAATTGACGCCCTTGGTGCCCAGCTGGAGGACCGCCGAGTAGCCCTGCTCGGTGGCGCGCGCCAGCGCCTCGTCTATCTCGGCCTCGCGGCGGCACAGGGCCGGGTGCACGAAGCGCCGATAGAGGATGCTCGAGCCCTTGGTCGCCGGACTCAGCAGCCACAGCACCAGGATGATCTTGATCTCGTAGTAGAACGGGAACCTGCAAGCCGGCGCTCGCGTCAGGCGAGCCAGAGGTGCGCGAGCGAGCGAGCGAGCGAGGACGCAAAATAGACATTCTAATTCCATTTCGGGGTCGGCGCGCGTCGCCTCGGTCTGCTCGGCCGATCGACGGCCGACGCGCGCCGACGACTCGAGCGAGCCTCGCCCGCCACTTACCAGAAGCTGAAGAACACGTCGGTGAAGGTCTCGGCGCAGGTGAACAGGGCGAACACAATCCAGTACATCATCCACTTGACCTGCGCGAAAAAGCCGAACGGCGCGTCAGAGGAAGCGCGCGGGAAATATTGCGATTGAAGGGGCGTCGTACTCACGTATTCCTTGACGTTCTTCGTGCGTACGGCCTTGTACGAGGCGTACGCCGGGTAGAGCGTGCCGAAGACGAGTCTGAAAAGGGGATAGAGCAGGCAGTGAGCGAGGACTCGGGGCAGAACGAGGCAGGCGGCGACGCTCGTCGCGCCGACGTTCTCCATGGTCAGGCCGACCGGCAGCGAGTCGCGCGCCCAGCGCAGGCACAGGCGCGCCAGCGCCCGCGTCGGCTCGAGCCTATGCTGCTGCGTCCTCGTCGCCGGCATGGCTCGTCCGGTCTTGCGCCGCGGCCGCGACTCGCGAGCCGCGCGTGCACCGTGCGCCCGGCCGAGATCGCGAGCTTCCAGCCGCGCACTGAGCGAGCCCCGCGTGCGCGCGCGCGCGCGCTCGCTCGCTATTTCGGCCGTCGCGCCCGCCGCGCTCGCTGCGCCCGCGAGGCGGACAAGCGGGTCGGCCGCCGGTTTTTAGCTCGCTTGACCCCCTTTGCCCTCCCCCTCGCGCTCGGCGATGGCCCTTTTCGCTCGAGCGCTTGCGTAAACTTATATACGCGGCACGGTGCTGCTTTCGCGTGGCATGGGCTCGCAAGAATAGACGCTGAGATTGCTTGTACAGCAGATGGAGCTTGGCAGCTCGTCGCCCGGGGACCGACTCTGGAATTTCGATTCGTCTTTTCACGAGACGAACGGAATCGCCGAGAGTTTCGGAAAGTGAACAAAAGCCGTTTGCGACGAGATTTTACGGGTCCGTAAAGTCCGGCTTCGCTGTGAAAGCCTTTCCGTAAATACCTCGCTCCGAATTCGATACGATTACTCGCGTCATTCGCGTTCGCGAGCTTCCGCGCGGCACTCGGCCGGATCAGCTGTGGCTCGTCGCAGCGAGAGGGCCTACGCGACGATCAGCCGTCGACTGGAGCGGAACTCGAATCGAGCGAGCCGCCGCGACCACGACGACGCCGGTAACTCGACGATTACGGGCAATGTCGACGAGGTTACGCAATCAATCAGCATCTCTCTCTCTCTCTCTCTCTCTCTCTCTTTTCGTCCGCGTGGACGACGACGCCTTTGATTCGGGCGTCTGCGCGTCCTTTTTCTTAGCCACTCTGCCGCGTGGGATAATCTCAAGATCGGGATTTCTGAGCCAGAGCAGCGCCAAAAGTGAGCGTACTCGCGCCTCCAACGGCCGGTCGATAAATCCGAGAGGCTCTCCGCGTCGCACCCGTCCGCGGTGAGATCAGAATAGAAAACCAATTCGAACGCTGCATTTTTTTCGTCGGATTCTCCGCCCCTCTCTCGCGCGGCTATTCTTGCGTCCGCGGCGGGAGAGCAGAGGTCAAGATCGCGCATCGCTCGTTCGCCGGGGGCCGAGCGTTTGACTCTTAGCAAGGGCCCAGCGAGCGTCGGCGAGAGGTGGCAAACGGAATGGACGAGCATGCCGTCGCGGCGAAAGGCGAGGCCGACGTCAAAACAGCTGACTCGCGACGGGGCGCGCTCCGCGAAACAAAGCAGCGCCGCGCGGATTATTCTCGGACGGGAGGATCATTGGCCTTTAGGGCGGCTCCTCGGCCAGTGCGAACGCCGGGGCCCGCGTTTATTATTAGAGAGCGAAGCGCTTTCGATTGTTGCGCGCGCGCGTCCTCGTCGGCTCGGTTGTTCTCGGCGGGTGCGGGTTTTGGCAGTCAAGGGACAGAGACCACAGGGCCGGTTTATCAATTTATTGCGCTATCCTTCTACAGTGCACGCCAATGCATAAACATCGTACATGAGGAAACACAACGTCGATAAGCGCACGCAGCTCGTTAGTCAACGAGATTATGTAAAAGATAGATACGCTTTAAATAAAAAGGGAAAGATAAAATAAACAATCTTGTGTGTCGATGCAACTGTCACTGGAAAAATTTCAAACGCGCGCTCGCGACAAACTTTGCGGAGTCGACGATCGAACGCGCGTCCTTGTATTCTTTCGTACATCCTCTGTTGTCGTCGTTGTCGTCGAGGCATAGATATGACTTTTACGGTAAATGCAAGTCGTCTTAAAAAGTAAATCGATTGAGTATTTTCAATTTCAAAAGCTGAAATCGACGCGCGATACACTTTGCTGACTAGAATAATACTTTGATTGAGTCCATGTATCGAGAAGAATATAGTAGATTATTTAATATTTCATCCTACGTTTCTGTATAAACTATTTAAGTAGGAAAAAATAAGGCTTACTTTGGATACATTTTTGTGAACGTTATCCAAAAACGCAATTGTAAAAGTGTTTTCATTTCATGTTCACCCGTCAAGTACCAAGTAAAGAAAAATTTAATTCGTTGCATTCTTAAAAATATTTATCGAAGACCAAAAAATTTTTCTCCAATTGATAATAATTTAACGCTTTAAATAAACAACTGTTTCGCGCATACAGCAAATTCAAGACTTTTTTTAAGTATAGACCCAAAGTAATCTCATTTTACATCTCAAAAGTCAAATGTTCACATCGTGTCTCCGTGATTAATCTTCAGCGGCGCGGGAAGAATCACAACGGTCAGCGTATTGACAACGGTGACAGTTTTGAACACGGGGGCGTGAAAATTGCGCGAGTAGTGAGCGACGCTCGGCACGATAACTGGTGCCGAAGCCCGGGATGAAGATCGTGTTGGACAAGTCATTTTGCATCTGCCGAAGAGCCTACCGCTGAAACGACTCGTGTATTCCTTGAATCTTTTCATAAAACTTCAACAAGGGTGCAACGAACTCCCTTAGCTGCCTTTTTATAAACAATGTGTTTTATTTTATATTTTAATAAGCTACTGGAATTCCCACGTTGATTTTTTGATCGCGCGCCAATGAGCTTCTGAAAACGTCACGGATAAACTTTTCGTCGTTTCTCCTTAGCACGTTAGATTTTCACTTTTCGCTGGGCTGTTTATAAATATAACTATGCGTGACGTTGAACGACGTATTTTACGTCATGAAGGCGATTCACTTGTGTTTGATATACTTTTACTATGCTTTCGCCGTCAACGCTGTGATTTATTTTCTTTGCCGATTTGGTGAATTTTCGACTGAAGTGCGGTTGACAGTTTCACTTCCGTACCTGTATTGCAAATGATTATTTTTCTTTACTTTTGTTTTGTTTCGAATTGATTGTTAAGTGCGCATGAAAAAATTGATAGGGATTCAAAAGTTTTGTCAAATATTTTTTTATACATTGGAATTATTTGCTACTATTAATAACTTGGATAAAACATCCCTTAATTGTCCGTCCCATAATGAAAATTTTTTATGTAATAATCACAACGAGATAATAAAAATCTGGAAACTAATTCGACCAATCATCAAAATAACAAAGCAACATTTCAGAGTTGAGAGTGAATGATAGCTATTTGAATGTGAAAAAATGTGGTAAAATATGTTATTATACTACAAATATTGTTTTATATAATAATAAAACATATTTATAGGAAAACTTTCGACTCAATCTTATTCAAAACATAGAAGGAAACTTGAAAACGTTGAAAAAGGAAGCTTAATCTTAAAAAAAATGTATACATACTTTCTTCAAATGCACAAAAATCAGAGTACTATTCCGCAAGCCGCGTGCGCACCATTCGGCGTCTCTCGTGCGAAAAGTTTAATAGCCACGAGTCGTTCGCGAGCGTCGCGACGCCAAGACTGAAAAGCTTTGCGGGCCACTCCCGGATTTATATTTAAAGAGACGCAACTCACGAGAGAGCCACGGGGCGAGGAAGGGGAAGCCACGGCGGAGAAATAGAGCGCGATTCGACGAAACTGGCGGTCGTGACGGATACCCAGTAATTTGCTATTTCTTTTGCTGCTTGGAGAATAGGCCGTAAGTGAGACGGCGCCCACGGTGACGCGGAACGATCTTATATTTGTTCCGGTGAGTTGACTTGTTATTTTTGAGACTGATTTACGGCGCGGGTGCCTCGATCCTCTTACTCGGGCAAAATGGGAATTCCGTTGACAGGATGCTGAGAGAAATTAATTGCCGATTCAATTTTCGTACTGGTAGAAATTTAATTGTCAAGCCGCCTTTCCAGCATGTTCAATGCATCTTCGCGCAGCTGGCCAGCTACATTTCGTTTTTCCTCCCGATTTAGATAAACAAAGGCGCGTTGCTCCTGGAGAAGAGACGTTGACTCTCGGATTAATTTTAAACACTTCAACTTGTTTTCAGAGCGCGCTTGGCATTATTTCCGTCATGGATTCCGCGAGATTATTATAATAACATTTACTTTTTGTTACTCGCGTTTCGTTTTCGTTCCTTAGAATTGGGAGCTAGAGATTGTCCGAAAAGCCAAAATTGCGGATTAACTGTACGATTTCCCGTGATGCTGCCAAAAAACGAAGTCGTAAAAATCTGTTCGGAATTTCCAATGTTTAATTGGAAGTAATTTCAACAAAGCGACCGACACACATTTTGGCATACTTTAGTTTCAAGTAAAAATGTGCCGACGAATTGACGTGGAAATTGATACGACCTTATATCGCACCATCAGTGTGGCTGCCGCGACAACACTGTCGATGAATCTCATTTTTATTCGTCATAAAAATCTATAATCATAAAATATCACCCGAAGGCTATCGATCAGTCTAAGTGAATTTCACGGGAAATAAGCATCGGACGAGCCCCACGCGTCAATGCGTATCCAAATAATCCAGATCGTTGAAAGCGGATTTCGGCGAATCATTCGACCGAAGCACAAAAGGCTAATCCATCAATCGACTTGTCATCGTGAAAACGTGTCGATACCACCGTGAGCATCGCATCGTGGCTGGCGCGCGCGCTTTGCGCAACAGTTTCGACGAGTCGAGATCATCGAGGTACGAGCGTGACTCACTGCTCGCGCGGCACTGTCACTTCCTACGACGAATTAACGTCCTAAAGTTGCGCACGCTGTTAATTGCCGCCGCGCTTAGAGGCTAATTGGGAGGAAATTGATCATCGGGAGATTTGGATGCGTATCCCCGCGGCGATTTTCCTCGTGCTGCAATTGCGCATAATTATCGCCACTTCGCCGAGAACTCGTGGACGTTATTTTCGGCAGTGTCATTAAAATTGTCGCTGCAGTAAATTGGGTCATTAGAACGGGACGTAGATAAGAACAAAGCGCTATTAAATTGAAGCAACTAAAAGTGCTCTGGAAAGAAATCGTAATTTTTCTTATTTATTATTTCGAATTTGAGAAAGACAATATAAAGAAAATTGTTATTTTGAGAAAAATAATGAATTTTCAGAAAGTTGCTGCTACATTTAAGAAAAAGCTTTTCAACAGAGGAATTGCAGCTGGTTTTTTCTTAACCCAAGAACTTTGACGGTCGAAAATGATTGAAGAAGTAAACGATACAACGTGCATGACTTGTAAAAATATTACAACGAATCCGATAAAATCACAGTTTCTTTTTCTTAATAAAACGCGCGTGTCAGCCACGTCAGACTAAATTTTAGCAAAAATCTACCCGAGAAGATTTTAGTAAGAGACAAAGAGAAAAAAAATTACCAACTGACCTCGAAGCTCGCAATATGTATATATACCGCGTGGGTCGCTAACCTCTACGAAGGGGTTAGAGACACGAAAGAGAAAATAGAAGAACCACCGCGAAAGGGTCGGCGTATTTTTCATACTGCGGTGTTCACCTACGCGAAGAAGCATCAGCTGTTCGGCCAGGCGCGCGCCTCTAGCTCCTTTCTTTAAAAGCGCTCTTGGAAAGTGGATTTTGAAGTTTGCCGCGCGCCAAGGCTGGTCTTGCGAGCGCTCTTTTTGTTTTCGATAATGCGACGAGGCAACCGTGGACTTCTAGCGTCGACACGTAAGCGGGAGGATATTTATAACGCGAAACAAAAAAAAAAAGAAAAAATATAATGCCACAACCGACAAGCGACGTAGCTCTCGTGTGAGATTCGCCTCCACGGCAACCCTCCGAGAGAAAGTAAACAAGCCGCGCGCAGCCTCGGCTCCCGCGACTTTATATCGATTCCGCGGCGGTTGCCACCCTCGCTTTGATTTTCCAGTGTATGCACGTATAACTTGCGCTGTGCGCCCTCGTTGCGCAGAGACGCGCGCCATCGATCCAACGAGCGACAAAAAACAACCGAGGGAGAGGCGAATTAACGGCCGCGCGTACTGCCCGAGGGGATTATAAAGGACGAGAGACTGCGAGCTTAATGCAGGCTTGTTAGGTTTCGCTTTTTTCTTTTCCTTTTTTCTTTCTTCGTATTGATTTTCGACTATAGGTTCAACGAAGTAATTGTTCGATGTTCATTTTGCTTTTCATTCAAAATTTCATCGAGAATTAACATCCAAAAAGAGAACTAAATCTTTATTTCCAATCGATCAACACAATTCTCAATCAACGAAAAAAAAAGACCTGGCAGCGAGTAAAGTCGGCGCCAAAGTCGCGATGGAAAGAAATCGCCAGAAAAGGGATAGTAAAAAGGAACTCTGCCTGGCGAACTCAGCCAAGGTCCTCGCGAGTCGACCTACTGTCCGCGGCGACCTGCTCAAGCGTGCGCGTCGCTTCGTCGTGCTGCGCCTTTTTCGGCGAGGCCAATGCGACACCTTGCGCGACGACATGACACGTCGTCGGTTGCGTCAACGCTCGCGCTCCTTTTCCCCTTCGGCCGACTAATGACGAAGATCTCGCTGCTCACGGCGCGCCTAAGTCATTCGCCACCCCGCGGAGAGGCGCGAGTGTCAGCTGCCGCGTTGGAACTCCGCCTCGGAATCGATCGAACGGCCGGCGAGAAGAGCCATCGTCCGTCAGCAGTCCCCGTGCGGGCAACGCGATCCGCAACGTTACTCGTCGCGCGAAATCCAACAGAGCGAATCTCGCCGCGCGGACTTGAATGGGGAAAGGGGGAGCAACTGAAAGGCGCGCGTATTCCAAGGCTGAACTTCATTCACGATAGACGCTCGCTCGCTCGCGCCGCCGCCTCGTGCATTCGGATTGCACAAGGATTCTCGGCGCTCGATTTCGACATTCTCGCCGATCTCGCCTTTTCCTCGCCTTAATTGCACGGCTTGTCAATTCGCAGCAGCGCAACCAGATCCGATTCACCGTCTCGATTCTCGAGCGCTTCGCTTCTTGGCGAGTCGGTGAAGAAACGCGACGCCCCTTTCCAATTGCTCGCGCGCGGGCGTCGTCGCGCTACAATGCCAGGCTTGTTCGTCCGAACGACGCGCCGGCAATTTCGCAACTGCGCTCCCCGTCGATCGCGCGACAGTCAACGGCCAGATACTCGCCGTGGCCCGCGCGAGCTCTCGCCTCGAGAAAAAAAAAAGAAAAAAAAAAAAAAAAAACAAGAAAAAAGAAATACACAGTCGGCCGAATTGAATTAAGCATGACACGCGCGCCTGACAACGAATTCGATGGACGTACGCAGCCTCGGCGAACAAAGCCATTTGCATCCGAGTCAAGTGCAGCTGAGCGGCCGCTCGACCATGCGTCAGCGCCTTTCTTTCCGCGGTCCGCGCCAAGGCTGCAAATGGATCAAAGAAAAAGATAACAACGACGGCGACGACGACGACAACGACGAAGCGCTGTGCCGAGGACGAAGAACAAAGACACAAAGGAATCGCGTGGCAGATCAGCTGACCGATGCTGCAATTCGTCCGTTATAATAACACGGCGGTTACGCGTATTTCCATGCTCGTAAAACAAAGACGAGTCCACTCGAATGTGTTCGAGAGTGCGCTGGTGTAGCGATAACGATTTTCGCGAAAGTATAAATGAATGAAACGTAAACAAAAACAATCACGCGACACAAAGATTTTTAAATTCCGCAGCATTTTCCCTCGTTCAACGCCGCTTGCAAGCTCGAGCCGAACTACTCTCCGCGCGCTCCCCGAGCGCCACAGCTTATTTATAGTGCGCAGCGCCGAGGCGGATTCGTGATTTTTCGAGAAACCATTCCTCCGCCACGGGGAAAAGTAGAAATTCGTTAACCCCGTTTCCACTGAAATACACCTTTGGCGCGTGTCTGTATGCTTGTCCGTCTGCCCGAGGAACGAGCCTGCTGCCAAAAATGCTATCTCGCTGGAGAAACATGCAAAGGATATTCGTCGTTCTTCGAGATAACGATCGATGTGCATGCAAGAGATTCACGTTCTGATTATCCGCAACACTTTTATTATACCTATGCGCAAAAGCGGTCAGGGAGTACCCAGTTTCTCAAGGACACTCGCGCGCTATGAAATTTCTTCGAAGCAGTTCGTAACGGTGGTTTCGCAAAGAAGAGGACGGAAATTCGTATGAGAAGCACCAATCTCGTAACGGTTTCTCGAGCCTGGAAATTGGAAGTTTCAAAATAAACTAGCGGAACGCCGCTGCGCACTCTCTCTCGCGCGTAATCGTACTGCTCTAGGCAATTGCGTGCGTGCAAGGTTATGTCGTTCCGAGAGCGTTGCACTTTCACTGACTATATACGTGTTATTACGGCGAATCCTTTGTTTACAGCGAAGGAAGATACGGTAGCAGAACAGTGTCAATGGCATGGGCATTTGTTGACATTCTTTTGATGTACAATGACGATGACAACGATCGCTTGTCGCGGTAAACTCGTTCGCGATGTTCGTCGATTCGCAGGAGAACGTCGTCGCAAGTCCGCGGGCGTACGTGAAAATTTGTTGCGATACTCACATGACGAGACGAGAGACGATGGACGAGATCATGGCGAAAAGGCACGCTTGCGCGCACAAAACCCCAGCGACAATAAATGACAAACGGCTCGCCTTGATAGCCCAGAGGAAGAGCAAAGACGACGCACCCGCAGATGTTTCTTTTCGTCTATCACGAAATCTTCATTTGACGAGCTGCACGCACGCACCTATAGAGAGATTGTTTCTGTCTGAGCAGAGTTCACTTAGCTACTACTGGCCGATGGCAGCCATGTTGAGCGACTGAAGCAGCTGGTTCTCGCTCTCTCTCTCTCTCTCTCTCTCTCTCTTTCTCTCTGCGCCGCCGCGCTGCCGTCGATGTACGAAATGAACGTTAGTGTAGGCTGTGTGTGACGTAGCTCTGTTTTCATCACGTGCTATGGTACAGGGACGGGTATAATATGTTGCTGCACTGTGAGACAGGTCTTGGTTTTGCGATTTTTTAGTTGGAAATTATTGCGCTTCTAAATGGAATAGTAGGTTAGTATAATCAATGTTAATTTTGATTTCCTTAATTGATCTTTTTCAACTAGCGGAAGTTAAGCACATTTTTTAAAATTATTATCGCCACAAATAATTAATAATCTTGTGAACTATCGGTACATTCAAACCAAGTTAAGAAGATTTAAAATTTTATATCTTCTTTTCTTTATATCAGTTGTTAAGTGAGAGTCAAAACTGGAGCAGCCGAAAATTGTATTCAATGTATATAGTTGTCCTAGCAAAAGTCTAAGATTTCGTCGAAAAAATATGAACATGAATCACTTTTACTCGCATTAGTATGTAGATCTAAACTTTAAAAATTATACAAAATATTCAATGAATTAAGAAGTATCTATCAACAACCAATGGAAAATAAAGATAAGGAATAGTAATAGGTAATTGCTCGTTGATTGATGTTTCGTTTACATTAACTTGTAGAATTTATGTTGGATCAGGCGTGAGTGGCTCAAAGTCAACTGTCACAATAAATTCTGCACTATTCGTCAATGTTGTTGCATCAATACGTTATGATTAAACATTAAACGCGTCTAATATAAAAATTTGTAATGCAGATTGACTTGTGATACATACAATCGCAACCTATGTAATGGCGTATGTATTTGCTGTTATCACGGGCTCGTACTCCGTTTAAAAGTGATAATGATTCTATTAACCTAGTAATAACTTGTCTATTTGTGTGATCAAAAAGTGTCTTGGTGAGGTGACTTTATAAAGCTACCGAAGTTATAGTGTATTTTTTCACATCTTGAAGAATAAAATCTCGGTTCAAAAATGCAGGATAACTCAATTAATTAAGTGGAAACAAGATTTGTTCAAAATATTGGATAGATGTGAGAATTCCAACATTTATAATTGCTTACGAATTTTAGTAACATGAATAAATCTTTGAAATAGCCAAATTAGTTATTTATCACAATTGACTGATTCACCTAAAGTCATTTAAAATTGAGTGCGATAAAAAAATCTAAAAAGTAGATTGCATTGATAAATTTCATAGGCATGCATAGAAATGTAAGTTAAAATAAAATAATAAAATGAGTTTTCCAAAAAAAAAAAAATTAATAAATAAAAGCGTATCAACCTTTCTAATACAATACCGTGACCTGTATCGAGCTGAGAAAGCAGAAAAAAAAGGCCCTTCGCATGCGAAGCTCAGTCGATCCCCTTTTTTCGATGGGCAAGCACACACGTAAAAATCGGTGCACACGCTGGGCGCTGCAGACGCACCTGAGCGCGTGTCTGGCCAGGGCCACTGCCCCGCGCACGAAAAAAATATGGAGAATCGAGCACTGGCCCCCCACTCCGGCACACGTCTTGGCCTCCGCCGCCGCTCGCCGCCGAAGAGAGCGAGCGAAGTAGGGAGAAAAAGAGAGAGGCACGCCGCCAGACGTCCCGTTGCGAAGCTTTTCCACCGACTCCGCTTTCACGTCGGTTTCGCCGGTGCGAATCGCTTTGCCGATTGCGCCCGGTGGCCAGATTCAAATCTGTCAAGTGTGATTTTTTGCTTCTTTCTCTCTCTCTTTATCTCTCTCCCCATTAGATAAGAACGACCAGCGATCGGACGTTTTCCTCCGCGAACGAGCGTCAACGAGCAATTCTCGACTATCGATGCTTCGAGTGAAACCACGTAACCGCTTATCGAGGAAATAACGGAGGAATCAACGATATGCATTTTCCATTCACTCTGCAATCGTTGCGCTTGACCGTTGCGACCGAATAAATAATTAAATGCAATCACCTGACGCTCGGTAAAACAGCTGTGATGTCTCGCTGTGACTCTCTTAGACGAGTAATGGAAACCTACATGTGCATCGCGAGACCCTCGGAAGAAAAGGGAGCTCTTTATATATTGCAGCAGGTACCTCTATTCAAGCTGAGCAGGTAGCTACGGGATTATGTCTTTCAGAAGATCCCAACGTGACGAATACGACAAGAATCGATTTCAAAATATTCCCAATCTCTTGAGGAGCCTCGGAGATCATTAACCTACGCGGAATTTCAGGACATCGACGTCGACGGCTTTGGTTTCGACATTGCGAACGTCGACGCAAGAAAAAGTGAAGAGAAAACTTTTGTTTTGCGAATAAAAGTAGCGCTGATAACGTGCGACGAAAGAATAATTTATCAGGCGCGATGATGATTGGCATTCTAAAGTGAAGAAAAGATCGCCGCGAAGCGAGCCAAGACTTTTCGACAAGCACAGGAGTTTACGAATCGAGTGTTTCTTACCTTGCGCATTCGAATTAATGTGTTACGAGCGTTATCTCGGTAAATACATTAGAAAAACGTTATGTAACGAAAAATCTAACGCGACCTTTTGTGTTATCTTTTAATCGTGTTTTCTGATGAATGCTCTACTTTAAACCAATCCCGTGGGAGGAGAGAAAGAGAGTGTGTGTGCGCATAAAAGTGGCCGATTATTTTTAATAATCCGCATATTTTTTTGCCAACTGATGCCTTTGAGGCAACCGTTATCAACTTTTTTTCCCTGACTCTCTACACATCGAATAACAAACATTTATCGCAATATGCCCGATGCAGGAAAAAAAAGAGTAACGTTCGAAACGTACAGCAAAGAGAATCCAGCGGTTTGAATAATAATGCTTTTAAAAATAGCTCAGTAAATCACGACTTTTTCGAAAATCCTATAAAAATAGAATAAATAACGTTCCACGAATTCCACGTTGACTATTCGTCCGAAAGTAGTTGATTGTCGGTGCAGCATAATGTTTGAACGCCAGGAGGGGGCGTGTACGTCGTGTCGCCCTCCCCTCGAATCTTTTCTCTCGCTCGCTCGCACATGATTCTCTCTCCTCTCTCTCACTCTTGTCGACTGACTCGCGCTCTCTCTCGCGTGTTGGTGGCTCTCTCGTCAGTGCGCGCTACGCGATATCGCAAGCTGGTCGTGACTGTAGGCGCGCCTTTTTTTTCGTTACTCTGTTGTAATAATAATAATAATTCAGCTGCCGAGGGAAAAATTTACGAGAGAATAATAGCAATTAAAAAAGTGCTTTGTGTGTTGTTTTTGTTTGAGAGAAGAAAAAGACTCTCTCTTGTTCCTCTCTTTGGCTCCGTGTTTGTACAACGACGGTCATCATGGCACGGCCGCATCGAGAGTGCGATTAAATAAATAAAAAAAAGTAGAAAAATAGTGTTGTATATACCAGTGCTACATCCAGTACGCAGAAAGAAGAGAGAAAGGAGAGGAGAAAAAGTGTTAGGAAAAAAAATATATCGATGTTGTGCAGTTGACGAGTGCGAGAAAAGAGATCATGGCGTACAAGTACCGCGAGGAGATGGTGGGCAAGAGGTTCCTCTCGGTGAGCGGCTTCTCGAAGCTCAAGCTCAACCGAATTGCCGAGTGGGGTTGGCGTGCTGGAGTCATACGCGCTGCCAGCCACAGGGATAATCTTTGCCCAGACCTCCAAGTGAGTTATACTTTTTTTGTTATAAAAAAATATACACAAAGGGGTGCATTAACCTCCCGTGATAGGTCATTGTACGAACGAATCTTCGTTGTTTCTTCTTTTGAGTGTTTGTAGAAGTGGCTTGTATGTAAGACGACTCCGTGTTTTGGAAATCTTTAGTCTTTCGGTGTACTTGAGATAGTAATTTGGAGAATCGTAACGAACTCTTCGAAATTTTGGTGGCCAATAGAATTTTGAGTTTTAAAGTTTACTTTTTGTAAAGAAGCTTCTTTAATATTTCTCTGAATAGCTGATTTTTTTTGTATAATTTTTTTACGTACATATTTTAGATTAGAAATTTACAATGCAAATGAATTTTTATATAGAGTCGACTCGACTTATTACTTTTTACTATGAAATTGTGAATCAGTTTGCTTTCATTTCAATTGAATATTATTCGCCTTACTCATTGAAGACCCCGAAGTGTAAACCGCAAAAACAAATGCTAATGCCAGCGTCATCGACGCGCCACGTGCACGCCGCTTTTGAAGGGCACGGCGTCGAAAAAGTAACAACGACAAAAAAGAAAAGCCACGGCCTGTCGCCTCGCCGAGTGAAAAGAATTTCGAAGATTAGCACTATAAAGTTATATCCACGAGGGGAATCGACGTCCGAAAAGTTTGTTTGTTTTTCTGGCATGTGAATCAGCCGTGGCGCGCTGAGTCATTGAAAAGCGTACTTTTCTGAAAAATCTTGGGCACATTGGTATTTCAAACAGAATAGCGCGTTGCATAACAACTCTCACAACCTAAATTACAACTCCTTCGATGAATACAAGACTCTTTTCTAGTTTTCTTTTCTCTGAACGAGTCTTTAGAAGCGAAAAGACATTCAGGAGCCCCCACACGTGAAAAAGGAGAGAAAAAAGGCCAATTAGCGTTGCAAGGAAAAGCAGAGGCCTCGTTAAAGCCATGGGCAGAACTCTTGCGTAAGTCTCGTGCGCACACGCGACCGTTTGGTTACTGTTTTAGTTTTGTTGTGGTTTTTCTCCGTGAAAATTCAGGAACCATTGCTCGAAAATATAATGGGCCTTCGAATTTCGGGAAAACATTCGAAAGTTTCTGTTTTCACATAGATATTTCTGAATCATCACTTTCGTTATGAATTGTCTTTCTCTGCGTGCGTTACAACGAGACTCAGTAAGTTTTGTAACTGTAAAGTTGGCGAGTGTGAAAAAAGTTGATTTGTAAAAAAAATCCCTTTTGACTGTACGGATTTCTCGCAAGCATCTCTCATTCCTCGTGTTTTCAATGACGGTTGGCGAGTGAAATGGAAAAGCTGCGTCAATATTTTGCGTCGTGCGGAGGAAAACCAGCTTACAGTTTTCTCTCCCACTGATCTAACCGTTATAATTAAACGAGCACGCTCTAGCTCTGATGTGTGCTCCATCGGTTCGCGCTAGCAAAAAAAGCCCGCATTCTTTTAGGTCATTGTTTCTTGGGAGAAATCGATGGCAATTCAACTGGCGAGGGGTCAGACTCGCTGCAGGGCCTCTGACTGGGAGGAGGAAAAATCGCGCCTTCGCAAGGGGGATTCCGGCCAAACGACATTCCCGACTTCTTTTTCATTAACGGCTCGCTATAGGTCACGCACGCACGCCGCCTCGAGGACGCCGATTGATAGTCGCGCACGTGACGGCTTAGCCGAGCGGCGCGCCAACGCAGGCAACGCAGGCGTAATCCTCTAACGCGATCGAGGTGCGGTGAGGTGCGCTCTTCGCGAACGAAAGCGCGCCAACCGCGCTCCTGCCTCTGCTGAGGAAGCATCAACATGCCGGGGCTCGCTTTCCGCGAATCCGAAAAGCCGAGCCGTGCGCTCCCGAACCTGCGCCCTTCACTCTCCTTGGAGCGGCGATCGCTCCAGTTCTCCGAAACGGACACACGCGCGCGTAATAAACCGAGGCACGCAGGGCACCGTTAATCGGACGACGCGCTTTTAAGCGATTCCGACACGATCCACCGCTCGCCGCTGCGCTCTCGCGCGTCATTACCGCGACGACGAGCGCGAGGCGATAGCGGTGACGGCCAGCTACCTTCTGCTCGTCGCCCCGCGCGCTTAAATGCCTGCGTGGGTGCGCGATCGATGGGGGAAACGGCCGTGACTCGCCAGCAAAAATCGGCTCGAGAGAGGAGCAGGTCGCGCGCGCTCGGATTTGCGTATTCAGCTTTGGAGCGGCGCGGAAGCGAAGTTTCCAATGGCGGCTTTCGCGAAGAATCTCGTCGGCCGTTATCCGCGAGGAGGACGAAAAACGCCTGGAAGCGCCCTTGATTCAACGCTCGACCCACTTGAATGTCGAGCGAACGACAACTGGAGGAGCGGGGGGGATGGCCAAGAGTTGGATCGTCGCAAAATGCTCGAGTCACTGCCAGTGCCTCCTCGTCGCAACTCCGCAGGCAAGCCTTCGTCGTTCTCTCAGGCAGTTGCGAAGTAGGCTGCGTGTGCTTGTGCCGCGCGAGCGCAGTTACTTTCACTCGACCGGAAAATTCTTTCGAGAGCGCGCCTCGCGCGAGAGAACGCAGGGAGCTTTCGGCGACCACGGGATTCGCTTCGATTCCGCTTCTATCTCTCTCTCTCTCTCTCTCTTTCTCTCTCTTTCACTGTCAATTCGACGCGGAAACTTCGGAAAACTTGGAGGCCTCCCGGGACTCTGGGACGGGAGCGCAAGATTGACCCTCTTACGCGGCGAACGGCGTTGCTTTACGGGTAGCGAGCCGTCAAGTCTCCGCAGGCGCCTCGCGTGCAGTTCCATTCGAGGCTCGGGCGTATCAAAAGGCGAGAAAGCTCGCGCGAGCGTGAACGGAGAAAACTCGAGTGCTGACTACCGCGAAATTCGCCCGGCGAATCGCGAGCCCGTCGACGTGTCGGAGAAACGCCACCTGCAACGCAAGCGCACGCGACAGCGCCAGTTCCGCCTCATCGATCATGAAAAATTACATAAAGCATGTCACGTAATAGCGCCGTGTGCGCGCGCGCGCGTGCGCGAGAAGTTCTCTTCGCGCGCGGGATGTTTCGCGTGATAATTTCAAGGACAGTCTGCGCCGCGAAGGTCGCTCGATGTGCACGCGTAACTATAGCGCGATCACCGGCTATCCCGCTCCCAGAATGACGCGCCAGTTTTGGGGCGGCGCGCAACTTCGGAGCTCTGGTATGTTTGCGCGCGGCGCTCGATCGCTCGATCTATCGCCGCGCGCGGCCGCTCTCCCGAACAAAAGCGAATCTGGCGACTCGCTCGGTTTCGGCTCCGGCGCTGCTGACGCGTGGATCGAACGGCGAGCGAACGGTTCGATCTTCGACTCGCCGTCTTGACTATCGCCCGAAGCATGGCGAAAAATCGAGATTAGATGTGTGTACGTGTGTGGCGGGGCAGGGGGGGGGGGCGTGTCGCCGCGAGGTTCGAATGTGGATCAACTTCGACGCGTGATTGCGCAACTACTTGCCTCGACGCGCGGCTTCGTTCCGGCTTCGTGCGACGGCAACAGTGATGCCTACTTCCATCGGGGAATCAAGGTCAGAAACCGGAACCTCTCGCGCGCGCGAGCGGTGAATCGACCGACTTCGGGTAAACGGAGTCGCGAGGGGGAAAAAAAACACGATGGCTTTCCTTGCCGCCGCGGCTGCGCGGCTTTTGTGCCTTTTTTGGGGCTTAGCCTTGATGCTCGCTGCCGCCAGACCGCTTTTAGCTCTCGGATTGTTTTATTTTTCGCTCTCGAGTGCAGGTGGCAAAGATAATTGTGTTTGGATTGAGAAATGAGCTGACGCTTCGACGGACTTTCTCCAAAAACGTTTACCGATCGTGCGTCACGATGATTTTGTCTTGGCTTTCATCGTGGTTGCTTCAGTTGAAGTTGTAAATGAGGCGATATTCTACTACTGCTAACGCATAAATAAATTATAAGAAACTTTCCGCTCGTTACTCAATTATCGGGATTACCATCGATTCGAGAAACCAGATAAGTTTGTAGATTACAGAAAAGTCGCGAAAAAGTGATTTGTATCGTTTCTATTGAAATAAATAGAACTTATCGATGGAAATCATTTGCGTGTTTTTTGTTAACAGCAACGCGTCAATGGATATTTTCATAAAATTGCTCATTTATACGTTAAGTTTGTTAAAAGAAATTTCTTTGGTATTTCCTTAATTTGAATTTTTCGTTATTATTATCTCGAAAAAGTCTGGTAAATGCTTTAAAAAAGTACATTACAGCAATCCTGATTACTGACCAAATTTCATCAACCTCACGTTAATCCAATTGCTGCCGCAACTCGGCAGAGAGAATTCTATATCGCATAGCCAGACTTTGTCACGAAAACGTTTTTTTCCCCGGCAACAGATAAAATTTACGCAAAGCACTAGTCGCGAGAAAAACGGGCAGTGAAACGAATCACCAATGAAACGTCGCGATGCGCTCAGCTTTTTGCCAACCAACGGCGAAAGCAAAAAAAAAATCCACCACCGCGCCAAGTCGGAATACAAAACAAAGCGCCATTGTATATCGTCAACAATGAGCCATTATCAAAATACAATCTCGCTAGCAAATTCGCTGCGACTAGAAGAGGGAAGAAAAAGTTGGCATCGCCCACGCCAGCATTGCGAGAAGATTGAATTGCAATTCGAGAGAGAGAGAGAGAGAGAGCCGGAAATATGGTGGTTTCTCAAAATAGAAAAAAAAAGTAAAAAGAAAAAAAGTCAGGGAGAAGAAGAGAGGTTACAAGAGCTTCGTGGCACCTGTCCCCCTCGCACATGAATACGGTGCGCTGCACCGTTAGGATACGCGCACCGAGAGCCATTTAAGGTCCCCATCGTCGTCATCGTCGTCGTCGTCGTCACCGTCGTCGCCGACGTCGTCGTTGTCGTTGTTTGCCTTTCGCTCTGTGTACGTGCGCGCGAGGGGCGAAAAAACTCGAAAGGCGATCGTATTTCCAATTGCTGACGCAATTTCGTTTTGCCTCTCCGCGCGCGA